ATAGTCTGTATAGGAAGACGAAGCCCCTTTGTCAACAGTCAAATCAGTTCTAATATAGTCCCAATTGGATTTAGTCTTTGTCCTTCGTTCTCTGACGCCTGGATATTGCGTTGACAGCGTTGGCTCACCTGAGACTGGGGGGGGGGGCTGGTTTCTCATATCTTGGCGCTTGATTAGCCTCGCAGGCGCTACTGCAATTATCAACACCAAAGCGGACGGCCTTGTTCGCATACCGCTAAATGACCTATACATATGGGTTCGAAACTAATATGAGAGGGGAGTCTTCCTTCGTCAGCCGAAGCACATTGTCGTCGTTGTCGAACACAAACATCTGCCCGACACAGCATAGAACCCTGAGCCTCTGCTACCTGGGCAAATTCGACCATTCAGGTGAAAGATTGTAATATAACCGCTCGGATTCCAGTGGACATCGGCCTGGAACCTCGGATTGACCTGACCATTGAAGAACCTGCGCTCAAGCTCTTAAAGACATGGCTGGCACTTCGCTGCAACAAACAATGTCACTTAAGAAGATTTGTATAACTTCTATCTTGACCACTACATGCGGGATATACATTCACACTAGCTATAGTAAATCGAATGCTAGGCTCGAGCTAGAAAGCTGGTTGTATAGCTGAAGCAATTTCAATGATTGCCAATGTTCCATGCTTCTTGTGGCCACTTTGCAATCATACAATGCTAGCTTCTCAAGACACTTGGGAGAACCGCCCAACTTTCGAATTTAGTGAAACTCTGAGAATGATTTTGATTAACGATCCAGGTAAAATAGTAATGTGACTTCTTCTGGTATCCATCGTTTGCTATTGCCTGATAACCTTAGGGTCAGTTTTGACCCTAAAGCCTGAGGAAATATGGACGATCTTGCCTTTCTTTTCATTGTGTGCCGGGATGTTTGTATGGGAGTATTTTCCGGACCTGTTGATGAGCGCTTTTCATGCACATGCACCTATTATCTTCAAAATCTTGAGGATACTGTTCTTGCTCTGGGGTCTGGATGCTTGGCTGATGCTTGGCTGAGCGATTTCATACAAAGCAACAAAATGATCGACCCGATGACATAGGCTAGGGTGTTGTCTTCATTTGGGTTATGCCCGGTGGACTCGGAGTCGAGTGGAAATCGGATACTTAAAGTTTGAGCTGGCTAGTTGAACCTTATAGCTATTTAGATAACAACCGAGGCTGCTTTGATCACTCAAGAAGAACACTAAGTAATACTGCGGAGTTGCTGCTAGCAGAGGTTCTTGCATGTAAAACATTAAATGATTTGCAGACGGCAATCGCACATTCACCACGCCAAATCTTGTTTGATTGTCACTTGAGTGTTAGGATAACTTGAGTACCATATCAAGCGTGCTTTGAAGCGAACCGGTCGGTCTTGGGGAATAACTTGGCATGAAACTTCGCAAGTGAAATAGCCACAGAAAGTATGAAGAGATGCATGGCCTGACACTAAAGTGACATAACGCAGAAAATAGCTTCGGGCTTGTCAAACGTGACTACATCTCCTAGTAATCCATACTTCTTATTCTTTCAACTACCTCTGGTTCTACTCTTATTTGTCTAGGTCTATCCACTTAGGAGGATGATAAAACGATAAAGAACGGAACAAGAGATGAGCCGCCGGATTTGGAAAACAACCCGGGGTATTCCAACTGTGTTAGGTTCAATTGTACATAATCTTTTAGTATATGAGTTCTTTGCATATGTATAACTGATTGAGATCTTAGGGTTTACGAGCTTGCACTTGATGTTCTTGCTTGCATTTGCGCCAAAGCACCCCTCCCAGGACAGACCGACCATATTCATTCGACAGGTAATAACGCCATATTGCAGTCTCTAGTGAAATGAGCGGATCAATTAGCGTAGAGTTCATCTTGTATCAATCTCGCTCATTTGGACGAACGGCTGGATCAGCTCTACGTGGAAGACGTTATTAGAGCCGATTGAGAATGGCTTCAATCACGTCAACTTAGTAGGAAGTAATTTGCGAGCCTAATACAAGCTTTGATATGAAGCGGACAAAGTCGGACTTTTTACAGCCGACGCATGGAGCAATTACTATACAAAAAAACCACCTGCTATCATGAGCCTACTCTGTGACTCATGCAAGATCTTGCTCTTACTGCCCATTCCCCAGAGCTTTTACCTAAAGGATTTGGAGCATTCCAGAAGCTTGCGTCATGGACATGTTCAGACCTCTAGTACTTGATTCCCTAAGAGAACCAAGGCTACAGTGGATAGACTCGAGTCTTGAAGACCGCATACTCGTGACCAACCTCTGTCTCATCCCTTATGAATGAAAGCAAAGTCGAGGGAGATCAAAACTTTCCTCGACGACCCGGAAGCATGAGCGCCGCACCGATCAATCTCCATAACCGAGTCAACGACCGGCAAAAGCTTTTTGGTGGTAAACTGCTAGCCTGTAGTCATACAAGAAACTCGTAAGCTGCGTCTGCGGCTGCCACCCTACCAACGAGCTGTTGTGAGCTTAAGAAGACTGGGGTGACCTTGGATTTGTGGTCCAGGTTGCTAGATTCCGACTACGCGTCACCCTAAAAAGAGTAAATGCCTGACAAATAAAGAGTTTCGCCTGATCCGCGGCCAAAAAGTCTCGACTTACATCTCCGCACAATGGGGCTCTTGTTACAATAGCTACCAGACACGGACCAAGAACCACTCAGGCCATAACTGGTGAATCCGAATGAGACGGGCGGCCTGCACGCTTTCCCCGAAATTTTACCTAGTCCTCACCACCATGCCGACTAGGTTGACCGAGGAGACTGAGCTGCTGTTACAACAGAAATTAATGGGCTGGTGCCGTGTAATCCCTCAAGCTTCATTGCGCGATTGAGACGGATGAGAAGATTGCCAGACACAGGGCTTATCGAGCTCAGGTTCGTGTTGACAGGTGTTGGGGCCACAGAGCACAACTTGACTGGGAAAATCAGTTGAGTAACGCAAGAACAAGTAAAAAGGCACTGACACTTGTAGCCGGTGAAATAATGAGCTTTCTTGACCTCGGATCGGCAAACCAGTGGAACGAAACGTCATGAGCATTGGCTCGACGACACAGATCTTAGTGGTAATGATGGGACGATAAGAATACTCATCTAAATCACCTACATCTAAATCACCTAGGCGATTGATTATCAGCTAATAGTCTGCAGGGGAAGAAATCTAGAATTACAGTTACCCCTTGAAGCTCCTTAGGCAGACTCCGTTGTGAAATAAGCGTCACAGAATTTTAGGTCTCGAACATGGTTCAAACAACAATGAAGGAGAAGCTTAGCAGTTTTCGCACTAGTAACCAGTTTTAAATCTTTGCAAACCCTCCTTGCTGCAGGAGCGTGCCATTCTAACCTTGTCGCCAGAAATCCAAACCCGTCTCTCTTCACTAACCACGGGGAAAGCGGCAAGGCGGATGAAAGACAAAGGCCGGCCAGACTATCAAACGGGACGGAGATACCCGCGGGAGGCCGTGTTTACCAGCCTCATCCCACTTCCTATCGATTTAGAAGGCCCACATGCGGCCGGTTATCCTGGTAATGCAGGGTTCTTCCTAGCAGCATAAACATCCTGGGAGCGAACGCGAGACTCGCCAAACCTTGTTTGGGTAGTCGCGCTGCTGGTGTGTGCATGCGTACTGGTGATACTAACTCTTTGTGGAATGCACTTTTCCCATGATGCCAACTCTGCCGACGGAGAGCAACACTTGTGGGGGGAAAATTGTCGTTTTTGGAATCAGATGTCACTAAGATGGCCCGATGAAGCGTGGTATATTCAGCTTACTTTCGAAAACCACAGACGTTACACTTTGGCTTAACAGTTGCAGATTATCGTTTTGTTCTATATCGCTATGTGTCTTGCAACCAAGCCCTTTCAGCCCAAGCAAGTCCTCGCGACACATTCTCGAGATGACGAGTCCGACAGGGCTTGGCGACCTCTTGCTGGTCTCCTAAACCATCAAACACCGTGCGCTAAGGTCGGTCACGGTTGCTGAAGCGATTGGCAGCTTGTTTATAGGTACAATTGAAACAAGCTCACGAGGCGGACGCCTACTTCTTACACGACGCGCCATCTAACCGAGTCAGACACTACGATGACCGGTACTTGGTGAACACAACTAGGATTTGCTGATTTGTCGCAGACGATCTAAATGCCCACAGAGATCGGGCAAAATTAGGTGGACCTGGTGCCTGAGTTGGAGGAGAAGGGAAAGCTTGACGAGAGAAGTCGGGTCCAGACCGCTGGGAACCGGACTGTGCGATCATCCTCACGAGCAACGGTTCTCGCCAAGGAATATGACTGGAGGATTGCGGGAGGGAAATTCGGCAACGACGATCATGGACCCAACTGTCCGTGCCGTATTCCATGGCCTGTCGCACTAAAATTCCTCAGGTTCGTACGATGGGGACGCTTCTGGTTGGCATGCATTGAATAAAGATTTGTGGATCCCCAGTCCCAGGGCGAGCAACATTGAAACACGTACGCTGATCCTAGCTACCCACTGGCTGAGAAGATCAGCCCAAAACACATGCGGGTAAACCTTCTTCTTTTCGACTCCACATGAAAGCTTGATTTGTACAGGCCCCAACATCAGACGGACTCAAAAGTGTATGCGCGGGGTCGCCGTTGTGGATAACATCTCGAAAAGCTTCACCGGGCAGGAGCGAAACCACCCCTGAAGGCGTCGCGGCAAAGAGCAACTGACTTCTATGTTGTGCTTTGGCAAGGGTCTTCGGCATTCTCGGATGAAGTGTATTTGCTGAATCGTGTTTGAGATGACGACGCAACGACGGTGTCTGAATATGTTCTTGTCCCATTTGACCCGCCAGGCAATGAGTACTTAACTCTCATGAAGATGCCCTCTGAACTCTCTCTCTCTTCACCAGTAACACACCGCTCCAGAACATCAAAGCGAATTACCAGCTTCACTCTTTACTCAGTCCATCACTTGCACCGCTAAAAAGCTACTCAAAATGCGCTACACTCAGCTTATCCTCTCCCTCTTCTTCTTCTTTACCTTCGCCATGGCTCTGCCTGCGCCGGCGCCGGTAGAAGCCGTTGCCGCCGCAGATAAGAACAATAACAAGAACGGCACCAAAGCCAACGGAACTAAGGGCGCAAATGGTAGAACTACCACTAAGGGAACCACAGCCAAGTCCAATGCCAACAACGGCAACAATGGCAAGAAGACTAACGCAAACGGCAACGACTGTGCTGCAGCCAACAAGTTGGCCACTGGCATTGCTAACAATATTGCGGTCCAAAAAGAGGAGCAGTCTGACGCCAACACCCTGACAAATATCATCAAATCGGGCAATACCGCCGGTTTCGCCTCGGCCAAGCAGAAGTTCCTCAATACGATCACCAGAGGCATGGATATCCGCAAGAAGAACCAAAGTATTGCGCCCAAGAATAACGCTGCCATTGCCGGCTTGAACAAGGTATAAATTGCACTTGTTCCAAGTCTACGAGATGTCGAAGCTAAAAGTGTGCGAAACAGGTCGCCGACGCCCAGAACAAGGAGTTGAGCCAGGCAAAGGGTCTGCAAGGAAATAAAAACGATTTGAAAACTCTTCAAACACTCCAGAGCGAGTTCACTGCAGGCATCAATCAGAACGAGATAAACAGGAAGGATGTGAGTGCGCACAAACGTTGATTATGCGGAAGGCTTTACTAACATGGAGCAATAGGCCCTCAAGGGTTGCTAAGCTGGTGGTGATGTGCTGGGATTCAGATCAAGGGACAAGACCGAAACGCCTTGAAGTGCTCTGAAATTGCTTGCAGAACAAGCCGAGTCTGTATATGGGGGATTCTTTGTAAATATAGCAAATCTAGCGGCTTAGGACATTCAAATGCACAGATGTTCCACAAAATCTTGTTAGAACGTGAACGAGATTCCGTCATTGTCAAGGACGCTTCGTTGATGGGAATGCTGCTGAGACTAATACCGAACTTGTAAAATCCGATGAGAGAAGACCAGATTTGTGAGGAGGTTTGCTTGGGGTTATAAACACCAATTTGAAATAGCCACATGTTAAGACAATGCAAGTTGGGTCGACTTCGTGTCTTACGTTGATACGAGTTCATTTATGACGTGGGAAGGTGTTGGCATATTTGTGATCACTAAAGCCAAGCCGATAGATAATATATTTTCTGGATCTTTGTGGTCAAGTGAAAATCGATAGGATGACTCTGTGTCATAGTAGTACTACCTGATACAATGTAAATAAGGATGCATTTGTCTTTACTTCCCAATGACCTTGAGACGATGTAGACAAGTAACACCGAATAGATATCCTGCCATTGAACAAACTGTCTTTCAGATTATTGCTTGCTACAGAAGCGATTTTTCGACAATAGAAAGCAAATATGTTGCCAAAGAAGTGGGTACATCTTTGAAACAAAAAACAATGTGCTGTCGTACTGACAGGCCCTTGGAGTCAACCCCTGAGCTGGGAACCTGGCTAAAAGCCTAATGCAAGCCGTTAGACTTTTTATGCTTAACGTATCTATGCATCTACATTAACTGTTTGTTCGATCTCAACCTACTATAAAAAGTTTACTTGATTATCTCCACGAGGTTGGTAAATTTCTGGAATCCCTTAGTAGTGCCGTAGTGATTCAGCCAGATTTGACGAGAATCATGACGACGTGGAATACAATCGGTTCACACTCATGCTGTAGTAGCGGAAGACAAACGAGACAACAAAGTCTTTTGGGCAACTTTGAAATCTAATAATCCTAAGTCTGGTTGAGTAAGAATATCTAAAGGACACAGAAGAAAATCCAATACATGGGCCAATATGACATGCACATATCATAATAGAGCCCGTCAACGGTTCCGCCCAAGACGGGTGTGAGCTGAGTACATATCCCTTGAAGGATTTATCCACACATTGGTCAGGCGGAAACACTCTTGACGAAAAAAGTGGCACACAAGGTAGACAGTTCTGTAACCTTGATGATGATCTGCCAATCCTGTGAATTGCCTATGGCGTTGATGGCTTGCCTTTGCTTCACACGTTGTCGTTGATCGTTGAAGCAGTCACAGACATAACCAAGGTCAGCTCTTGAAAGTTACGAGTTCACACCAAAATACCCATGTCGATCGAGATAATGGTGCTTTCCTGTGGATAAATGTATTGCTACTCTTAGACCGTGCTCTCTCCGCTATTGCAGATCACCTCGACGAAGCCCGATCCCTTGCTTTCAGATTCCGAACGAGATCATACAATTGAGGATACGCTGAATCATTGCTATTCGGTGTAAGAATTTACTTTTACCCTCATGCCTCACCCTAGAGCATCCTCTGCGCCCACTCGCCTCAATACATGGCTGAGGCCGCTCAATGACGAATGTAGTCTTATATTCCTGGAGTTTGTACACCAAGTCATTTGGAGCGAAAGATCTGTGCTGAACAAAGCCCTTCGTGCTTTTCTCCTGCTGCAGACCGGACATGGTGGGATGGCTTGGGCTCGGGCTTGAGAGATGTTTTCGTCAACGCCGAGAAGCAATCTTGCAGTCTCGCCCCTCGCCTGGTAATCCCACTTACCGGCCATTCACAAGACAAAGTACTGCAAGCTTAGGGACAGTCCGAGCAGTTTTGGGTGGGGAATAATCTTCTTTTCTATGGAGTGGACGTCGGGGAGTTTCGGTCATGAGCCCAAAGTGACAGCCACTTGCTCTCTGAGCTTCCGTCCACACCCGCACCCGCGCTCCTCGCCTCGAATCCCGCAATAAGAGATTACGTGCCGTGCTCGCACGGCAAGCCCACTGCGGACAAAGCCCACTGATTAAAGTTGGACTCGGCTTCATTTGAGCCTAAAGGAGTCGTGGCGCAGAGTCCAGTGTCCAAACCGGCCGCCAGAGGAATTTGACTTTGTAACGCTCAAGGGAGACTGGTCTTGTCAGCGGCCTTAGCGCGCCATTTTCAAATTTCTAGCCGTCAAATTTGAAGCTGAGGGATTGATGCAGACCGGTAGTCGTAGTTTGGCGATTGAATGATCGTCTCCTCGCATCGTGACTTTACTGGCTGGAAACTGGCTTAAGATGGACTTATGACTCGTAGATCCCTAACACGGGCAGTTTTTGTCGACTTGGGAATGCTGGCAGTGAGGGCGGGTCTCGAGGATTTTGTTCCAGGGCGCATCAAGTGGAAAGCTTCCGGTTGCCGAGCCGAAGATTCGGTCAAGAAGGCCGGAGAAGGCTGCTTTATGGGAGTTCTTATCCAACGAGCGCTGCCGTGGACCGCAACGCCGGTTCTCTCCCACCCTCCATCCCGATTCTCAACAGTCCAACATCCAAACTGACAGCTTGGCAATGCAGCCGATGCGGCGTTGCACCACTATTTTGGCCCGATCACCCATCGGGACGACGAACCGCCAAAGATACTTATTTTTCCATTACTTAATTCTGTATTAAATGTCGGTTCGCTAATCTTCTTGCGTTTAGCTGTGTGTCCTTATCGCTTCTTCGCTGCAGGAACTCTCTCGCCAGACAGGGTTTGTCACAGGTTTCATCAGTCGTGACCAAGGCCACATCCGTCCGCACCGGAAGCAGAGCGGCACAAGACCTGCGACGTTTCAAGTCTGCCGACCCCACCAAGCCTGTCCTGCTTCGTGCCTGAAGAGTCCTCGAAAACGTCTCTTTCGCCCAGGGATCATCCCAGGGTATCTTGAAGGGAACTCAGATCGTGACGGGTTGAGGGTTGTGTAGCGTCGTTAGCTCCCGTCCCTCCGGCCCTCGGTTGCATCCGATGGAAGCGAAGCTATGATCGCCGGGTCATCAGCGACAACACATTAGAGCCGTTCTTTTAGTGACCGGGATCATGCGGCCGTTGGGTTGAGGCTCGAATTTGGTATTTGTAGTCCTAGAGCCGCTCTTTTGGCCGGCTCTTTCGCTTTTTCATCCGGTCTTCGCTTTGCCCTGTCTCACTATTCATTCACATCGTGCTGGTCACTCGTTTCTTCTACTTGACTAATTTCAACACGGTCATTCCTATACAGCATTCCAGACTATTTCTTCATTATCTCTCCCGCCTACACGAGTCCGCTGATTGTCCTAGTAATCACTTCAAAATGCGCGCTTCGATCACTGCTGCTACGGCACTCCTCGCCGCTATGGTCTCGGCCCATGGCAACATAGTATCACCTCCCGCTCGTGGGCCTGGTGCGGCGATGGCTGCAGCCTGTGGAAAAGAGAACGTTCAGGTTGTGACATCAGACCCTACTATTCCGCTTGAGGATCTCACCAACCCCCCTGCGACTTGTAAGCCGACATCTTGATGTGATCCCAAGATTCCTCTTCTAATAGTACCACTTTAGGTCAACTGGATCTCTGCCGAGGTGCAAAGTTCGAGGACAACAAAGCCAACGTCCAGACCTTCAAGGCAGGCCAGGTTGTCAACATGAGAGCCGAGATACCGATCCCTCACGAGGGTCCCATGAACGTCTCCATCGTCGACACGGCCACGAACAAGGCCATTGGCGAGCCACTGATCGTTTTCGACAGCTACGCGGATGAGAAACTCGCACAGCTGCCTGCGAACAACACCAACTTCGACATCACCATGCCCTCCAACCTCCCGGCTGGCACATGCGCTCAGGCTGGCCAGTGTGTCGTGCAGTGGTTCTGGTTCGGCACCAACGCAAAGCAAACTTATGAGAGCTGTGTAGACTTTGTGATGGGATGAGAGGTTAATATAATGATGGTCTACTTCTGAGATAGAGATGTGGGTGGCTTTTTGAGGGCGTTTGAGCATGTAGATCAGCGTCACATCCGTCTGAATGCTACGTTACCATGAGCAAATTTATTGGTTTGATTGATGTCACGAATCTTGAACAACCCCTTTTCAGCTGCTCCGTTCATAAATGAGGTGATAAATGGCGGTTATAGGTTGCACAGTTGAGTCAGATAACCTGCGCCGGACCCATATCGTGCAACTTCCACAACTGTGAGGGTGCTGGTTGGTGCCTAGTCTTTCGCCAAGATACCTACGTAGTCCAGGTACCAAGTAACAGATCAAGTGGCATATTTTCCATGAAGTCCAACGAGGCCTCGTTGAGTAACATTCGCAAGCTTGGGTCGGCAGTGTCGTCGCCAAAGTCGGGATGACTTTCGCCGTGGAAGGCAAAGTCGTTTTCGCTTGGTAGATCGATAAAGTTCTGCCTCGGCGATACCAAGTTACTTAGCGGTACGGCTGTTAAAATCTCTGGCTGGGGCGCCGTAACCTGAAGGTAGGCTTGATCTTGTTCTAGATCCAGCTGTGGAAGGTTCCGAAATTGGCTATGGATGCGCTCGAGCATCTCCAAACATCTTTTGGCTGATCTGCTTTTCTGCGCTAGCGTTTTCAGACAGGCGCGAGATTTGGAGACTGAGTGCTGCCACGCAACTCTATCTTGTTCCGACTGGGCGGCTTTCGTGAGGTAGTTCGCTTCAAGGACAAGAGTTGCTTGGAACAGGAAGTACGTTGCGTACCAGATGATTCCCTGGTGCAGGGAGCCCTCGAATGCCATGCAAAATACTGCGATGTCGTGGATGCTCTGCATAGCGACACCGTGACATTTCTCTTCCGCGTTGACTCTGGTTGGCAGGTAGCTGTGTTGTAGTTGGCTTCCGCGCCAAAGGAGAATACGGAGGTTCTGCTTTTTCCAGAGAACGACCGCCCTCGGTGCTCGGAACCACAGAGGGCATTCGGTTGCGACGAAATAGTCGGGAAGAGCTTGCTGCCAGCGGTTAAGTTCTCGCTCCAAAGTCTCAGCAACGCGGTACTCGATTTTGGTGCCCGCAGTCTTCGCCAGCAGAAATTCGTGATAAACAGCATCGGCTATCTTTGCGAGTTCTGCATGTGCAATGATTGTCGAGTACGTCGTCGGGTATTCGGCTGCCGGAGGAACAGGTGCCTTCAATGGCAACTCCTGAGTAATCGTCAATATTGCTAGATATCCAGTTTATGGGTTATCGACCGTGGTACCTTGTCATCAATGTTCCGAGGAACTCGAGTATCCACAAACTCTTCGGACATGGCTGGTGGCCTTCCGGTCGTGATGTTGAAACCGCTCTCAAAGCAGTAGATAGTCCAGAAGAGCTGCCGACGTCGCTCATGCCCCAAGGTATCCTCCGACCCTGGTGGTTCCCGATGTAAGCCAAGACCCAGAGCCATTCTGTATGCCAGGCCGCTGAAGTTGTACCCCGTGTTGGTTCGGTCCCTCTTCTGCAAATAGTTGCTCATGAGCAAGAAAGCCTGTACAGTTTCAATAGTGCCAGATTCGAGCATCTGAAGTGATAGACTCGATCTCGCAGCACTGTAGTAACCTGATTGTAGATGTTCCGACTCAGTACTAGAAAGCCAGTGCCCAATGGCCAAGACCATCTGATAGACTACACGCCATGGCGAGGGGACCGGACGCTGTCTGCGTCCTACATCAACTCTTTCGCGAAAGGTCTTTTCGTGAAGAACAGGGTATGAGGTGTTGTAGAGAACGAAATATGCGTCTATCAGCTGGTTGGCAACATAAGAGGATTGAAGACCAAAAGACTCCGCCGGCAAGAGTCCTACCGAGCTTGAAGATCTGCGCAGACGTTTGCGATGCGGCGCTGGGTATTGTTGCTTGGCAGCGCTGGAGACGTGGATAACAGAGTCAATCTCCCCGAGTAACTGGGAACCAGAACTACTTCCTAAGAACCACGGTGCGCTCGTCGGTCAACCGTCCTCCGCAGGTGGTCTGGGATTGGCTTACCTAAGTATCCAGAGTCGTGGGTCGACAGCGTGGCCATGCCGTCATTCTCATATGTTGAAGACTTGCACTCTGGGGATAAGGAGCCCTCATGCCACTCGTAGCTGTGAGGGGTAATCTCATCTGATTCTTCTGGAGTATGCGAGTCATCGTCATCTCCCGCTTGCTGTCCGTCTGCATCTCTGAGGGCCGACTCAATATCAAGATCCGGGTTCAGCGACCGCAGGAGGTTTCGCAACTGCGTGCACCGGAGCTCGGCTTTGTCCAGGTTCTTCCGGGTCAGAGGCGTCCGATCGGGTGGGCTCTCGAAGCTGCACGTCTTGCCTGTTTTGGCGCAGTACGAACATGGGTCATTTAGAGCGTTACCTCTCATGCAGCGGCTCTTTCTCTTCTGGCAGTTGACGCACGCTCGAACCGTGGTTGAGTTGGAACATTTACGGAGAGAGCCCGGCATATCGGGCATGACGTCATCGAAGGGCGTCGAAACGTTGAGTAACAAAATCCTGGTCTCCAGCAGGTAGATATGCTGTCACGACGTAAAATGGAAAACGTTGTATGGCATCACAACGACCCACCAACGCTGCTTTCGAGATTTCCCTGCAACGGGCTGGAGGGTTGCCAGCCACAAACCGTGACTTTACCCCTCAAGAAACCGCTCTCGGAGCACTGTCGACCGAAACGACAGCGCCACACACCACAGCCACAGGTGCGGCGCGGCGTTGGAGATGCGGGGGATGCTGGGCGTGGGGGAACAGTGTGGGAACAGGGGAGAGGCCAAGACGACTGGCGATATGGTACACGTCGAAACTGTTCTTCTGGTAACACACGGAGGAACGAAGTCATCCTACTCCCCCATCTCCTGGTGAACAATAACAGATAACAACAGTGCAAAGAACAGTCGCATCTCTAGAAGCTCGAGTATAACCCCTAATAGACCCGAGCCTCCATCGAACTGAGAGACTGAGTCCTTGCTTCTTCATCGCGCATTACAGATATTAAGTAAGCATTATCTGTATTCTAATGTCTAGTCTATAGTCATAATCTACTCGTTATCCGTCACATTAATGACAGTCGACTTGAACTTCCTAGCAGGAACCTTGCGGTTAAACAAGATGTCCGCCTCACGGTAGGAGCGGTGCTTGAGCTCAGGAAGGAAGAAGAAGGCCATGACCCAACACACAGAGGCGGTAGCTCCCCAGACATAACCGCACTTGCCAGCGAGGTTCCACCCACTTGGGTTAAGCATCTGCGAAGCCAAGTAGATCATAGGGATTTCCGCAACGTAGTAGGCGGCACGGCCAACAGCGGTACTCAACGAGCGAAGTCGGACCGCAGATGTCTCGGCAATGATGGTGTATGAGATCGGTCCGAGGGTACCGGCGAAGACGAAGGAGATGAGGATACCGAGAACGGCCTGGGCGTAGTTGGTCGCAGTGCTCTGTTGGACGGAGGCGCAGATGCCAAGAATCATGAGCAACGTAACGTTGGTGACTGTGCCCCAAAGATAGATAGTGCGGCGGCCGAACCAGGCACTGAGGGGCCAGGAGAGAGCGTTGGCAAAGAGTTGGAGGCACGAGTTGATCAGATTGAGATCGAAAGCACGGTCATGAGACATTCCAGCTTCTGAATTAGGAAGTCAGCAGTCTGGGTTAGAAAAGACATTAGGAAGGACGCCACTTACGCTCAAAGAAGAAAGTTGCTTGGTTGGCGATCAGGTTACCAGCAAAGTTCTGCGACGCGTACATCAAGCACGTGATGGTAGTTCGCCTCAGGTCGACACCCTTGAACAGGTCAATAAGGCTGGGGCTACCACCCATCTGAGCTTCAATTTCGACGGTTCGCTCGATCATGGCATATTTTTGTTGATTCTGGTGAGTCGTGGCGCTGGAAGCACCGAGGCGCTTGACAGAGTGAAGTGCCTCCTCCTTGCGTCCACGGCGGATGAGCCAATAAGGAGACTCGGGGGCAAAGAAGATGATCACCATCAGCGGGGTCTATGATGAAATGTCGTTAGATTCTGTAGACATAGGTTGTGAAGAGAACAAGAGAGGGGGATATTATTCTCACAGGAAAGATCCATTGCAAGGCAAGAGGCCCTCGCCAAGCCCACTCGTCCGTTCGCTTGTTGTACCCAAGGGTAGCGCCGGCGACAATGATTGAACCGATAGACCAACTCATTTGTAGAGTAGCCGTGCAGGCACCTCGAAGGGCAAGAGGAACGATTTCGCTAGCGTAGGCAGGGCCAATGGCAATGAAGAATCCCCAAGGGACGCCTTCCAACGCTTGTCCGACCGTAAGAAGTTCGATGGAGTTGGCCTAGACGGAGTTCATTAGACGATGGGCTCCAGAAAGGGCAGGGTTGGAGCGACTTACAAAGAAGGAAACGAAAATTGTGGCGTTCATGAGAATCAGGGCGAAGATAGTAGTCAGACGGTAGCCGAAACGGTTGACAACGGGTCCCGCCAAGAAGACACCGACAAAAGCACCACATTGACCGGCTTGGAAAAGTGCACTTTGCCATTTGGTTTGTATAACATACTCGTCTCCCACCAAGACACCGTACTCCATTTGAAAGGCACGCTGGGCGACGAAGTTACCGTTCAAAAACATGTCGAACGACTCCATGACCTACCAGATGTCAGTTGTAGTCTTACGCATCTGGCTTTCCCAGAAGCGAGAAAGAGGGACTTACAATCGTGAAGCACATGATGAACGCCCAAAAGCAAGCCTTTGGGTGAGTCTTGACAGCCTCCCATAAACCCTGCTCGTGCTCCTCATTCTCGCCATCGAAGGCATCATTCATGAGGTCCGAATCGGCCAACACTTTGGAGTGCGCAGCATCGATGTGGTGGGCGTCCGTGTCTTTCTCGTTGAACCGGCCACCATCGTGCCCCTCCTCGACGACTCCTGTCGACATCTTAGGAATTGGCTCGTAGAGTTGCGGTGGTTGAGCCAAGGGAATGATCAACGAAGCCAAGATATCAAAACGAGGCTAAGTGAGCGGTGCATAAAGCCAAGGAGGATTAAGAGAATGCCAAGAGGAACCGCACGGCCAAGAATTGGGGAATCGGGGTATTTGGTCTTATACTTACGTCGGCGGCGCATCTGGTGGTAGGTAATGTTCATATCAATGTCATCGGTTGCACCTGTGTCCGACTTGTCGAAAGATTCGATATCCCATTGGTGCGCGTGTAAAGGGTTGATTCAACTGGGGCAATTGATCGTTTCCTTGTTGTGTCCGGGGTTTCCAGGTTTATAATAGGTGGAATATCTCTAATTACCGGGGTCATCAGCATTTTCACTAACATGCGAGAACGAGAAGATGGGTCTCCCCGGGTTATGCGGAGGCGGGGAATGGAGATGAACCCATTTTCGTCCCTAATCATCTCCAAAAGACTGGAGACTGGCCTCTAGCGGAATCCATAGCATGGACAGGTAGCCAGTGAGGGCTTGAAGATCTAAGTCGCGTCTCATTGAGACTTGATGCATGTGATCTCCCTATAGGTCTGATACGGTAACGCTAAACAGAGCCTGTTTTTGCCCTGGAGGAGACCTTGGTCTCCAAATTTCTCTCGGAGAAGGCACCCAAATAGGACTGTGAAAGAGGAATCTCTCCAACTTCTCCACCATTTTGTATCGGTTGCATACGAGCTACACTGTCAGCACACGTCAGACCAGAGAATGGAGAAGCGGCACAAACAACTTGCTTCCTCGGCCTGCACACGTGGAGCTGAATGCTAAAGGAAACCGACGGCCAGACAGACTAGCACCTGCGTCGAATATCAATCCATTGGCTCCAATCCCGAGAACCCCGGAAAACAGGCGGACAGTCATGAGAACGACGGCTGGATGACCTAACAACTAGGGTCAGGGTTCCAGGTACAAGTTGAGCTCTCCGAAGACTTGGAGCCAACTGATGTAGATAACACCAAAACATAACCCAATCTGTAGAATGGATACATCTAAGAGTCTTGCTGGTCATGGCATACGTTTCTCTCGTCACACAAAATATTGTTTACCGCCAGTTCCTCCAAGTGCGGAGTAGCACCAACAAAAGTGAGGGGGCAGACAAAAGGTCTGGAGCTAAGGTTCGTGCGGAGAAGAACTGAACTTTTTCTGGGGCTAACGGCCCCGCCGCCCCTGTAATGTCAAACCAGGGACGGGCTTGGCGAATTGGTAACGTAACTCCACGTCAGGTTCATCGATTCCCAGTAGTGTAGGTTGCCAGTGCTGCAAGCTGTTGCTCTAGCATATCATACTATTAGCGGTGGAGCATTGCAGCAGCGACCGCCTAACCTCGGCTGATTCCCCAGCCGTCAGTTCGAGAGGTTTCTATCCATCACTTTCACACAGAGTCCTGGGTTCCCCACTATCGCTGAACCTTTTCACTGTCACAGCATCGACTTTGGTGAACACGCCGATGACTAACCAAGCGTCGAGGTCCCCAAAGCGCCGTAACCTCACCTCGAGAACTACGCCAGCTTTTCCAGTTGTTTGCTCGATCGAGATGAGACATTTAGTACGAGACGCTAAGAGCCCACAAAGTGACTGGGGATTACCGTATCTGATGGTGTCGTAGCATTGCTGTTAACCTGAACCACAACTTGACATCACTCTTGAAATGGATCATCTTGCGCCTAACAAGAATTTCTGGTACAGTGGCGCTTTTGGCGGCACGAGGGTTTGAAGTCCACAAGACGATTGATTACACTTGTGAAAACGGCCTCATCGCAAAACTGGCATCGCAATGTCATATCTCTGAAACAGACGTAAGGTCCTCGGATCTGTATCGCGATGCCCAATTTGACAAGCGCACCACGCTCGAAAAACATTTCTTACTCGGCTAGAACATAAGCGTTAGCAGCACTCCTCCACGTGTTCCAGGCTCCGTGGTATTGGACCTGAGACACCGCATGAACCGCAGCAAGGATTCAACGCTATCTGGGAGATGGTGACCGCTGGCAAGGAGACCTTATGAGATAAGACGTATGTGAGTGCTTCACATAGACCCACACTCAATAATGCCTCTCTTGAGTAGCTGGCATTGTGCTTATATGCAGATCTTCAATGAGTAAGAAGCATGCTGGTATCATAGGTGAGCCGGCCTGATTGACTACTTGGTAGTCGTTACTGCTTGCAACGGTAAAACAGTAACGCGATTCCTCAATGAACATGGGTTAAAAGATCGACAATATTTCGGTTAGCTGGAAAGGAGCTTCGGCTCATGATCTGGAGTGTGACACTTATGTGCGCTCTCATGAATGAGACGATTCACTTTGCTTGAGAAGACAAATTTGCGTTCAAACAATGAAATTTTACCCAGTGTTCCACTCACAAACGACACAGGTTGATTCCTTTTCTCCATGGCCAAAGATGGTTTCTTCAGTTATAAATTCAATGTTGTCCAAGCAACTTCCAAATGCTCCACTACGCGGCTGCAGCACTATATATGCATAGTTGAGAAGTGCCTCAGCTCGGATTTGATGCCTGACTCTCGTTTATGAGCACGTTGACATTGGAAGACATCCAGTATAACCCGACCGTACTTTGGGGTCGCTAATACTTCACCCACATGCTTTCAGCCCTGACATAAAACGATACATCGATAATAGGCAAATTTAATTTAGCTCAACCGAAGTTGGGCCCAGCTGTTATCATGACTCATCAAACACAGCGTTCACCGGTAAACTGTGCCACCAGACTTTGCCAACCTTCCCCTGACTAGGTATCAAGCATCTTCCTCTCCCCCCCTATACAATCAAATGTTCTTTTTTTTTCTGTCTTACGAGTCATGCGATGGTTTTGTATGTCGTTTAGACTATCGGGCAAGACAGGGCCGATGAACTATTGGACGAAGCCATTCCAGGAACCTCTACCCCAACAACATCTCCATGTCTTCGGAGCACAGCACGCCGACAGATAGGTTCCAAGTTCGTGGCCACGCGAGGCCCTCGCTTCCTCAATTTCCTGACCAATGTTGGGTCCATAGCAAGCATAGTATGGGTTATCTGGGGTGAAGTTCCCGGTGATGCCTTGTCTTTATGTATAACGGTATCCCCTCATCTTGCACCAGTGCCGTGAGGCTTTGATCGGCTCAGTATCTTTAATATATTGTGTTGTAAACTGATCAAAAATATTGGATGCCTTTTAGTGAATACAAGCTTGGCCTTTACTTACTAGTGTTGAAACTCAGTAATTATGGAAGTCTCTTATGGAGAAGCCGGTGAGTAGTAAAATCTAACAGAGTAAGGATTTGGACCTTTGTGCGAACTGACTTGCATTTTTAGGCTACAAAGGGCTCATTCATGAGCCTTACATCCTTTTTCTTGCTTGCTTCTCAAGCATCGGCGGTTTGTTGTTTGGGTAAGAAATGCTGAATGCTATATACATATCTTAAGAGGCCAATAAGACTTACGATGAATCCATAACTACCAGTTACGATCAGGGCGTCATCAGCGGCGTTCTTGTAATGGACACATTTGTCGGTCCGAACACACCTTCCCAGCAAACAGTAGATATCTAACTATATGCTTACAGGCTAAGCAATTTCCAACACTCTCCAAAAATACAACACTTCAGGGATGGATGGTGGCTGTACTGACTCTCGGAGCGATGGTTGGTGCTCTGGTCAACGGTCCAATTGCCGATGGCCTCTCCCGCCGTTGGACCATCCTTCTTGCGAATGCCATCTTCCTCATCGGCTCCATCATACAAGCCGCATCGGTGAACGTTCCCATGATGTTCGCCGGCCGCTTTATGGCCGGAGTGTCGATTGGTCAATTGTCCATGGTCGTCCCCCTATATCTTAGCGAAATGGCGCCGCCGAATCTTCGTGGTAGTCTTGTTGCACTCCAACAGCTTGGCATCACAACTGGAATAATGATTGCGTTCTGGTTGGACTTTGCTACACAGCATATTGGCGGAACAGGAGATAGTCAATCCCCTGCGGCGTGGAGGCTTCCGCTTGCTCTCCAATGTGTGCTCTCTATGATTCTAGCTGTTGGCACATTTTTCCTACCGTACACACCCCGGTGGCTGTTGATGAAAGGTCAAATATTATGTCTATGATCAAGGACCTCTAGGGTTGCTAATATATAATTTCTAGATCGCCATGAGGAGGCCTTGGCCACACTCGTTCGCCTCCGACGCGTCCCCCAAACTGATCCGCGACTGAAGCTTGAGCTTTTGGAGATCAAAGTGGCCGCCCGGTTTGACAATGATACAAGCTTCAAGATGTACTCTGGAGTAACCTCAAAGCTCCAGCTCACCATCGCGAGATATAAGTCGCTATTTGTGGTTCGTCACCTAAATAGACGCTTGCTAATCGCGTGCTTGCTTCAAATCATCCAACAGTTCACTGGTATCAACGCCATCATATATTATGCACCAACGATATTTAAGAATATCGGTCTGTCCGGCAACTCTGTCGACTTGCTGGCAACTGGTGTTGTGGGAGTCATCAACTTCTTCTCCACTATACCCGCGATCATGTTCATGGACCGGTGGGGACGCAAGAAAGTATTGCTTATTGGTGGAGTTGGCATGGGCCTTTCGCAGCTCATTGTTGGCACGCTCTATGCCGTTTACAGAGACTCCTGGGAAAGCAACAAGTCGGCAGGCTGGACTGCAGCATTCTTTGTTTGGACATACATAGCAAACTTCGCCTTCAGCATTGGATGTGTTAACTGGATTATACCATCTGAGATCTTCCCACCTGGTGTCAGATCACAAGCTGTCGGATTGGCCATTGGAACAAACTGGTTGAGTAATGTAAGTTTTGAAGTTGTTTGCAGGACAAATCACTCACGATGGCAACTAGTTCATTGTCGCGCTTATTACGCCCAGGATGTTAGAGGCTATCAAGTTCGGCACATTCTATTTCTTCCTGGGTGAGTCATGCCATAATTACCTGATGGCTGGATGCTAACGACTTTAGCTTTCTGTGTCATCCTTATCATTTGGGTATATTTCTTCGTTCCAGAGACAAAGGGCGTTCGGATTGAGGAGATGGATAAATTGTTTGGCGGCAACCAAGGTGTAGCGGACATGAACAGAATGGCTACCATCAGACGTGAGTTAGGTCTTACGCCTGACAGTGGTGGCCTGAAGGCAGAAGCAGATGTCAATGTTGAGGTTCGGGAGTTGGAGAACGTTTGACATTCCGAAAAGAGAAACCTAGTCATTCAACTCTTAGCGTAGCGACTCGTGTTGCTCCTGCAAAAAGAAAAAAGAAAGAAACAGCCGATAATGTACGGATATGGATACAAAATTGCGCAACCACTTCGGTATCTCTCCGAAGCATCAAGGTTCTGCTTCATTATCAAGGAAGGTGATTGGATACTCATGCAGTTGCAATTACAACATTTGATCCGATTGGCCCCAGGGGTGTCAGCTCTTGGTACCGATTTCAGCCTACGAATGGGAGCTCCTATTCTTAAAACGCCCCTCCAACAGGCGAGATGAGTTGTGCTATGTCAGCATGCGAGAACATCTCCAAATTCAAACCATTGTGCACTCTGACTACCACGTCGCCTTCCCTGACCCTTCAACATTGCGGTTCGCGGTTGCTAACCACCGCAAGCAGTGGCCCTTATCAAGCCCTTCATCTTGGGCCTATTAAGTCGTACAAACAACCAGCGCATAGTTATTCTGCTACCCACTTGCGGTCAATGCTGACAAAATGTCATCCAATCATCCGTCGGCTGAGGATGATTGGCAGGGCGTGGCGGACGCCAAACTTCGTAGAAAGCTCCAAAACCGGTTGAATCAGAGACTAACTCGTAAGTCATCAAACACACCTGTCCCGTGTTGATTGAAACATGAGCCGATCCAATGGAATGTAGGAAAAAGAAAAGCTGCCCAACGGGAGGCCATTGCAAAAGCTCTCACAGCTCGTCGTGACTATTTCACCGCAATACCTAGACCAATCTTACCGAAGCCGCTAGCCCAGTCGGACGACACGGATAAGCCAGCTTCTGCAACTCAGGGGAAAAAAGAAAGCCTTCGGTCAAAAGATAAAGGGTTTGCTGTTGCCAACAGCCACCGAGCAGAAAGTCAGCAGGCACTTGGCCTTCTGAAAACACTTCCAAGGGGAATCAGTATTTTTCCTGCGACATATCCCGACCTAACGGATGCACATTTTATAAGGGTCTTCCAATATAGTAAGCATATCTACGTAAAAATCAGTCGAGAAGAAATTTGTTAAACATGTCTTCCAGCTATCACGACCTTACTACCTACGGTGGGCAGCGAAACGGCTACCGGTGAGCCTCTTCAAGCTCCTCTCTGCCGTGCCGCGATGTCAGACCCACTCGTTTTTCATGCTGTCTTAGTCGGAGGAGCATCTCAGCTCATATGCCGCACGAAGTCGATCGAGGATAACCGAGTACTCCTAAAGGCCGAGAGTCAGATCGCCCGTACAGTTCGTGAACGACTCACTGTGGGTATCACCACGATTTCTGACACAGTGTTGTTCGCTATCATGAGTATTGCCCTCAAGCAGAATACATTCCTGCTATCGCTAGCACCACAAGATATCTATGCTGGTAACTTTGATAGCCCAGTCAAAACTCTTGGCGGATTGGACTGGATGGCTATGATCGATGTGGCACCGAACCACACAACCATGTGGATGTATCTCTTGGAAGCCAGAGATGCTTCGCTCAGTGATAAAGTACCGGGACTCATTGAGTACTTACAGGGGGTGGATCTTTTGAGAGCCAGTGCGCTATTGCAAAAGCCCGGTTTGGAGATGCAGGAAACGTTCCGTTTAGTGGCAGAAAGAGTCGCTGCCACACGACCAGATATCACTGAGGCGGATAACTTTCATGTTGACACAAACTTCAAGAACATTCTCCTTGACATCAGGACATGTTGTCAGCTTATCGATGCCTTCCCTGAGAGAGAACATCCGCACTCCTCCAAGACTAGAAGGTTAGTTCATCACCGAAACCTGGTACTCTACCGGCTTTTGTCGCTGCCACCGGGAGTGTCAGAGATGTGCCGTCTCACCGCATTAATATTCAACTACGGCGTGTTATATCCGTTTCCAGACCCACGGTTACTCTTGAAGCTCACCGGAAAGCTTGCGCCTATGCTTTGTGATTCACAACACACCAAAAATGAAGATGCTGGGTTTCTGCTTTGGGCAGCGGTCATTGGAGGCATCGCGGCTGCTGGTACAGAGACTTATGACTCTTTTGCCGACAAAGTCAACGAGTTTGCTGGTGTACTTGGATTGGACAACTGGTCTAGCGCGTCGGCTATCCTTAAATCCTTTATTTGGCTTGAGCAGGCGTGTGGCCTTGGCGGGAGAAATCTATGGGCGCGGGCGCGGGTGCGGGTATTGAACACCAAGGTTCGCGACCCCTCTGCCTGTTAATCTCAGGCGAATAATAAAGAATCAACAGTTAAGACTAGGTCAATCAACGGGTTTCTTAAGACATCCTCGGAAGCCGAGATACTTATACATGGGACTGAACGGCGCCGCATCATTCCACAATCGTGTCTTTACGTTTCGGAATTCATGAAACATTATATAGCCTTTGAGAGATGGCACAGTCTAAGGAACTCGTACAGTTACTGGTCTCAACATATTTAAGTGAGTTTATCAGTTGTCCATCTTAAAGCGCCATCCGCTTTCAAGGTCTGCGATTCTTTAGATGACTTCCTACATACTGACCTTCCACATCTCGACCTTGTCTAGAGATCAAATCTAGCCAAGATTGAGAAGACATTTTTGTACCGATGGAACTTGCAGTTATAGCCTCAAAGGATCAAGCCATATGCTTGGGTCCTGCTGATTTGGTTCTGGCGCAGGAACGAAGGATGAAGCATCTAGGTCTGGTTGTACCGAAGAAGGGGGGGTAGTGTATTTCAGACGGTAAGAAGGATGACCTGCAAGTGCTGAAGACTCCAGAGCTTTGGCTTTCGGTATCAGATTTATGGACTAGGCGTATATCAAAAGCAACAGCGAAGTCGCTTATGGCAAAAGCTTTGTGCATATGTCCACAGTAATCGTAGAGGACCCATTTTCCAACTCAAACACACAAATAACAACACGAACCTCGACATGAAGGCCACAGCCATATTCTACGTCCTTATTGCCTCCATTGCTGGCGTCAATGCTGCTGCCATTAAGGAGAGCCAGAACGCTCTCAAAACTGTTGTAAGCACAGTCACCAAACTTCTCCATGTCAAGGAAAAGTTTTCAATTCGGTCAGAAACTAATAAAAGACCAAATCGAGGCTCGCTGCTACTGTGACGGCACATGCTGTGGCGGCTCTTGGTGCACCGATACCGACGTTGGACTCTGCTGTAACGATGGTCCATGCTGAAAGAAACCTCGTTGGGGCGTGAGAAGAATGCGAATCTTCATATAGCGCGTTTCGTCAGATGAATATGGTTCAAGAGCATCACTAAGGCAGAATGGCACTTGCAGGTATGGTGGTCCTGCAGAAAGAATTTAAAAATCTCTCATCGATTTCCCTTCACATTAATTCATAATGTACCAATGTATGAACAAAAACAGTGCATATCGATCTGTGATTGCGGAAGCCGTGTTTTTACTTCTTAGAAGTGTCATTCTGATTGTTCTAGATGCTAGGGAATCCCTTTCAAATAAGCTTTATGACCAAGGTCCCCCAAAACCCAACGTAATCTACTTGAAATACCGGTTTCCTATATGCTCCTATCGGTAGTCAAACCCAGTTTGCTTGTCGCCAACCTAGGGTCAATTACTATGCTGGACCCCAATCTGTGACTCGCAGTGTCCAAAGCCATCCGATACCATTTCTGGGAAGCCGAACACTGAGAGGTCATTATCCCGAGTCCATTTCCCCGATTCACAAGTGGCCCGATGGAACTGCCTCGTCAGAATACTATACTATTGGAGAGATTGTACAGACCCAAAGTAAGTGCCTGGAGGAGAGTACTTGCGATCTCCGCCCATGGTATTGATCCATGCGTTTTTTCGGATGCTACTTGTTTCCCCATGAAGATCAAGCACTTTGGTGAAAGGTTAGGTTAAATGACTGTTTGAGATTTCATGTATCCTATTGCAGGAAGTTTTTCAGCTAGTTTGTGTAAGCACTCAATGTGCTTCCACACTTCTAATCTCGAGAAGTTTGGTCGTTTGGGACGAACACGGCCCAATGTAAATCACGGAGTGACGTTTCTAATTGATGCATAGCACTCGGTGCACTCTCAACAGACTATTCTTAATCGAATAAATACGCCATCACAAGAATGTTGATCAGAAAAGAAAGAGCAGTGGTTTTTATCATGATAACTTTCTCAAATGGAAAAGTTGTTTTATCGTTCGCTGTTGGAATAGAGATTTGCACGCATTCGTACCTATCCAAGCGGCAATGCCACCTGTACATTAGTCAGCAGGATCCATCCTATATAAGGGCCAGATCTGCCAGATATCTAGGACTTAGAACATTATCGGCAGCAAATACATTGACGGTCAACCCCTATTATCGTGTGCCTCCAGCAACGCGCGAGCTATTCCGATATTCGCTACTTGTAAAAAATCAAGAATCTAGTCAGCCAACCGATGTGACAAAATGCGCCAGACGCTGCTAAAATGCCGCCTATCATTCACGAATCAGACTCTGCAGATGCGTCCGGTTGCACTCGTTCCTCCGATAATCTCGGGTTCCTCAACGCAAAAGCGAAGCCGACCATTGGCACACAAATGCACATTCCAGCAATACAGAGCAGCCTCTGGACATCCCTGTAGCTGTCAATGATAGCATCTCTAATCTTTCCGCCAACGGGGTAGTGCTCGATGGTCGAGAATGGCGAGTTGTAAACAGCCTGAGCCAACGTCGTGTTTGGCTGGAATGCAAGGTTCTGTTGCAAAGACGGGTAAAGCAGCTGTGTCCAAAGAGCTCCCGACAGGCAGTTTCCCAAGGCACTACCCACGTTGAAGACTGATAGATACAGGCTGGTGACAACAGCGACGTGCTCACGATCTGCGGATGCCTGTATAGACGCCTGAGTCGGGTACGCAAACAAGCCGCCCGCCAATCCCATGATAATTTGGCCAGCAATGAGACCGAATTTTGAACTGGCAGTTGCTCCCCCAGGATATAGGATAAGAAGACCGAATGATGCTGTGAAGATGCAAGCGCCTGCTACGATGATGCCCTTGAGTCTGCGGATCCTGTAGATGATGATGCCGACCAAGACACCACTGAAAACGCCAAAAAATGAGAAGAATGACAAGATGCGGGTTGACGTCTCGATGGAGAAGTCAAATGCTACCACGAGCACGGTATACAAGTAGTTTCCTTGGGTCGACCATGCAAAGTTGAGCAGACTCCGCACCGCCAGAGCTGACCAGACTCCGCGGTCTTTGAGAAGGCGGAAGGGTATAAGAGGGACTTGAGCATAACAACGTTCCCAAAAGACGAAGGCGGGAATGCATGCCAGGCCGAAGGCAAGGGGGACTATGATTCCGGGAGATTTCCAGTGGCTCACTGTCCCTCCGGCCAGAGTGAGGGGTGCCAACGTGAAGGAGAAGGCCGCGATGAGAATGGCCAGACCGACAGCGTCCAGTTGGTGAAATAGGTCAACCGCCGCTCTCTTCGACTCAGGGTGAGTCTCATACTTGCGCGTCCTTTTCCCGAAGGAATAGAGACTCGTGAGCAGCGGGGTGGAACAGATGGGCAAAATTATCGCCCACATACCAATGCCATATCGCCATGACAGGACGCGTAGTACAGCAGCCGTTACGTTTCCGCTAATCCATGTGTTGAAGACGAAAGGGATAGCTGGGATATAGCTGAAGAAGACCCGAGAACGCATCGACGAGAAGTCGGCGACGAGAACCTCGAGTAGTAAAACGATGCAGGTCCAGCCGATCTGGTATAAAATAGCGCCAACACAAAATAGCTCAACGGACGTCGCGCTGGCCTCTAGAAGCGTCCCGACAACATAGAACAAAATTGACACCGAAATCGCTTCGAAACGGCCATATATATCAGCGACCTTGGCGACTGTAGGTTGTGAGGCCACGGCGACGACGCTGCGCAGGACGTTGATGGTCGAGTGGGATGAGTGCAGGTTTAGACTTGAGGTGGCGTATGGTTGGTAGGTTGATCGGACCTGACTATCCAGACCGTAGGCGTAGCCGACGAGAAAGATCCCGACAAAAAGCCAGACACGCTCCGCATGAGTGATTTGTTCTGCAACGGTATCGGTTTGTGCAACCCCGGAGGACGGATCCTGGGGGGTTGCGTTGGGGTTCCTTCGGCTCGGTGCTCCGACATTGGAGGCGGTCTCGGATTCGAGGAGCGGCGATGTCTCACTGCCCGGGGCTGAGGCGTTGCGCTTCGTCCACAAGTTCGGCATCGTCTCAAGATTTACGTTCTCGTGTGATCGGCTGAGATGTTTGTGCTCAGGACAATTCTCGTAAGGTCTCTCAATGTTTCGTTGACGACCGTGGCCGTGCACTCGTTGTTGGAGACCACCCAGAGCTTGCGACCGTAGATTTCCTGATCATTCGTGAGACGGAGGGATTTTTTTTCTCGCGCGGTTACGCATTCGTATTACGCCTGCTCCAGGGGGTTTCAGTCAGCAGGGGTGGCTGCAATGGGAATACTTGGAGCGGCGTACGAAATCATGACCAAATGTTGGGAGGAACTTGGTGGGTGTGATTTGAGTGAAGGATGTAGAGAGAAAATCGACATCGAAACTGCCTGCACCTTGGGAAAACGAGCCGGCAGGAACCTGAAATCCCCCGACACTGGACCGGGGGATTCGTGCTCTGTCAGCAGGCGAAGACCGGGGGGACAACACACGCATCGGGTGATCAGATTAGATCATCTGATAAGATGCCCCATATTTCCCAGACCAATCAATGCACGCACTTCGGGATGGCCCGCCGCCTTAACCGCCAATATTAAATCTTCATTGTTCGCAGACTCTTCTTCCTCTCATTGCTGCTCAGAAAGAATCAGTCGATCAAATTGTATCAGTTGGAACTTTCACTGCGTTTTTTTAAGTGAGAAAATGCGTCGTGAAATCCCTTAGCGCCCGAGCAGCTTGTATTCGTTGACGCAGTGAGAGCTAGCGATAGTCTCGTCATCATCGACCCGCTAATTACAACATTGGAACCTCGGGTTTCCGGCATGCATCGGCTTCCTCTCCCCACCGTGCTGATTGTTGCAAAAACCGATTCTACGTCTTTCAATAATGGCACATATTCTGGGGATGTTCTGTATCATTGAAGACGCCGTTATCCCGATCGTCAAGACCAGCCCATACTTTTCCGTCTCCAGATGCCCACAACGGCCCGGGAAACAAGCATTAGGGGTCTTCGGGTAGCACCGGAGCATCGCATCCCAGAAAAACGACTGGCACCCCTGTACCCGCCCTTTGCGCTACCTGTGGTAGTCGACCTCACCCGGGAAACGGAAATTGAGCAATCCCCAATTGAAGATGGAGAAGTGCATAACTGAATGAGTCCGTCAGATACCTTTTGAAAATGTACCTGATGCGACTAGACCTGTCCTTTCGACGGTGCCCGCCCTAAGGAGACACTGCTATGCTATAGAACGGAATATGATTTGCATGTCTGTCTTAGACGTAGGGTGTTCGTCAACGTTCTGTATGCAATGTCGATAGGTCCATCTTCAAAACTAGATGGTACTTGATTGAATGAATTCAGACAAGTATTCCGATTAAGCCTTTTTTTCTTCTTTTTATGTGTGGCAAAAATACACATAAAATCAAACTGAGGTCAGTCTAGCGGTTATCCCATCAAGTGCCCACTAACGCCATTGCTGCCAAGGGCGGGATAGGCCAATAAGCTTCATTGTTTAGAGACTTTGAGCCGATCAAAGTTTCGGAAAATACTGCTCTTGGAGTAAAAGTGGGTAGAAAACGGGAAACCAAAAATGGCGTTAATTGGCACTCGATGGGATGGTCTGTAGATATCTGAATTATGAGATCTATTGGATGGAAGGGTCGGATCTGTCAAGGCGAAGGCAATATACATCATCAGCGGCCAATGTGGACCTTGTCGCCAGCAATGTCAGGCCCAGAGCTGGACCGGGTCTAGCTACCCGACTGAATCACTTCTTATAGCGAGACAATGCCAGAAGTCGGGATGACAGCATAGTAGATAACAACATCAAGGGATGGTCTGATCAACGGGCGACATTTAATCGGCTCTGACAGATAGACACGCAAAAGGATCACTAGTAATGTTAGGTGCTGGTGACCCCTTGAGACGTAAGAAAGCCAAACCTCAGAACCACAATAGTAGGCAAAAACAAGGATAATCCACCCAATTGGACCCACACGCGATAGCGGCGTTTTGCAATATAAGGATCATTTAGCACCCGGATTCATAGACAGAGGACTGACATTGACCAAACCATCGTGATGAACAGTTGAGCCAAAAGGGTTGTCAGTACTTGCACACTTGGGAGTGCTGCTGTCAACATCACCTCAATGATCTGGGCGCACTTGTCTCATGACAACTGCCTCCCCCATTTATGGTCGTCTCGGTCCTCAGGATGCCAGCTCCCCTGTCGGTCTTTGTCTCATTACCTGCCATTCGGCTCCTTAGTCGGAGACCTGTACAAACAAGCATTGATCCCTAAAATTAAGTTTACTCACATGCGGAGCCTTCCCCACATACATAGGGCGCCTCCGGTACTATCAGCCCAGCAGCTGCCACTGCCGCCCACGAGCGTCATAGCTTCCTTCCACCTTTTAGCCCAGCTTAATGGACCGTAGGCGTGCAAGCGCAAATGAACAGTGGGCTGACAATGACCGTACCGTCGCAATGAACCATTAGGTCAGAATGGTTTGCCATTGCTCGCATGCCTGCAAGCGCCGCTGTTCATATTGCTCAAGTGGGCTGGGCACACCTGCCCAATGACAAAATAGGTCACTTTCAATGCCACGTGCATCTGACCCCTGACGGTGCAAAACATCCAAAAGTCAGAACGACAACAGTAAACAAAAAGGATGATCCAGTCAGGCAAACACCGCCATGATCTGCAAAATGGGCTCTTCCAAATTTTCAGCCATCCGAATGCGTCGTTCCGATCCCGCATCAGCCCACGTGCATCTGGCCCCTTGCGACAATATGAGGTCAGAAGTCTGGATGTCGGCAAGCAGGTATCAACAGGGTTACCCCTGTGTCGTTTCTTCTACTCGGTTTTGTATCAACTATTGTGAACCTGTGTCACCTCACAAACGAGCGCCTGGGCTACGTACCTCTGTAATGCGGCTTGGAAGGATACTGCTGTCTGTTAGTCTCTGTTCTCAAAGTGTTCTTGTTTTGTCCTCTGGTCCTACCTATTTCGCTTCGTATAGCATATATCGCTATCTGCATGTCTTACTGAGCTTTTCCGTCGCTCTCAATCCAAGAGTCGCCTTTGTTTCCCAGGATAACGTTCAGCGCAAGTCCAATAAAACCAACAGCAGCCAACTCCAGCCCAAGGAGATGGATTCACACTGTATGCATCGGGCCGTAGTTACCGGACCTACAATTTGAGAAAAAGGATGGCAATTTCTAGGTAGACCGGACGATGTGGCGCAAAACACGGCCGGATGAAGCCGGACACATTGAAACAGGCGGTGAAGGGGCATCAGTCAGGGTACTACGACTCATAAAGGCTGATACGAAGAATACGAAGAATCATATGGCATGCCGAAGAGCTGATATTGAATCTCCTTTCTACCTTCCTGAAAGAAAGCGAGGATGGGGGAGCTTTAGGCCTGAGCTGATCATTACAATTGCCGGTTTAGACTAGTAGAGTGTTGAGTGAATGTTCGTATTTCTTGCGAGTCACTCTGCCCGGAGTACAGATTCATGTCCATGATCCACAGCCCTATTTCTAAGCTAACCCGAATCGTATCCCGAGCCTCAGCCCGAGTCCGAAGAAACCCTTGCTGTAGATCCTACTTACCAGTACTGTGGTATCTCTATCCGTATTCCGAAGGAAGACTCCGCTTTAAAAAAAAAGCAAAAACAATGGTCGGGTTAGATATACCACCCGTTTCACTTGTTCTTTATTTGCCTAATCATTCGAACGCGACACACTTATCTATTCACTCAAAAATCTACGCTATAGACAGAAAGGAGGCACTGGTTATAATTTACAAAAGAAGGAATGAGCTTTTCCCATTCACAAAAGCATAGCTAGAGGATTCCCTTCTCATATATGTTCGGTTAGATTTCGTGGTGGTCTCAACAACAGCCATGCCCCTACACAAAACTCATCGCCCCGTATTGGGAATCAAATCTGTCAAATCATCCCGACAAACTCGCATTCTGATTCCAAGCATGCCCGACTGACACAGGTATCATCGTGTTACCCCTCCCAAGCACCGGTCCAATCTCCCTTAATACGCATCGCAGTCAGCAACATCGCGACTTGGCTGTGAAAAGCCAAGTGCATGCGTGACTTGCTTGACCCTTACACTTTCAATAAATTGGAATGGTCACCCAGCGAGTCATTAAACCGTGCTTGTCTTCCAACTTCAAGTTAGGTAGTTGTGTCGGCTAATCCAGAGTTAATCTAAGCCTGGTCTAGCGCGGTGCCGAAACCCGATGGTCCTTGTGATATTGTCCCAAAGAAGCTGGTCCACAGTCAGAGACAACCATGTCTACTTGTAACCTCATGTCCAATCGCATCCCATCACCTCACAAGTACATATACACCGCTGCTGGAGAACAGCTCAAACAGAGTCTTACCCTGTTTCCTGAAATTAATATATTTTAATTTAAAATCATGAATTCTGGACATTGTTGCTTATCTTGACGGCTCATTAGGGAAGTAAGTTGGATTGTGTGATGACAGCAGGAGCAGTACGGACAAATGAAGCACGGCCAGATGTCAAACTTATAAGAAGCAGCTATTATTACCTATAGCTCTGTTAGAAAGCGATAAAGAAAGACAGCAAGAAAACAACTACTCCCCACACTTCAAAAAAAAAACTTCTCTCCAAACCACCTCCTTTTCCAAAAGAAAGTATCTTTACAATCTCCTCAAAATGCAGATTCAGGTAAGCTTTTAGAGTAAAGAGAGTTTCTACAGTTAACAGAAGCTGATACTACTTCTAGGTCGCTGCCGTGCTCCTTGCCCTTCTCCCAACCTTTGGCTGGTCGTGCGCTGTTTACAGCTTCTGCAACTGCCAAAACGCCGACGGTAGCTTCCACGAAGCAGCGACAAAGGCAGTTTGCGCCCAATTCGCCGGAAACTACGACAGATTCAGCGACGGCAGACATTACTGCTCTGCCAGAGTGGTCAACGCCGGTTCTGCCGGAGGAGTTGTCCTAGACTTCAACAACTGCCGCTTCTTGTCGGCCTGCCAGAAGCACGGTGCTAATGGTGGCTCTAACTGCTGGGGAAAGGAGTAGGCTGGGCGAGATGGACTTCGTATTAGATGGCTTGTAATGTTGGTGATTTCTTCGATTCGACTGATGATGGCCTGAGGGTCGTCGACAGCAGTGTTGTTGCACGAAAAATCATTAGTGAAAAGTGATCATCATGATCTGAGTGATCAGGTTGATGACTACAGTAATCAGGGTGGTTATCTTAGGAACAAGTTATAGATGAGTAGATAGTGGAAGGGAAAGGGTTCTACCTGTACTTCTTTTGCGAATTTAAATTTTCTCTTTCAGAGCCAATTCAATCAGATTTAGCTAGGCAGTGTCTGCGTACACTTGGGATTAGCTAAGGCCAACTGATACTCAAAACCAATCCTCAGAAACACGCAAGCAGCAACGTATCTTGTTGATATTGATAGCATCGGCGACGCCTTTTAGGGCTTGAGGTTCTTGTTTGGACTCTTGTCCTACACGCACATACATACAGCTGAAAGTAGTTATCTAATACATGCAGCATAACATTTTGATGACACTTTTTATTGATGATTTCAAAATGTACCTCCATCGTTCATCAGATACAATTCTTGCGTCCCGTTCGGATTACAATAACCCCTTCCGGCTAGTTGATTACTCACACATGCGGCCCAAATGTGCACACCCATAATCTATTAAATACATATACTGTCGAAATAGCTCGCGCGCTGCTGGAGGCACACGATAATAGGGGTTGACCGTCGCTGTATTTGTTGCCGAGAATGTTCTAAGTCCTAGATATCTAGCAGATCTAGCCCTTATATAGGCTGGATGCTGCTGACTAGTGTACAGGTGGCATTACCGCTTGGATACGTACGAATGCGTGCAAATCTCTATTCCAACATATACATCATTTTACGTCGACTACAAACATCGCAGAATCAATACTTGTGTTCTTCGGAGTACCAGAAATAGCGATACACAGCCGGTAAGAATTATCGCATATTGATTTCCAACTAGACTCAACTCATCCTTCGACGGAGATCAGGTACAATTCAAGCGCAAGGGTGAGCTCAACATCGTGTCGCGTATAGACACAGCTAAATGTCGCATCTATCGTTCATAATTCGACGACTGAGTCGATCTAAGCTTCATCTCCATCTTCGTCCAAAAATACGGATCTGCATAGGCCATTCCTCTGATTCGCCCTCTAGAACCTTGATGATATCTTTATTATACCCCGGCAGTGAGGCTGCTGACCATTGACATAGTTCAGCTCTTTGCCTTGTACCCTCCAATACATTGTTTCCTACCATACGGGGAACAAGTAATAGACCTGTCGGCATACGTTCGCTTGGAGAATACTTCTCTTTATCCTTGATACCTAGGAGTAAAACCACTGCACCTGGGTTGTTTCGGCTGAACTCCATGGCTTCTTCACTGGCAAGCTCCGGTCCATTAATAGCGGTCCAATGTTCCATGTCGTCAAGGTCGATTATTCCGCTTCAACCCGCCTTGCTATCCAAATGTGTACCAGCTTGTTGAACATGCATACCTTCTCGTGGAAATGTCCCCACATTATACCGCCTAGGTCGACAGTTGAAAACTGAGCCGTTGGAAGCATGTCCTTGAACACGCTGTTCCTTTCGCCGTATGTCTCATCTGCAAGGCGACGTGTTGGTTGTCAATCTTGCGAAATTCCCCACCCTTTGCGGACTTCAAGCGATTTTGTAAAAACATGCACCTGGCTCATGATGGGATCGCGCTTCAACAGTTTCCGTCCGAGCTCATCTTTCAGTTCTTAAAGCGGAAAGTTGCGTCTGGGGTCACGGCCTGGTCTGGACTTCCCAAGTCTGAATCCGAATACCTGCATGATGCCGTAGACGCGGTCTGCTTCGCGTGATGTCCTTTAATGTCGAGCAGCATCGAGAAGCGTAATCAGTAGCTGCCACCTAAGACCAGCCATACCGCTGCGCTCAAGAGCTTTTCTTAATCGTCGTAAATGTTCGTCATTTCGAGTGACCATTAGCTCGACCTGCTCATGATAGACAACCAGCTGTGAGTGCTGATCGCAAAAGCTGATGAAGTACTCAAGCAACACTGGATCTTCAGCGGGGGTGTCGCTGTCAGAAAAGATCAAGGACTCGCCCGTCCTAGTGAGAGAGATCGCCTTAGGGCAGAGATATAATTCCTGCAATGTCCAGAGGATTTCAAGGGCCCGGTTGAGGGGTCGATTAAAGTGCTCAAAGACGCCATGGGTCATATGTCGACACAGCACCCATAACAAATGACATCCACTTCATCCGGTGGGAAAATGGGTCCGTTCTCATACTGTGCCGCCGTCTAGTATCACACAACTGCCTGTTTCCACTATCAAGGTCACAGTCCTGGAGTTGGAAGGCTGGGGAAACAACTTGCTCGAGACCCACGAAACCCCACGCCGAGGATGTTGAATCAGCGCGGTACGCTAAGGCGTAGGTCACGAATGATGGAAATGGTCTTAAGTTCTAAAAGCCGGCCCTAATCCAGTGTCGCGACGAGGACCGACCAAGTCCCGGACCTTCGTGCTTGATAACGGCGATGAATGAGCCCTTTGTCACTTTCCAGGACTTCATCATGACCGTGTACCGGTGGATGAGTGCTCTCGAAGGCCAAATCCGCAGCACAAAAGACGTGTTCAGAGTAACTCCCGTGCCCCCAATATCGACCTGTTTCTCGATATGCTTGCTCGAAAGCGAAAGCGAATGTTGCTGGGTTAAACCAAACGTTCGATTTGAGGGCAGCGGGATATTCCCGATACCAAGAGGTATTTGGCAACTTGTTTTGAGCACAATAGGGCCCATCTATCGTTGTCCTATGGACCCCCTTTGCTCTGTTTTTGATCTCTGGTGCGGAGGAAAAGCCCCCGTGCCCCACGGGCAGAGGGGCTGGGTAGTCCATCCCACGTCGCATCTCAACCCCGGCTGAACCCATATGGATATCAACAGGGTAACGTGAACTCTATTATATTGAGGCAAACTTATCGGCGCTCTTGCCAATCTTGCTACCTCTCACGAAACTTTTGAATGCGCGAATTGTGCCGTTCGACCGATTGCTTGCATTTCTCCCCTATCTACATTCGCCACTGGAGCGCAGGAACCGCTTTGGCATCATTTTTTCCACGACGTTGGGCCATGTCTCATAACCATCCCCTACCTTTCAAAGTCAAGTTGTTACCTAAACTTATTCTGCGTTTTGTGTGCAGGTGACTGACTTCATTGGGTGGGGTTCATTACGCTGAGTGTGAGAAGCGATCAACCCTGTCGACCACGTGTCGTTACTTAGTTATCAGGAATCAAATTCTGGATAATACGGTAATCGTTGGAATTGCTGTTACTGAATCGCCGCAAGCGCGTGCATATTGCAGACGAGCGCTTGTCCTCCAGACTGTAACAGCCCTCTGGCATGAGGGGAAATGACACCAGGAGTTTGAAGAGAAGGACCTTGTTCGGGATGACGTGATGAACCCTGTGGTTTCCTCTTCTTGTTGAAGAAGGAGCATAGCAATCACATATTATCATTAACCTCTTTTACGCCCTCCATTTCGAGGACAGGAGACCCGGTGTCCGAGAAGCCCGCATCTTCTCACACCCCATCTATAACCATTAACATACAGACTGTATTCGTAGGGGGGTTACTCTGTTATGTTTCCTCGTTTCAAATCTCGGTTGAATGCTACTGACCATCCTGGAACTCACTGGCGCTCTCTCTGTCTGGCCTTGTCATAGTGCCATAGAGTTTGTACAACGGCCAACTCCACTAATTAAACTTTATTTCTTCACCTGCTGGTTCTGCACTTCGCTTCACCATGTGGTTGCGAATATTGCATGGGTCTAATCTCTATTTGGTATTGATTTTCCCGCTTCTGTGGCGAGCAATCATAGGGGCCTCTGTGGCCCCTTTAACTGAACCTGGCTGGAGGAGATGTTGTGCCCCTTACATTTTCTCTTCCACCTTGCATATACCCAAATCCTTTCGCTCGGCGATCAAACTCCCTTGTCTTTGGACGCAAAGGAAAACTGGAAGATACAGGTTGGCACACTGCTGAAGCTAGAAGTGGATCCTGGGTTGGACTTAATCGCCGAATGGAACTGGACCGGCGAACACCGAGCGCTCCGGGTCCCTGGCAGTTTTGGACCCCAAGGACGACGTTCTCATTCCTTGGCAGGGCCCCCGATTTAGCTGCTCGTTGAACCCTCATTCGCCGGTCGATTTTAAGTTCTCATCTATCAATAGAGGCCTAGCAAGACTAACATCGAAAACCTACATGGATTTGCAACAAGCAAATGTTACCATGGACTTCCTGACTTCCCGAACGCTAATCCATGGGGCCAAATCATTGCGCCCGTTGGGCTTCGAGACCAATGTGGTCCCGCAGGCATCAGATGGGTTATGACGGACATTACCAGCGAACGCGTTGCCGCTCTCTTGTACAAGTAAAGAAGCCAAGCCGACGAAACCTATCGTGAGAGTATAACGATCAACTTTTGGTTGCCTTGGAGGATGAATACCGGGATCCTGGGCATGGTCGGCAGGTACGACATCACGATAATTTCATAATACTCTTCAGCAACATACAGCCATGTATAATCGCAGTCACACTCTTTCGCCTCTACCTCCGGTCTTACGACATGGCCTGAAAGCCGTTGTCATTTTCTCTTGCCTTTCACTCGTCACATCTTTCACACTTCTCGTCTACCTCATCGGCAGACTGGCGCTCTGGTATTCAAGCACGAATCCGGAACAATCGCAATCAGCTACAGAAGCGAACCCTGTCGATGGTTTACCTCGGGAGCTTGGTTTCCAATACCACGAAAACGGATATGGCAACGAGAAGCGAAGACGTGTTCCGAATCAGTTTCTCATACTTCTGCTCAACGTCCTTCTGGCAGATACGATCCAGTCTTGCGCTTTCTTCCTTGACATAGTATGGCTTGTGGAGGATAAGATTGCCGACAGTTCACCAGCGTGTTGGGCGCAAGGATGGTTCATATCGACGGGAGATCTGGCTGCCACCGCCTTTATTGCGACAATTGCAGTCCACACCTACCTTACACTTGTACGAAAAATCAGGATTTCATGCAAGGTCTTTTACAGCATCGTTTTCTTCTTGTGGTTCTTCACACTTCTCATGTCCGTTCTTGGTGTAATTATTACCAACAACGGCGCAGACGCTGGAGGGTTCTATGTTCGTGATATAACTTGGGTAAGTATCCTTCCTATTTGGTAGCTGCCCTAAAGTTTGATTGCTGATATTGATGTGCTAGTGTTGGATCAACGCCAACTACGAAGCCATGCGCGTATATTTGCACTATGCTTGGATGATCATATTGATCATCACAGGAACTGTTTCTTACATTCTGGTCTTCGTTCACATTCATCGGAAGGATAAGGCCTTTCGGGAAGCGAAAAAAGCCGCGGCTGTTGCGGACGAAGTATCTTCCGATCGCATTCTCAGTCCCATAGGCCTGCCTCCTATAATGACGCACATGGACCAAAAGACCGAGGTACACAAACGCATCCTCTTCTTGTTGTACCCTCTTGTCTTTGTCTTATGTACAGGGCCGCTGGCTCTGGGTCGAATCATGAGTAGTGGCGGCGTTACACTCTCGCCGCAGTATCTCATCTTCGCTGGCGCCATGATCACCTCCAAAGGATGGATTGACGTACTCATATTCTCTACTACCCGAAGCGGCATCCTCTTTGATGCACCCGTCGACGAGCAAAACCTGGGACTCGACACATTCAACCTTACCCCGCTGGGCCGGCAGTATGGTCACAGAGTATGGATACGAGGTGGACGGCCGAGAGACTCGGAGCACCACGGCAGGCCACGTAATTTTCGGAAACCGTCTTGCCGCCAAAAGCATGGCTCTGAGAACAGCCATGATCGCAGCGAGAGCCAAACATCATTACACGAACAGGACGTGCTTGGCCTCAAAGGCATTCAGATGAAAACTGTCACACGAGTTTTCATCGAAGAGGCCGTCACTCCATCTGGTGATAGGAGACACCAAACTCGCAAACTGACTACAGTGCCTTCAGAAGAGACTGTTGGCGAGCGCGTTCAACAGAGCATTGACTCCTACAGGTGAAAGCAACACATCCAAACGACCATGTAGTTTCGTCCTCGGATCTCGTTCTTGCGCAGCGGTTGCAACTGCAGAATCCTACATGGTTAAGTGTCAATCGGTATGAGTCATTAGTGACCGCGGTGACTTTGTGGCGCCGTGGCTGGAGGCCATTGAGCTGGTTCTCGAAGATACGTCGTCGAGGCACCGCCACCACTTAGCTTTCGCACAAAACACACCTGAGTCCCAGACATAGACACCTATTTCCTTGCATCACTCACGAATTCCTCCGAATCTTTCAAGATGTCTTTTATTGCATTGGGCCTAGATGACGATAAGGGACACCAGTCGCCCATTCCTTTCCGCCAGATCAGAGCGCACTTCGATGAAGAAACAATTACTGTTTATCAAGCTTATAACTCGTACATCGCCACAGCAGCCGTTGAGGCTCAGAGACTCGACGCGTCGCCAAGCTTCAAACTCACCCGGATGACATGGATCAAACCAAGCTGGGCCTGGATGCTGTATCGCGCAGCATATTCGTACAAGGACCCGGGACAAGCGCATATCCTTGCGCTAAAGATGAGGCACGAGGACTTTATAGGCTTGCTTCGCAAAGGAAATCTGGCTCATCATGGAGGCGGAAGCAAAGATAGTGGCGGAGTAAGGATTCAGTGGGACCCTGAGCGAGACGTGCGCTTGGAGAGGCTGCAGCATCGCAGCATACAGATTGGTATACCCGCCAGCATCTGTCAAGATTGGGTTGTAAGAGGGATCGTTGGGATTGAGAACGTCACGGCCCGTGCTAGGAAGCTGAAGAGAATCTTGGAAGAGCGGCCTGGCATCAGTGACGACGAGTTGGTCAGTTTAGGTTTGCTGCCAGTCGAGAGGGAACTCGTGGTACCGAAAGATGTGGAGGAAAATCTCAGAATGAGCGACTCCCAGAGAACAAGTGGTCAAACGGTGTTGGAGTAGGATGTTCTAGTAATAAATGTCGCTCTGTATTTTTCCCCGACTTCATTGCAAAGTACAAGATGTTGTAGTTAGAGGCCAATGTCTATCCAACCGGCGGATGGCAATAGATTTAGAAGCTAAGTTATGTTCATCAACTAAATGTGCACAATCGATAGCACATTATGCTGTTTGAAAGTACGTGAAGTTTTGCACAAGTTTGATCAGGGCAAGAGAGAACTGCGACGGATTCGTAAGAATCTCGATTGTGAGATAATCAAGAAGAATGATTATCGAGATGCCAAGAGCAAGAACACCGTTTAGTAACCTTGGCGTTAACAACAGATTGACAATATCTAACCCCACTTTTCTTCTCTGCTGTGCTGACATGCCGGAGCAGTGGCCGTGAGATCTCCGGTTTTGTCTCCGAGAAAGCGGGGCCGACAAGCCGGAGTTTAGAAAACTAGCCGCGGGGTAACTCCAAAGTCCCTCACTCCCAGGCATCGAATCAAGGGCCCCGTTGCCGTCGATCGCCTTTTTCCTTTCCCAAGAAGCGACACATGCGAGGGTGACTCATATCGAAACCGCGGTACAAACCTTGTCGAGGCACACAGCAAACCGTAGACATGCCTGCAGGCGAGCCCAGAATCTGGCACTAATGCTTGGAACTGTCTACAGGTTCAAAGGCGCTACGCGTTACTTCACGTTTTAGGCTGCAGAGGCGTTCACGAGCTCTCATCCTCGGATAGTATACCTAGGCACCTAAGGAAACTTTGCAGGCTACCCCACCAGGTAATACCAACAGATAGCGCCGGGATACCTGACTTGGTAAGTGAAAAGTCAAACCACGTTGCTGTCTGTGATATATCCCTTGTAACAAGCAAGCTAAATTCCGGTGCACACCGCCTGCGTGTTCAACCCGCTGGAAAGCATGTGCATGTTCTTGGCCGGTCGTGTTGGGATACGAGCTGTGCTCATATGTCGGATGCGCTCCCATGCGCCTTGAGACAAGACATCACTTCCCGTTGCAGCAAGTGCCGGTCTGGGTTGTGGGTCATGTCAGCGAGTTGCAGCTCTTGGTGGGTCTCGTGAAATTGCTAGTTTTGAGCCGCAGAGGTTTCTGGAATCAATTTGTTTTTTCTTGACAAGACAGTCCGGCCTGAAGTAGATATTGAATTGTCCAATGGGGTCCTGGTCCTTCATTCATTGTCAAGGGTGCGGTGCTGCGCTCTCCTCAGGGAAGCGACTGGGAAGTCTGATCAACAATGCGTAAGTCACCAATGACGTTGACAAGGAATTAGCTTGACTGCGGGAATAGCAGAAGCTGCAGCAAACACCGAGTCTTCGAGTCGGACTGACGTCCGTGTTGTCGGCTAGCCACGTGAATTTCAGATTCTCTTGAGTCAGTAAGAACGCCATTATCCTTAAGTCCGTGTCGTGCTTCAGATGTTGGCCGAATGCAAAGCTGGAAACGGGAGCTGGAAGCGGGTTCGCCACCCACGCTAGAAGAGCGGTCGAGACTGGCTCAAAGTCCGGCCCCACCCCCAAAGGAATTTGGATTCCGCCTGCTGCTGAGCGAACGGAAGCTTGGCTCTATCGGGATTAATAATGACGCTTGTCTAAGATCCAGTGCACATGCGAGCTCCGTTGGCATACATAGTACAATAATTTTGGGCTGTATGTCATCATTGCGGCCGGTGTGGTATTCACCCTCAGATAAGGGCTTTCCGAAGGGTACCCATCTAATCTCTGCGTTGGTCATACATCTCTGCCACGGAGCTTACGCGATTTGATCGACTCCATAAGGTCGAATCCTGCCGAGACGGGGAAACGCAGCCAACACTCCCTTTTTATGCAAACCATCCATCGCAGGACCCTTGTGTCTGCGGGCTGACGGCCCGTCAAGGATTACAAAGCCAGCTCCGCGGAGTGCATGCCGGGACGGGTACCCCCAATTGAACGTTAACGGCGTGTGAGTCCGAGTGGGGCCAACTTAGCTTTAGACGACTTGACATAATAGACGCAGTGCCCTCAACGTGAGTATTTGTGTCTGGTTAGTCTTCTGGAGAGGCAAAGGCCGGCTCTGCACCTTCCGCATCGTGTTTCGCCGAGATTGCTGAATCTCATTGCTCGGTTGCCTTGTCACCAACCTCGCTTCCTTTTCTAGGCTTTTTCCCCCATAGACCCGGCTCATAGACTTGCGACCTCCAAGATACCCTTGCCGTTACCCGTTTCAGTATTTTGCAATAGCACCATGGCCGGAACATCAAAACCGGAATCCGATGGGCGCTGGGGCGAAAATGCGGCCGGCGACATCTCAGTCAACGCCGCGCTTGAGGAGTTTCACGACCTCGAGAAAGAATTAAGCACACTCCAACAAAGGCGCTCTGCCGCATACCACCAGAAGCCGAAAAAGCAAGATGGCGATGCTGGCGGCGAGAGCGATTCTACCATCGCGCCCAGCCTTTCTGGTGAGAACTCATTCGACCTGCCCGACTTCCTCAGGAGGGGAATCATGGACATGCGCACACCGAGTGGGGGTCCAGCGAAACGACTCGGCGTATCATTCAAGAACTTGACGGTCAAAGGCATCGAGTCATCGACAAAGCAGGTCGTCACATTTCCCCGGGATCTGCTAAACACGTTCGGGCCCGACTTTTACCATTTTATCACGAGCATCTTTCCGAGACTCAAACTTCACAATGAGCCCACCGTCGACCTCATCCGGAATATGACAGGAACAGTGCGACATGGCGAGATCATGCTGGTCTTGGGTCGGCCAGGTTCTGGATGTTCGACATTCCTCAAGGCTATTGCCAACCACCGAGACGAGTATGCCCAGGTTGACGGAGAAGTTTTCTATGGTGTTATTCCAGCTGAGGACCAGCTGCAACGTTTCCGAGGCGAGGTCGTCTACTGCGAAGAAGATGATCGCCATTTCCCCTCCCTTACGGTTTGGCAGACGTTGTGGTTTGCACTGAAAACCAAAACCAGGAAGAGAGAGCAGTGGACCATCCCGCTCATCCTCGACTCGCTTCTCCAAATGTTTGGTATCGAACACACGAAGAATACGCTGGTTGGAGACGAATACATTCGAGGTGAGTCAATTCCTTGATTACGGGCTCAGGAATGCGTAGCTGACCCTGGACAGGTGTTTCCGGAGGAGAACGCAAACGTGTGAGTCTGGCAGAAACGTTAGCCACACGAGCATCGGTGGTTTGCTGGGACAACTCAACTCGAGGCCTCGATGCCAGCACGGCCCTCAGCTTTGCCAAGTCGCTTCGTGTCTATACCGATGTCAGCGGACGCACTACTTTGGTCACGCTTTACCAAGCAGGAGAGTCGATATACGAGTTGATGGACAAGGTCCTTGTAATAGACGACGGTCGTATGCTGTTCCAGGGACCAGCCGACGAGGCGAAAAAGTACTTTGAGGACTTGGGCTATCTGTGTCCCCCAAGACAGTGAGTGATGGCGCGTTTCTTATTTTGGTTGCAGCAACTGATCTGACGGTTGCGCAGAACAACTGCCGACTTTTTGACTTCGATCGCCGATAAGAACGCCCGACACTTCCAACCCGGCCGAGAGGAAACTGCTCCCAAAACGTCCGAAGAGCTCGAGAGAGCTTTCCGCGAGAGCGAGCACTACCAGCGCATACTGGAAGATGTTGAGGACTACGAACGTGGAAGTAGGTCGGCAAACAACGACAAGCACCGAATGTTTGAGGCGACGGTAAAGGATTGTAAGTTGAGCCTTTCCAGCCGCCTCTTGATGCCGACTTCTGACATTCATTACAGCCAAAAGCAAAACTGTCATTGGCGATTCCGTTTATACCGTTTCATTCCTAAAGCAGGTCGCCGCCTGCACCAAGCGTCAAGCCTGGCTTCTTTGGGGCGACAGAGGCTCCTTCTACACGAAGCTCATCATCATCGTCGCCAACGCTCTCATCGTCTCATCCCTCTTCTACGGCGCCGGACAAGATACGTCCTCGGTCTTTGCAAGAGGCGGTATCGTGTTCTTCTCCATTGCCTTTATCGGCTGGCTCCAGTTTGCGGAACTCCTCCCTGCGATATCCGGGCGAACCACAATCGAGAGACAACGAGTCTTTGCCTTTTACAGGCCATCTGCCGTGGTGATTGCAAGGATGATTTTGGATTTCCCCCTGATCCTGATCATGACCATCCTGTTTTGCATACCGGTCTATTTCTTAGCCCAGTTCGACGTCGACGCGGCCAAGTTTTGGATCTACACACTGATTGTGTACACGGCGACTTTCTGCCTCACGACCATGTACCGAATGTTTGCATCTCTTTCATCTACGGTAGATGACGCTGTACGCTTTGTGGGTGTCGGTAAGTCTTCCATTCGCTGGCCAGGTACATTTCATAAAGACAAGGCGCTGATTCGACTTAGTTTTGAACATCATGTTCATCATGACAGGATACGTTATCCCCAAACCCGCCCTTCTCAGTGACGCCATTTGGTTTGGCTGGATTTACTACATCAACCCTGTCGCGTATGGATTCGAAGCGTTGCAGACGAACGAGTTCTTCGAGCGGCAGATGCAATGCAGCGAATCACAACTGGTGCCTCGAGGACCAGGCTCGGACCCCAATTACCAGGGATGCTCCCTCCCCGGGTCAACGCTGGGCAGCACAACGGTCAGTGGACCAGCGTACTTGGAGGCTTCGTTCCAGTAGTAAGCTCGCCGAGATCTTCCATTACTCCTCCCATCCCTAACAGTCCTTTAGCTCGAGGGCAAATCTGTGGCGCAACTTTGGAATCATCATTGCCTTTACTGTCTTCTATCTCGGTGTGACCGTCTTGGCCGTTGAGACGATCAAGTTCAAGGGCACTGGAGCCCAGTCCTTGATGTTCGCCAAGCGAGGAGGGGCGAAAACAGACGAAAGCGAGAAAGACAATGCAGCCGAAGAAACGTTCGAACCCATCGGCGACGGCCAGAGCGTCTTCACATTCAAAGACATCAACTACACTGTTCCTTATGGCAACGGCGAGCGCCAGCTACTCAACAAGGTTTGCGGATACGCCAAGCCGGGAAAGATGATTGCGCTCATGGGCAGCTCCGGTGCCGGCAAGACGACTCTGCTCAACACCATTGCCCAGAGACAGAAAATTGGAGTGGTGTCCGGCGAGATGTTAGTCAACGGAGCTAACTTGGGGCCCGAGTTCCAGAGAGGCACCGGCTTCTGCGAGCAGAGGGATATCCACGAGGGCACCGCGACGATCAGAGAAGCGCTGGAATTTTCTGCATTGCTCCGACAAGAGCGTGCTATTCCGCGTGAGGAGAAGATTGCCTATGTCGATAGGATCATTCATCTGCTGGAGTTGGGCGACTTGCAGCATGCCATCATCTCTTCCTTGACTGTTGAGCAAAGGAAGCGAGTCACCATTGGAGTTGAACTCGGTAGGTCTTTGCCTGGCCATGTAACGGCTGGAATAGCTTTGTTAATGAACATGTGCCCCATCAGCTGCCAAGCCAAAACTCCTTCTTTTCTTGGACGAACCGACAAGTGGCCTCGACAGCCAGTCTGCGTTCTCCATTGTCCGATTCCTCCGAAAACTGTGCGACGCAGGCCAAGCCATCATTTGCACCATCCACCAGCCTTCCTCCGACCTCATCGAGCAGTTCGACATGATTCTCGCCCTTAACCGGGGCGGAAGAACCTTCTACTTCGGCCCTGTTGGCACAAACGGCTCCGTCGTCGTCGACTACTTTGCGCAAAGGGGTTTCCCGTGCCCCCCGAGCCGGAACGTGGCCGAGTTCATCCTGGAGACGGCGTCAACGCCATCAGTCAAGGACGGAAAGCGCATTGACTGGAACGATGAGTGGCTCATCTCCGATGAGCACAAGGCGATTGTCGCTGAGATCGATCAGATTACCGCCGAGAGACGCCCGCCCACTACCACATCGGCCGCTCAGACTGAGTTTGCGGCATCCACCGCATACCAATGTCTCCTGCTGACGAAGAGGATGTTCGTTCAGCACTGGAGAGAACCCCAATACTTGTACAGCAGAGTCTTTGTCCACACCATCATGGGTATCTTCAACGGATTTGTGGGTTTCGCCAGGTCTTCGAGTTATGTCGAGGAACGTACAAGCTAACTTCAGCCACAGACATTTTGGATGCTTGGAAACGACATTGCAAGTATGCAGAACCGCATGTTTAGCGCCATCATTCTCATCTTGTGAGTTCATACGAGAAACAAGCCCTTCGGGCCTGTGGGAACCCTCTTGCTGACATGGAGACAGCTTCATTCCACCCACCGTAGTGAACTCGGTCGTGTTGAAGTTCTTCCAGAACCGGGGTCTCTGGGAAGACCGGGAGCTACCGAGTCGCACCTATGGGTGGGTTGCCTTTTGCACTGCCAACGTGGTTTGTGAGATCCCCATGGCCATTGTGTGTGCCACCATCTACTGGCTACTGTGGTACTTCCCCGTGGGATACCCGGCGACTGCATCGGTCTCGGGCTACACCTATCTGATGGTCCTCGTCTGGTCTCTCTTCCAATCGAGCTGGGGGCAATGGATCTCCGCCTTTGGACCGTCCTACTCCACGATCTCCAACGTAAGTTTTCCGCTAGTACCGAATGATAAATAGCACCAGCTCACATTCTGGCAGATTCTTCCCTTCTTCTTCGTCATGGTGGCGCTCTTCAATGGCATCCTCGTGCCGTACGCCTCCATTCCTGTCTTCTGGAAATACTGGATGTACTACATCAACCCAACAACTTGGTTTTCTCGCGGCGTTCTCTCCGCGGTCCTTCCACCGGCTGCAGTGCAGTGCAGTTCTGCCGAGTTTGCACGGTTCGACCCCCCACCAGGATCGACTTGCGGCCAGTATGCCAATCAGTTCGTTGACGATGTCGCCATGGCCGGATACTTGGAGAATCCCGACGCGACGTCCAACTGCGGCTACTGCCCATACCGCAACGGCGGCGAGTACATGCAGACGCTCAACGTCTATACTACTGACAAGTGGCCCTCGTTCGGCATTCTGGTTGCCTTTGCAGTCGCCAACTGGGCTCTGGTTTACTTCTTCGTCTACACCGTTCGGATCAGGGGGTGGACTTTTGGCATATCCACAGTCACAACGCAGTGCTCCATGATGCTGGGTCGACTCAGGAGACATAGCAAACAGACCGAAACCGAAGAAGCCTAGATTACACCTACGTTGGTACTGGCTTTTGAAGGTGTCGGCAAGGTCACGCATGCTGTGAGGCTCCAGCGCGCTGCGTATCAGGAGGAGAAAAAAACCACGTTAATAGGGAAACATGGCAGATGGACACATAATATAAAGCTTGGAGACGGGCATAGAGCCTGATAGTAGCGCTCATGCAACTCTAAGGACATGAATGGTTCAGCAGCTCAACTTGAGATCCCAATTTGCAGTAGAAATCAGAGACGAAGAACGCAGGCACCTTCAGTCGTGACCTATCCCGCGTGAAAGCATCCGGAAAGGTGTTCTGGTCCCCTGGGGTCATTGACTTCATTGTCCGGAACGATGACCGACTGATTGAGACGACTAACGTGTGATATGCCTTTAATTTGACGGCGGCAAGTCAATCATTGCTTAAAGAGTCTTCTGTGCGTCTTCTTCTGGGAAGTTTACAAACATACTGGTCACCAGGCCAGACTTGGCGATGGATTTGCAGTTGTAACTTTGTGGGTTACAACAAGAACGGAAGTGACTCAGGTATCGACCATCACAAACTTGGTAGGTTCGCAGCTACGGGCCGTTTAAGACCAAGGAAAAAAGCCACCATCAAACCAGCGTTGTATGTTGATGCCGAGATAGCTTTATCCAGTTCAAATTTAGTATTACGTCATTACGTATGAATATGGAACCATCTGATTTCGCCCTTCTATTGCTCATAAAGATATCAATGATATTACTGGCGCAAGTGCGACATTTTGACGGCCATATGCATCACAGGTCCTTCTTGAGGTCGTGCTCCTAAGTTGCGGCAACATGGTCAGTGGGTCGGACAACTGATGAATATCAAGGGCATGCAGCTTTCTGAAGCACCGCCCATGATAACGAAAGAAGCTTACAGGCTTGTGACTCGTCTCGTAGTCGACGTGGACAAACGCCCTCTCGACTCCAGGCAGCTTCTCAATCTTGATCTGCAGCGCCTCGGCCACGTCGTGGGCGATCTCGAGCCTTTCGTGACGGTCCATGACAATGTCAATCTCGACGATGTAGCGGGGACCGCTGTGGTAGGCACGAACGGTGTCGATTTGCTTGACGTCGGGCGAGTGGGTCATGGCTGTGCGCATCTTAGTCCCAGGCTACGCAATTGCAGGCCGGATCACGACGACTCACCGATGTACGTAATGAGCTGCAAGAACTCGGGGTCGGCAGAGACGCCAATCAGCAGCTGAAACTCCTCATAGGCCGTCCTCAGCCACAGGCCAGCGATGAGGCACGACAGGATGATGGCGCCCATCGGGTCGATCCACCACCTGATCTTGCTTCCAGCCGAAAAAGTAAAGATACCAAAGCCGTTGATAAAGAGGTCGTTCCGGTGGTCACGCCAGAGGATCTCAACCTGGGAGTAAATATGCTTGATCGACCAGCCTGCACCAAGGTCAGCACGCAGCCTCTAAGCAACCACATACACAACGTGAACTCACAGTACAACCAGAGACAAAACTTTGTGCCAAAAGCAATCGCGACGGCAATCACGGACGGGAAATGGAACTCGTTGGTCTCCTTGTCGGAACCGGCAGCCAGGTCTCTCGCGGACATGACGATCAGCACCAACGAGACGGAAAACATGACAAAGGAGAAGACAATGTTGCCGGCTGTCGAGATGCGCGCCCTGCCCGAGGGGTAGCGGCGCGTGTCGACCTTCTTCACGGCGCGGTGCGACAGCATAAGCAAGATGCCGGACAGCGGGTCGAAGACGGCGTCCGCCATGGTAGTGAAGAGCGACAGCGAGCCCGAGGCGGTGGCGGCGTACAGCTGCAGCGCGGCAAGGATGATGTTGGCGGCCAGGCTGCCCTTGACGGCGATCTGGTACTTGAGGTTGTTGTCGCCCTGCGTCTCCTTGGCCTCGCGCTCGTGGTCGTCGACGCTCTTGAGCAGGGAGCGGATCTTGTCGTTTTGCGAGCGGTAAAAGTCCTGTAGCTTGGCCTCCTTGGCGCCGCCGCGCGTGAAGCTGTGGTGGATGCGCTTGCGCGCCGAGTTGGACTGGGGCCTGGAGGTGAGCAGGCCGATGTCCGCGTCCGACTTGATGTGCGTGCCTAGGTTGTAGGGGTCGTTGATCTCTGAGGAGGAGAAGGAGCGGGATTCCGGGTCGGGCGCGCCGGGGAGCGGGGAGAGGTCGATCCCCGTGCTCGGCGCGCGGTTTGTGGTTGTTATTGTGGTGGACATTCTGGGTGATTAGAGGAAAACCATGAATGAAAGTTGGATTGATGGCGGTGACGGATGTCTAGATATCAAGGCAGTACGCCCGTCTAATAATGGGATGGGATGGGAAAGTTGAGACGGGGCGAAGTTGGGTGCGAGGGAAAGTCGAGTCGGGGATGCGAGAGCAAAGGTGGCAAGTCTTGACGAAATGGGGGCGGGCGAGGGATATTTGAAGCGAGCCAACAGCTGCTGCCTCGTCTAAAAATCCCTCCCGCGGATCCCTTGATCCCTGTTCCTAGCATATGAGCGTGATCTTAATGGGCTCTCTGATTTGGTGTGCGGCGGGTAGGATTTTGCCGCTTGAGCCTTTTAGGGTGGCCGGTCGCGCTGTCCCCAGACTCCAGTAGGCCGTGGCCAAGATCTGCTGGCGCCGAATTGCCGCCAAGGGGATCTGCGTGAATGGTGGTGGGTGGGTGAGAAAACAGTGCAGTACAGTAGGTAGAGAGGATTGGGGGGGGGGGGGGGGGGGGGGGGGGGGGGGGGGGGGCTGTGTGAGGGACATGATGAAGCCTGGAACCTAACGTAAGGGCTACAAAGCCACAAAGGTCCAGAATCTTCGCTACCTAACGGGCACGTGGTTTGTTTACTGTTGAGTTGGGAGGCATCCGTAAGTCGGTGTTGCATCAATGATGTGTTTTTTCCATCATGCACCCGCCGACTGTGTAATACGGTTGACTTTCGGGTTGGTCGCCGTTGTCCACAGAGCTTCGCCAGGATAAGCTTTTCGTACATCCTTGTCACAGCTCCTAGCTCATGCACATTTGGCTCTTGCTGCAAGAGTTGTGGCTTTGCCAAAAAATTCAGTCACGTCATTGTCGCTTCGCTCGTCAACTTTTGACATTTCTGTTGGATGTCTATGCATAGAGCTGGTGCAAATATCCCACCTGTACTGATACCAAATCGCGCAGACGCCTAAGCCAATCCTGCTGGACAAAAACCCGCTTCCTCATGCAATCGTGTGCGGTCATGCCAATGTCACCACCCATCTGATTCCAGAACATGTTCCCATATATGAACGATGAATTCACCCTCATCACAACAGAAAGGGAAAAGCTCCCGCCCTCTTAAAACGGCACGCCGTGGTCATTGTCAGAGCCGTTGACTGGAGCCCCGTTGGCTTTTGATGACATCGCAAGCGTCTTCTTGAACATTGGTGCCAACGCTCTGATAACGGGCTGAACGTCTGGTGCTTCCGGAAACGAGGAAATGCTCATTTTCTTGACCGCTGCGACGACGTCGTTTCCATCGCTCGAAGCAGACCCACGTTTGCCCTGCGCCGGCAATGCCTTGACGTCTTTGCCCTGGCGAACAGGGCCTATTGGTCTTGCAGGCGTAATGAGAGTCTCATCCATCAGGGATTGCCACCGGGCAAGATAGACGCCTGGACCAGCCATATTAGACGAGCCACCGTCAACAATGGCTTGCATGCGAGCAAGCGAGAGTTCGTCTAACTCGCGCAGGTAGGCAGTATGCGCATCGATAATCGGGATGAGCGCCTCCTTTGTCCTATCGGGAACCCGGCTGAAGATGCCGCTCAGTTGGCTCTCGATGCTCTCGCCGCCCTTGTTGGTCTTGTGGAACGCCACCAAGGAGTCCTTTGACCATGCTCTGAACTGATTCATGACCTCTGGGCAGTTCTTGCCGACGGCGTGCAGCCACTTGTACAGGAGATGCCTGTTGTTCTTGCAGAGCTGAACAAAATCCTCAACGGTCGGCATGGTTTCGGGGTCATCCTTTGACTTTCCCTTCTTCGGCTTGCTGGTGGCGATGAGCTGGTCGAGGAACGTCTGGGCGTCCTTGAGGTGGTCCGACAGATCGACCTTGTTGTGGACAGCGCGGATGATGGGGTCGAACCCGGCGACGGCTTCGCGTACTGCTTGGGTGAGGAGGTCGGGGCTCTGCTTGCAGAGGATGTTGATGATTTCTTCGCGGTCTCGCATGGCGAGCAGTGCCGCGTAGTACTCCAGGCACATCTTGTGTTCATCCTCGCTCAGGTCGGACAGCAGGACCGGGTTTGCCGTCTCGAGGATGACGGCGATGATGGACTTGTCTTCACGTAGGCTCTTGGCCCTAACAGCTTCGCGGTCGTCGTGGGACGAATCGGTGTGCGCCCGGATGGCATCGAGAGCACCCTTGCTCGGTCTGTTCTTTGCTTTGGAGATCCTGTCGATGGTCTTCTTGAACTCTGCGCAATCCCAGCCAAGAATGACGGAAATGATCCTAGTTCCCATATCAGCTACTGCGCATCTTGACAGTACAAGCCCGACAGTAGACTTACCTCTGCATGAGGTTCATGCCGTCAGCAGCATCCTTTGTTATGCCGAACCAGTTCGACACTGAGCCGACGCTAATCTTGGCCAAAAAGATCTTCATCATGCCGGCAATCATAGTCGCGGCGTTTCCGACCTTGAGGGTTTGCCGGACCATATTGTACGGCACCATCTTGTGGACCTGCTCCAACAGCTTGAGCAGGTATTGTCCCTCGGGAGATACAATCAGAACTTGATGGGCAAGGCTCGACAAGCTGTCTGTGTTAGTCATGGTCCTACGGCCGCCGCGAGCAGACCGTGACTTACTGAATGATGATGTACTCGTTCGCCGCGCGCGTCATGGGGGAATGCGAATCAAAGTCGTCCGTCTCGGCCAGGTGGTCGAGCAAGTCGTCGCAGAGATCCTCGTAGACGAGGTCATGCATGGCATCATCCCAGGCCTGCGCCAGGTCTTTCGCGCTCTTCAAGTCGTACTTTGCGGGCCGCGTGGCCGGGTCACTGTAGGGGGCACCGCCAATCATTCCTCGGGCGACAGTCTCGATGACGGTTGACGAAGCGGTGGCCAGGGTCTTTCTAATACCCAAAGCACCCTTGTCATAGCTTTCCGACAGGTCGGCTTCGGCCAAGTTTGTCAAGATGCCCTGGACCTGGACGTTCCAGAACTCGGGCGCAAACGTGGAAACGCCGGGAAGCTGCAGGATGAATCTCGTAAAGATGGACTGCAGCAGAGGCGCCGAGGACTCGGGGGCGTAGGTGACATCGGAGCGGGTACCGGGGCTTTGCGCAAAAGGGTAGCCATAGTTGGAGATGGTTTCGGGCTTCTTGAACTCCTCAACCTCGTGGTACGTCTCGAAGTGGGTGAGGATGTTGAAGAGCGCCTTGATCTGCTCGGCATTGAGGGGTGAGGTTTGTGGGAGGGCCATGACTGTTCAACGTGTGCCGCCGCTAGCCATGAATGTCCAGGGTCGTCGCGGTACTGGCAGCTGGGTGGACAGTGTCTGTGGTTGCTTGTCGGGTAGATATACTCGGGCGGTCGGCGGCGCTGTCTGTTTGCGACGCTGTGGATGGTGTGGACGTTGAGTGAGTGAAAGTCGTGAAGCGTGGGCGAGGTGAAGGAAAAGTCTCGTTTTCGGAAGGTCCCGGTGGTTGTCTTCAAACACCCCGTCGGTACTCCTGCTTCTAGCAAAATTGGGGGGGGGGAGGGGCACAGGTGAATGACGTCACAGCGGACGCTCTTGTTGGATTATTCACTGGAAAATGCACCGAGTCGTGTTGGGCTGAAGTCGAATTTTAAGTTGACGGGGGTGGGAGGGAGCTACATCACTTAATATTTCATCTTCGCAGTGAAACAAAAAAAAGGTAGAGAAGGGGTCTTTGACACGTCCCTTGAAGAAACCACGGCTGTCTCCGCGACACCCGTGTCAGAGTTCATGGCCTGCCCCTGTCGGACCCCGATAAGCATTCGGCTACCTGCAACACCTGCAGCATCTGCAGCTGTGCAATGATGTATGTATGTAGGTACCTTTCCCCATCTGTACGTGAAGCATCCTCAGAAGCATCTGATGCTCCTCTAACAGCATGTGCGCTCCATTCCTCCCGAGGCAACACCCGCTCAGCTTGCTCTCCTCGTTCGTCAGCTCTTCGGCCTCTTCCTTTTGCACCTTTGTGCATCAAATCAGATACGTGTCCTTCAATGCCTTTTCTCCCAAACTTCGTCGTTTTCCCGACTTGATTGGACGTCCCATCGCATCTGGCTGTCTCGGACCTTGGACTGCTGCCAAGCTTAGCTTCATGTCGGGGCTGTGTAAACTCCTTAATGCTACCCACCGTACACGAAATGGCCGAGTAATGAGCCCTAGTCAATCCGCTCAGTCAACTATCGCGAGCGGCTCCGTGAGGGGAGATTGGATCCCCCCAACACCTCCGGCAAATGGTTTTTGGATCGTTGTCTGTTTAAGAGGGTAGTCTGGGGTGAGAAGATTGGTTGCGCCAGTCCACGTTCGGCCACCACGTTCGGCGACCGGCTGGAACTCTTTATGCCTGTTGAGGCTAGATTTGCCTTCTTTCTCTCTCCGGGATCCGCCTTCGGCTCGTGGACGGTGACCCGGCCAACTGTTTCCTCTCGGCAGGCAATGCGGCACTGTAGATCCCCGCAATCGAGACAAAATGTCCTCAGCCTGTCATGACCCAAGTCAGTGTCCGCCCCCACCCCGGGAACGAGTCCGAGAGCTCGGGTCCAAGCACGAGCTCATTGCCCAGAATGGAAACCAAGCCACACGCAAGTCTTGGGCCCTCGAGCTGGTTTTGTAGTACGAATAAGCGTCTAGTCTCTCATGTGTTTGTTGTGGCTGAATCCAGACAGCTGGCTCAAACATCGTTACTCTTCCTCGTAATCCGAATGCGCGTTTCCCGTCCCGAGTCCGGTGCTGCTGACGAATACGCCATTGGTTTGAGGTAGCATCTGAGATAGTGACATGATTGACAAACACAAATAATTGTGATTCGGCCGCTACTTGGCACGTCTCAAATCTATCGCCGTGATTGAATCGGACTGAAATTCTTGTGCTTGACCGAGCAAGCACTAATTTGCCGATTGGGGGGTTCGAGAGGCAAAGTTTCCCTGAAATTCTGCATGACTGGCCGTATTCAGCCCAGCTGAGTGCAATGTCATCGTATTGTATGAGATGGTTTCCCAATTTTGCACCTCTTATGCGTTGCTCTCAGCTTCATCAATTCCTCGATCTACCAGATTATCTGAGGGTCTGACTTGGGCACAATGGATCAGCATGTCTCGGACAATGGGAAAATCCATGTGACGACATCAAGATCACGACTTGGGCAAAATCCAGCGGGGCCTGATTCACAACTGCTAGAGGCAAATGTTCAATCCCGAATGAGGCCCTAAGCTGAGCATCATCGTGGTATTGTTGAATCGCATATAGTCGAGATAGACCACTCTGACAAAGAAGTTGTCCACAAAAAGGTCGGCTCGTTGAGCCGGTCTTGGGACTCAAGCCCCTCCAGATCCTGATTGCAATCACTTCTCGACTCCGGATCAGACGGACCCTTCACCAGCCTTTCTTCGGTGTGGGAGGTCCTGGTTCCCTTTCATCCGGGTCGAAGCGCTTCGGTAGATCCGTCTGCCGAGTGTCTCCAAAGTTTGGACTCGGTTCCTTTTCGCCCGAGACACTCGATTCCCCACACCGCTGTCCACGAATGGGGATGTCGTGGCCAAGCTGCATTCCATGGCCTTCCTATTGTGCGCAATCTGGACAACAGGCAACTAGCATTCATCCAGCTTAGCGGTCCCGCCGTTGAAGGCTCAGTTTCTGAACCCCTGGATCATGCGGGGAAATGCTAGATTTGAGGTCCTCACTGCAGGGAGGATGCGGGGGACGGTTGATGGCATCCTACATGGCCCATTTGCCGAGATCCGCTGTTAATGACGCTGCCGGGGTAGCAAACAATAAATAGTGATGGCTCTGGCTCTTATGGCTCTGTTTTTCTGTTGTTGTTGCCTTCGATATACAGTGCCGCGGTTTCTCCTCCTGGCAAAGCCGGAATATCTGCAAATATGAAGTTGTCATTGGGTACACTACTCCTCGGAGCCGGCTCGGTGCTTTCTGCGCCTGCGCAGCGATCTGAGGTGGACGATAGACACACCCTCTGGCTCGCTGGCGACAGTACCATGGCCCCGGATGGTGGACATAATGGCACCCAGGGTTGGGGCGAATATCTGCACTATTCTCTGGACACATCAAAGATTCGGGTCAACAACTCCGCCTATGCTGGCAGGAGTGCACGCACCTTTACAAGGGAGGGCCGGTTCCAGCGCATAATCGACGAGGTCAAACCTGGCGACTGGGTAGTCATTGAGTTTGGACACAACGACGGTCGTGAGTTATCATGTCCATTGTGATTTTGTTGTGGATTTCTGACCAAATATGACAGCGGGAAACCCCATCAACGACACCGTGAAAAACAGAGTCGACTGTCCTGGCATCGGCAACAACACGTGCCCGGTGACTTTCAAGTAAGTCGCCGATATACCGACTGTACCGTGTGTCTGCTGACTTTGTTTACAAAGTGGTCAACCCGAAATCGTCCAAACATACACCACCTACCTCCGCAATGCGTCCTCGATCTTCCTCTCACTTGGCGCTAAGGTCGTGATCTCCACCTCGACCCCAATTAACCCGTACCAAACCGGGGCGTTCTCCTGGAAGCCGACCATCTACTCGTGGTACTCGTGGTACGTCGTTGAGTCCCTCGGCGGTCCCGCGGCCGGCATCTACTACGTCCCGCACGGCAACTACAGCGCCCAGGCGCTTGACGTCCAGGGTCCCGAAGCTGCCGCTGAAGGGTACCCGATGGACTCCGTGCACATGTCGCCGAAGCTCGCCGACTCATTTGCCGGCGCTTTCGTTCTGGGGCTAAAATGCGGGACATCGCCGTTGCAGCAGTATGTTGTTAATGCCACGTCGAGACTGGAAGGAAGTAGGTTAGGCACATGTCTCCAGGTCAACGCGACGCTACCTATCTGAGCTTTGTATGCCGTGAAAACGAGCGATATTATGCAGATATATCTCAGCGCTAGGCGAGTGACAACCACTGCCTGGAAACGACATGTACACTGGCCTGGAATGACGATGTTGATGAAAATTGAAGTTGATGTCTATGGCCATAGAACGGAAGTGAGGTTCCTCTGCTACTTGTAAATATGTACATATCATATTAGAACCATTCATCGTGGGTCTGTTAGCAGCTGCAAAAGGATATCGTTGCAGGGCCAAAGCCAGTTTTTCCATTAGTTTGCCGCCAGCAACATCTTGCACCGCATACTTCAATCGTTGAATTTGCACAGTTAAAGTCTCAAATTAAAACTGAGAAAAGATAAACTAACAAACGGGATACTCTATGAAGCGGTCAAATACAAACGTCAATGCTTGTCCGTCAAGCATTCGTCCTTAGAGTCAGGCAGGAGACTGACGTCATGTGCGTACAGATGGCCGATAACAGTCGTGGTCAACTAATAGGAGCGCTGGCAGCTGGAGCAGCAGGTGAGCTGAGTGTTACGGCCACGCTCGATGACCTGGCAACGGATGCCGTTACGGTAGGACAGACAGTATACAATGTCAGACTGGTGCTTGCTGATGCTACGGCCGCACTGGCGGCACTTGACGACATTAAGGACGTAATTGCACATGGCGAAGACTTTGGGGTCGGCAACGAGTCCTGAGAGATGTGTAAAATCCGGTCACTTAGCGTGAGTAATGCAGACGGTGTAGTCTAATAGATGTGGTGTGTTATCTTGATAACTTTAAGTTGAAAGTGATACCAGAAATCGTTCTGCAACGGAACTACTGGATCCATTATATCTGTAAGATAAAATAGAAAGACTCTCGCCAGTTTTGTTTGGCTAATACTTTTGAGCAAGAGCAAATCCTTTCAGCGTCATCAGTTCGTCAAGGGAACTTAGCCATTGTTGCCTGCCAATTGGGGAGACAGCATGTTCCAAGACACAGAGACAACTCTGCTTCTTTAATGTTTTCTCTGTTCGTTGGCAGCAAATTTGGCAACAGTCACACTCTTTAGAGTCAGGAACGAAAGAGAAACGACCTTGGTCAATTGAGACCAGACCATCTAGATCAAAGGAACTGTATTCTACAACCGTCGGCCACAACGCCCGACAGCTTCAAAGTTGAGGGATTTAGATAGAAACGTAAAAGAATATTATTGTTGCTGGCTTCAAAGTCTTGCATATTTAGAAGCCCGGGAATGAATCTCAGAAAAATTTTAGGGCCAATGTTCCACATCAATATTCCGTCTATGACCCCGACGCAGGCCAATTCATGGCGAAAATCCGCCACTAATTATGACTTCAATGGCCTTCAATAGGACGGTACATATTGAAATAGGATGGGTGGTGTTTTGAGCCCAATGGCTAGGGATTTGATCTTTGCTTTTATGTATTGTCTCATGATATTGGCCTAATCCGAAGGATAACTTGACTCACTCATCATCGTCATCCTTTTCATGGGGTTTGAAATCATCAGAAACCTGGTTATCCAGTATTATGACAAGTCTTCTATGTTGTTTTACAGTCAAATGCGATGAACACAGGAGCTTGGGATTTCTTTACCTTCATTTGCTGCTGTTATAAGCTATGCTATGCTATGAGATGGGCTGTTCGGGCCTGGGGAGTCCTCCGGAATAACGCTTAAGTAATGAACCTGTGTTCCACCAAAGTACGCATAATTGCCAGCGCCTTTCGGCACCATAGTCAGTCTTTCTCGGAGCTATTGAAAGCTGATGCGTCCTAGAAGAATCGAGTCTTCCGCGAGGTCACTATGGCCGTCGTAACCGTTCGATAAACAGCACGCCAATCATGCAGATACTATTTCTTCTTCTCACAGCAGGTCCATAACGTATCCAGATTGGGATCACAGTACCCCCTCTACCGCTGAAAACAACGTGGCAAAAAAGCTACACGGCAGTTTGTGCCTCAAGAACACTAGCGTTGGAATTTGCGGCCTATTCTTTCTTGATGTCTTCGTCTGATACTGGTACCTTCAACAGCCAGGCTAAACCCTTGAAAACGTCGACGTGGGCCTTGATCGACGACTTGAAGTTTAACCCTCTCAATGCAATGTGAGCATGCACAGCACCCGGGTACACCTCTAGCCTGGTCTTGACACCATGGTCCCTCAGAGCTCTTTCATACACATTTCCATCGTCCCTGACAAAGTCTGCACCGGATACCTGAACAAATGTCGGAGGCATTCCTTTGTGCGGGGCTTTGGAGTTGAAAGGCGAATAGTCTGGAGACTTGGCTTCTGGCACATACGCAGCCATCATCTGAGTGAAAATTGCTCTGTTAAAGAGTGCAGCGTCCGCGTTCTGCTCTCTGGAGAAGAAAAGGTCGCGGTACTGGGGAGAAACAACGTCTTCCTCCACAATTATCGGGTTGCAAGGCCACAGACCGGTAAGCGGAGGAGTCAGTGCCCCGGTGCCGTCGGCAATCCTTTGTGCTGTGACCGCTGCCAAATTGCCACCGGCCGACAAGCCACCGAGAATGAATCCGGCAAGTGGATCGCCTCCGAGAACATGGGCATTTGCGGCAACCCATTTGAGTCCATCCCAGACGTCGTTTGGTGCTGCCGGAAAAGGATTGACAGGCGCGAGGCGATAAGAGAGATTGATGACTATAGCGTTGAACAAGTTCGTTGCTATCCGCGCTTGCTCGCCCAGCTGACGACATTTGCCCATAACAAATCCGCCACCGAACAGGAGAACGATGACTGGCGACTTGACCCCCGACGACGTGGATGGCTTATAGATACGGGTCTCTGATTGGTAGCGTCTCGCATCCGAACATTGATCGAATATTCATAACCCATATCGTGGTAGCGAGGTACTGGTGGCTTGTCAAAATGGATATCTTGGGATCGGACAACCTATTGTATTTCCGGGCTGCGAAGCTCAGTCAGCATTGAAAATTGGGAACAAAGAATCCTAGAACCTCAAATAACATACTCAAGGCTACTCAATCGAGCGATTTTCCCTCTCGTGTCGTACTCCATTATCCTGGGACAGGCGGTTCAAGATATAGGTATAGGCTGCGAGGTCTTGCAAAGTATTCAAGTCTGTGGATCGGGGATAGTTGTCAGGTCACCTATGGCGATCACAGCTGCAAATGAGCAGATACTGGTAACGCGTGATTAACTATAGGAAGTCTAGATGCAGAGGGAAATATAGTGTGCGTATATATACCCCTAGCAAGGGATGCAACATGAAGCTGACCGGGGCAAGTCGGCCCGCACGAAGACGTCTCACGATATTGCTCTTTTTGAGAGGAACATCGTCTATTGACGGAGTTGATAAATAATCAGCTTGCACTACACTGTCTATGCCCGGACAGAATTACGGACAACTGTGGGTCGTTACGGATCTTCGTCTTAACCCGGATTCCCGACGTAACGTGGGGGTCGAGTTGCTCAACATCACAGTTAAAGTTTCGGTCGGCGAACTGGACTGAACTTTGCTACGCATCGCTTCTGGGACAGCTAATGGTGTCGCCTCACTTGTAAAAAGTGGTGGGATAATTACCTTAAGCCTCACTATGCGAGCCATGCACGTTGGCGATGGAAATCTTGTGGTTATGTACCTGACGACCGGCGGCCTAGGCGTTTTGATTGAGGACTCTCTGCTTATCTGTGAATGCCAACCGGTGAACTAAATCTTAGAGGACAAACCCTAGAGTCAAACGACATGGGTCATTTGCGACACAGATGAGTCCCTTAAGGAGCTGTCACAACTGTTCCAAGCTGAAGCACTTCAAGACGCGATGATAAGTCACTACTTGGAGACCGGCCATGGCACTCTCAAACCCCGATGTTTATCGCCGAAACATACAATCCAAGAATATTGACTTTATGACGCTGCCCATCATACCGATAATGCAGCCCTTTTCATTTGCCCGCTTTAATCTTGTTTGGTTGGCTTTAAAGAGATGGAAACTCCATTCGACATGTGCCGCGCCTTCCTATCCCGTAAATTTTGGATTAAAGCCGTGATCACAACATTAGGTTATACCATCAGCGTTCTAGGAAGGAGAAGTCAAGTACCATTGGCGTTCATGGTATCTGTTATTAAGGAGAGTTGGACCAGGAGCCTTCTTTGGTCCACCTGCGAAAGCTTTAATTAGGTACGCTACCATAAACCTTGTTTCCATAGGTCGAGTGCTGATCTCGAACACCTTCTTTTGACATGGCTAAGTATACACATCAAATCTTCTCATTCACCGTCATAGGGCGCGGCCGCGAAAATCACACTCGTTCCTGGTAAAACAAAGTCAGTCTCTGGCCACCAGCGAGGCAAATGGGCTACTGCCATACATGAATTGTTCATGGTCGTTGGTGGCAATTTCGATCCTGTCAAAGTTTTGACTTTCCAGATCGGCAGGCTTCGACCGTATCACATGCTCTTGCTTGGGTTCAGCCTCTTGCAAGATTACACTACTTTCCAGCTTTTTGTTGTCTGTAGTACTACCGCTCTTTGTGTCTTGCATGTCAAGAGTGCCTGCGACGGCAGCAGGCCCGGTCATGCTGCGATATGTATTCAACTCAATGTCTTCAGAGTTTTGGTTGCTAGGGTTGTTATTGTTGTTCTTGTCATATCCAAGTGTGGACGCCTTTTCCTTGATGAAGACTCGTAGCACTGGAATGGACGAGCCCACTATCGCAGTAGCTGTTTCGACGGCAGTCCAGATAGTGACGTCTTTCCCATTAACTATTTTGGCAATCAGTCTCCGAGTTTGGACAGTTTTCGGGGTAGTGACCACTTACAGAAGAAGTCTCCTTCTTCCAGTTGTACGAGATAGATGCCCTTGATGATTGCGCATACACCTGCCCTGTAGAACCAGATGATTAGTATCCGCCGCAGTTGGTCTTTGAGTGGGCCTGCTTACAACCATCCGAGACTCATCGCAAAGCAAATGCCGAGCTTTTCATGTCTTCTCAAGCGCATTCCCCAAATCAGCTTCCACGGTACCAGTGCCAAGACGAAGTCCATGAAGGCACACCAAGCGGCGTTGAAGATGCCGTAGTTGAGCGTCACTGACTCATCCCAGCAGGTCCCTTCCATTTGTCTGTTGAAGTTCTTCTGTACCGGTGTGCACTTCAACCACGTCAAAGTTGCGCTGGGAAGCATGACGGCGGTCAGAGTCACAACAGCAAACCAGACGAACCTCCTGTACCAGCCAGACGTGAGACGCAGCAGCGTAACACCGAACCCTACTTTGCTACCCGTTGAGGCGAAGCAGGATACAGAGGCTCCGACTGAAGTGTACATTGCGATTGTCAAAAGGTTTGTTTGTGGGTTGATGTTGTAGTAGTGCCGTCCGAATCCAAGATTGATACCCATTTGTGTGATTATAGACTCGATGAAGAGGCAGGTCTAGGCAAGTTAGTCAGTTTCTAAAGTCGTCATTTCCCTGGACTTGACTTAGGAAAGACTTACCCACGAGAATATCATTATGTAGTCGTCCCACCACAGTTTCTGGCCTCGACTCAGCTTGGCGTACACACGCAGAGCCAAGAAAGCGCCACAGAAGAAACACAGAAACCAGGTGACGGCACCTATCAGCGGCCCATGGGTCTCGATTGGAGCCATGGCGAGATCATTGGACAGAGCAGTTCCTTCCCGACTGTCACGCCAGTCGAGTAGCTAGCATGCGGGCGTAGGTTGAATCGTAACAAGCAGCCCCAAAGTCGACGACGAACAAACAAGGCCCACTTACGCGGGTTCCTGGCTCTAATAATGGGGAGCGGTCCAGGCCTGCCAAAGGACTCCGCGGTGATCGAGCTAGTGGCACAGCTTGGCTCTTCATGAACCACCTTCCTGAATAAACTTTGCTTGCGGCGCACGGTGGCGGAACCACCTCCCTCTGGCCCCAGCCGGGGCGGGAGTCGCAAGCGTTTCTGTCCTCTCATAGCAGCCAAACACGTTGAACGGGGAGACCGCTGTCGGCGATGTCGATTTAGGAAGTACAAATCAGATGGCCTTCGGTGACAGTGCTGAACTGGGCCAACCAAAACACAGTTCCAGATCTCAAAACAAAGTAGGGAGGTTCGGAAGACGGCCGGTTGTGGACTATGCCGCTAGCGACCAAAGTTTATTCGCCATTATGACGGGTTGTAGATCGATGATGGCAAATATCGAGACCGAATGGCCAAAACTTGGGCTCGCAAAAGAGGGACTTGGGGGAATAGGCCACATAGTTGCTCTTGCCCCGTGGAACATAGAGGCGAAAAATGCATTCCTGGTTAAATTGGGTGCCATTGGTGGTCTCTCCCCTTTCCCCCCATGTTTTCGGACGAGGTTGTCTTGCTAACTTGGCGATGTCTTGACTTTCTCCAAAGTGGAAGCCGTTGGACCGAACATCTAGATGATCCCAATCTCGAGTTGAACATCGGATCTGGCTTCGAACTATAACTTCCAACGCTAGTGAGATTACGCTGAACCTTGCGGTCACTGAAATCCTTCTAGTGATGTTCCAGACTTACGCAGCCTGTTTGGCTGCTAAAGCTCGCATATGCTCAGGCACTCCGTGTACGTCACCTACTGCATGCCTCTTCTATGCATCAGTTGCCGTCACGAATGTCTACATCTGCTTGGCACAGAACGTCTGTATGGTCGGTTTCATAACTTCCCTACCCTGCTGCTGACGTCGAAGTTTAAATCGGACAACGCAGCCCTGTGGTCTTCTCCGCTTAGCCACGGACCCTGAAGACACCACCGGCGGTGATTACCCCTTCGATACCCTCCCAAACCGGCGGTATCCTCTCGAGGGTGTGTGCTCGCACACCTTGCCGTGTGGGTTGTTACTAGTTCGGGCGACCATTTGGAGTCCGCATAGGGCCTCAGACTATGGTGAGACCCCGCTTAGTCCGGTTCACCGTCTACATCAGATGACCAAGACGGTCTAGATGCCTCTGTCGACGTTTGTTCCGACCTATTCAGCGAGACCGGTGGGTGTCTCATCAAGGTAGAGTCCGGTTTCTCAGATAAACAATGGCGAAGCCGGCTATTCAAACCGATGATGCGCGTAGGCAGGCTCGCCAATTGCCGATGGCGAGGCTTCCAAAGGTTCACCAAATATTATTTGATCCCCCGCGCATCGAAGTCGTGCTATTGCCAACCGGGCTAGGCTGTCGGTTTTGCTAGCCTACCCGACAAAGCCGTGCCTCACAATGGTTGCTCTACTCCAAAACATCGATCCCTTGGCCCTGCCGGTTTGTCTCGAGCTCTGGAACATTGGAATTTCCCCAGGCAATCCAAAATACGAGACATTTCAAGGGGAAGCTTAGTAAGGTGCACATGCATCCAATGCCGCAAGTATCACGGCCAAGTCGCATGGGGGCTCGGTACGGACCGCTGGATGGAGCCCTGGATCCGCTGTGGATTCAATCACACACGGGACGGGCTGCTTTTGAGAGTAAGGAGACCCGATCTCTGTAGTAGGAGCCGCTAGGAAGGGAGTATGTAAGTCAACAAAGTCCCGTGCATCGAGTCGGTTGGAATTTGGGTCCTGCTGTTCGAACTGGGCTATTTACCCACTAAGCTGAGATGCCAAACCTGCTTCAATGTAGGATCTCTTGCTGACGGGGTCTCACCAAAAGAGTCAGCACTGCGTTTGATGTGCAGAGGTGTTGTCGCTGTTGCACTGAGCCATCCATACCGCCTTAATGAGGGGTAGGGCACGGACGATAGGCAGCAAGCAGACAAATGTGAGATCTCAGTGCCCAAGATTGTGGCCGGGTGGCACATATGCAACCAGCGGAAAGTGTTGACACTCTTCCAGATCAGCACGTCTGCTAACCTCAGCGGCAACATGAACAATTGCACTGTCGTCACATTCTGCGGCATCAGCGGGCTTCGGGCCAGACGAACGGCAAGGCCCCGAGAGCACAAGCACCGGCGGGATGGATGGCCACGGAGCTGGTGGAATGAGGCGCGGAAATGTTGCCGTTAGTGGGCCGGTGCATCGAGAACGAAATGGAGTTGGCCCGTCAGTGTCGCGAAGCCATGGTCTCGATCTGAGATGCGGAAAACCATGTCCCAATCATGCCAATCATGGTGTAATGCACAGGGGAAACGCCAAGCACGTAGTGCATCAAACCAGTCCGCCGCGGTCTGCTCGGGAAGCCGGCCGTCAGTTGGTTTGGAGGCTCGCGACTAGTATCAGTAACGATACTGAATGTTTCAGAAATGGTCCTTTTCAGAATTAGAAAGACGAACGCACACGCACCGAGGGCCGAACATAATGGCGTTGTGAGCAAGCCACCCCGGAAAGCCTTCCTCCATCTGGTCCCCTGGTGCAGTCAAAATGGGATTAGATGGGATCTTGCATGCATGTCCCCAAATTCGGCCGGCGCCCCTGGGGTCTAATACTTGACTGGTGGCAATCCGAAGGGTTCGGAGGATGCTGCACTACTGCGTAGGTAGCAATCAGGCTGTCAATTGATTAGGCGAAAGTTGAAGGCTCTTCCGATTCGCCATCTTACATGATTCTGTAGGAGCGACCTGCGTCTGTCTTATGCCGGGCTGTTATTGGATTGTCTGATGTGTCAGGCCACATGTAAATCTGTATCTCGAACTCTCGCCGTCTTGGAAACATTGACAGGCTGGGCAATCCTATGGTATCGCTACGTTTTATTAGCACGCGAATTTCTCAATCGAGAGTTTGCTTCGTGCCGCCTTGTCAGCACCATCACTGTTCAGTCGATGCAGCGGACGGACCAACGTTGCCCGTCGGCCCCCGCGGCCCCTCGACATTATTCCGTCTTATTCAGCTCTTATTCTTCAAGTCCTGGTGGCCCCCCATTTCCGGCACTGCAGCAAGCGCTAGGTGCCGTCACGGCTACGACACCGTTGAACCGTGCTTAACGTTGGAGCCGGGAGGGCCTCCCCCTCCAAACGGCTCAGATTGGAACTCCATGCCTGGCACCGAGTGATAAGACGGGCCAATAAGAAAGCGATCGGCACGCCCTGGCAGATGCTGATAATCCGTCTTACTTTTTTCGGTGCAGGCTGCGTCCTTGGAACAACACCATGTTGTGACAGCCCTTGCGACTCAAAGTAAAAGCTAGACTCCTGGCCAGAACACGTGCCTTTCAGTCTCACACTCTGGAGGACAGTACTATGTAAGGTGCTATAGGAGAAACCCATGCAGCGCTCAAGGTTGGGGTTGGGGGGAAGCTGTCGCAGGACGCGCGGCGCGCCCATAAGCTCTCGTCTCCCCATGCTGCAGAGAGAATTTGATGAGGGTACCTCTTGGCCTCTCAGTCTACTCCGCGTTGACGCAGCACCATACCGGGGCTGAATGTCCTCACCAACACGGGCAGCCGTGACCTAACTGATCGGGCAAAGCTGCGAAGAAGCACAACCAGGGGGGGGGAGGAGGGGCGCCCACATCCCAAGATTTCCTCACCGGGTACCATCACAAAGCTACTCGGCCCACTCAGTGTGGTGCCGAGGCCGGCATGACGGGGATCATGCAAACAGGCGACGTGCAAGGCAATTAATCCGCCGCCAAAAGGGCATCCGCAGTGCTGTAGGAAAGTTTGCCCAGTCGCCTCAGAATGCCACAGAGGCTTTACTTAGCAAGCGTATCGCGGCCTCGAAGTCTCAGATATGCATGCCGCTACCTACGCCGTCTCCGTCTGATGTCGGGCGTCTTCAGCCCTGGGAAGAGGAAACTCAACTCAACGACATGCAAGTCTTGCTCGCTGACGACTGCTTGATGAAGCTTGTCTGTCCTTTTCTCCACCTTGTAGGCTACCTATTCTTATCCATCTCACTCATGCCTGCGCCACGCCTGCGCCGTTAGATTGGCAGCAGAGCTCGAATCGTCGTCCCCTGTCAGTCCCCGGTTTTACCTTGCCGTGCCACCCCCCCAGAAGATTCCGTACGAACTGTCGTCTTGAGAGAGGTAAGTACCCTTTTTGCAATGCTGATCCCACCCCACCGCGACTCGTATTCCGTAGCTCAAAGGGCCCGGCGTCTATTTCTTCTCTAACACTAAAAAGTCACTTCGGACTTGTCTCGCGGGATCATGATTTCTCGCCCATGACAGTCGAGCCACGCATGCGAGCGCACAGGACAAGCGAAACCCGCGTCGCCTACGTTCTTTTCCCCCCGTCATGGCTGCCACTCGGTCTTGTTTGCGCCGAGCGCAGGCGGTGGTCGGGAACGGCGCCGGCCTGATTCCGTGTCTCGCCGCGCTCGGACTGGTGCTTCTCCAAGCCGGCGCCGCCGTCAACCTCTGGAACACCCGCGAGCGAGGGCAGTTCAACTTCTCACCATCGTCGAGCTTGGCGATATCCGAACTACTTCGATTTCTAATAGCGACGCTTCTGTTGAAGCGCGAGACTCGCACGCGCGCCGCGAGCGCCGAGTACTTGTCGCTGGACAATAGATCGGACGAGCTGGATCATGGCAACGAGGATGGCCGGTCATCAAGCGAGTTTGCCGTCGAGAAGTTCTCGCGCAGTGCGCCCATTGGAAGCGCCAGGGCGCTGTGGCGCTATGCATGGGGAGACGCCGACGTCAGGTTTGGGCTCATGAGGATCGCTTTGCTGCAGATGCTCAGCAACAACTTGGTACGGGTTCCGGAGCGTTCGGATGAATGGTGCAACTGGACGAACGAGGGCTGACTTGGCATCCCATGGCGTAGATGTTTCTCAACTATCTGGTGACCGACCCAGGCACCGTCCATCTAACAAAGAGCGGAATCGCCATCGCCGCTGCTCTCTTCACCACGCCAGCCTTTGGCCTGAAAGGCCCAAAGACGCGGTGGATGGCCTTTCTGATTCAGGTAGGTCGCACGCAAATCCGTGGTCGCTTGGAGACACAGCTGACGACGTTAGACTTCTGGCCTTGTGCTATCCCAATTCTTGCCGCAACATCGCACAAGGGCATCCACGTATCAGCTCCATCTGTACACAAGCCTCGTGAGCCAAGCAAGCTTCAGCGCCCTGTCCGACATCTACAGCGAGAAGCTTCTGAAAGGTACCATCCTCGGCGCGAATGGCGCAAACGCCATACTGGGTGCACTGGGGGCGGTGCTCAACCTCTTTGTGCACATCCTCGTCCGACACTACAGCACGTACGAGCCCGCATTCCTCGACGGGTATGACAGTAAAGCCCTTTCGGTGGTGGTGTTGACAACTATTGTGGCTCTGGTAAGCACTGTCGCGTACAGGAGTAAGTTTCCCTTGCGCTGTGATGCCGGATACCAATGGCTGACTCCTAGTAGACGTCGATGCGTGGGTCAGATGGTTCACGAACGATATCACGGCTGTGGTTCTGCTACTTGTGTCTGCGTTTTGCTTCTCGTCAAAGTACAGTGACTTTCTCATCCCTGGTACGGCCCTTATGTTCATCGCCTCCTTGGCATACATGAAGTACGCGCCCTTGAAAGACCACATCTCGTCCCCTGTGGACTACAGGACGCACGATTTCCCGCCGTCCAAGGCTCAAAAGGTAAGTCTGCCGAGACTTTTGAAAGATCCAGACGATTGATATCGCGGCAGAAACTTAAGCTTGGTCTCCTCGCCATTGCCGGCTTTCTCGGCGCCGGGATCGTTCCGTTCGCAACACTCGCCGAGCCTCCCCACACCCCCGAATACAGACTAGTCATGCGAGACGACACTGACGGCCATTGCCTCACCCCTCCAACCAACATCATCACTCCATTTACGGAGAAGAAGGAGCCTTACAAAATCACATCAGGCCCGGGCAACCTGACCGCTTCGCCCTTCAGCAACACGCTCGCCATGATCCGCTGGAACGCAAAACGCATGGAGCGTGTACCGCTGCTGCTAAAATACAAACCCTTTTTCCACACTGTCCACATCTCCATGCCGGAGATGATGGACGACAAGCCCGAAGACTACCACAACCTTACTCACTCCCAATACGCGCACCACGAGACGATCTACATGCAGGTCGCGCACACGATGAAACTCATCCTCGATGAGCAGCCCGACATCGAGGGCCTGATGTACTTCCACTTCGACTCCTGGATTGACCCGATGGCTTGGGTCGACGAGAACCGCCAGTCCATCTGGTTCCCGACATCACATAACACGCGCCAGTTCGAGGGCGACGGGCCGCGGTACATGTGTATGACGGACTGGCAAAAGTTCCCGCAGTGGTGGGGATGGTACCACAAGTGGAACGAGAAAGCCGTCACCGTCAACGGCGAGATTATTAGGATGAACCGCGGCTACGCGGTCGAGGAAAAGGAATTCTGCGTGGGCTGGTCGGACATCTTCTACATCCCGCGGCGCTTCTTTGCCGACTTCATCTTCTTGTCCTACGTCTACGGCTGCGCGGACCTGTTCCACGAGGTGGCGATCCCGACGATGCTGAACATTATCGACCGGAGCCGCCGAAGCGAGGCGGCCAAGTTCCAGTCCGTCATTGACCGTATTGGAGATTGCTGGGGTGGATGCTGCGACGACTCGGCCACGGCGCACGACGTCAAGTGGACGCGATGCGGACACCGGCTGAGCTACCTGAACCATGAAGTTGTCGATGCGCATTACAGCCGTTTGGAAGAGCAAACGGCGTGGCTTGGCCAGACTGAGAGGGCAAAAACTGGGAACGGAAGGCGTTAAGATGACTTGTTTTTCAGGGAATGGGGCATTAGACGGAGCGTGTATTTGTTTCAAGATGTATTCACTTTTGTACATACCAAACTGTTTGGCAAGAAAGTTGTCCATGATGACCTCAGGTTACATTTCCTCTTTATCCTCCGTCTTTAGCCTGGACTTGCCTTGCCTCCGTCACTTCCTACATATGGCATCCAGGTACGATGTACTGCGCCATGCGACCCAACAAGCGAGTGCAACGTGATCAAGAGTTTGTTAGTGCCCCTCCATAGCACATGCCATACCGGCAATCAACAAAGAATAGAATCCATGTGAACAAGGTGTATGAGGCCCATGTGTTGTTCCAAAATAACAGGCAGTCTTCTTGAACATAATATCAATCCAGATCACTCCAAGAGTTTGCTCACGATGTTTGTCATGTAAGGGGTGGACGGGCGGCACAAACATCTATATGCACCGTCACAAGGTATTCCAGGTACATTTAGCACACTCAATATTCGTAAAAACACACAGATAAAGACCAATAGTGAACGTACTCGTGATGTGATTGACATCACAAAGAAGGCAGGAAGCCCTTTCTTGGGTTAGCGTTCTCGGTTGCTCTTTCCTTGAAGCCCAGTTCGACTTCACAATAATAGAAACAAGAGTGAACGTTGGCGGTGAGAGAAGGAGCCGGCTCTTGACATTCTTCGCTCTTTTCTCTTCTTTTGTTTCTGGAGTGTACTGTTCTTTCTTGAAAATAAAAACTCATCTTTCTCTGGTCTGGATTCTGCTTTCGAATCCTTACTCAAACAACCTCATTCGCCATCCGAAAGAAGACTTTCCTTCTTTTTACCTAACAGACCAACAAAACCAGAGCCAAACAAAACCACTCTACGTTATTCAAGATGAAGAACCTTTGTATGTTCGCTACCTAGCCTCTGGAGGGAACTTCGTCTCACATGTCAAACCACAGTGCTCATTCTCACCGGCGTCGCTGCCCTCGTCACGGCAGGCACTGCTGTGAACCCCCATAACACTGCCTACAATGCCCGTGAGGCCATCACCGAGCAGGGCCATGACCACAACGACGTTAATTCTGCCGAGGAGACCATCACCCTCCGTCGACGCGAGTGCGAGATCTCCTGCCCCATCAGCCTTGGCTACTGCTACTACGCTCCCTACAACTACAAGTGCGACCGTAACGGCAAACTCCAGTGGACCCAGCGAGATATCAACTGCGAGCACCCGACTTGGGGCTGCTGGTGCGGCTGCGACTGGCGCGTCCCCGGCATCGAGAAGAAGGGCGTCTCTAGTGCTGAGGTTGAGTTCTAAAGGGCTTGACACGGGCTCGACAAGGATTCGGTTGGGCTGATCATGGATGTGGGATCTGCGATCATTCAATGTTACTACAAGGAACTAGGCAAGTTCTGATTGGAATGGGCTCATCGCAAGCTCTCCCATCGAGTTTATAGTAGTAGGGCTCAGGCATCTCGAGCGACTAAATCGAAAATCAAACTAAGACCCACTACACACCAAACGTATTGGGACTGCTTGCTTTTGAACTTCTTGACTTGAGAAGCTGTATTTTCTTTGGAACAGTCTTGTTTTCTCTGGAATTTCCTTGCCAGACTAATATGAAGAAACCTAGTTGTCTATAAACGCTCCAGACTTCATCTGTAGTATTGTCTAGTACACAGGCGTAGCCGATTCAGACCGTCATGGTTAAGCCACTGCTGAGCCTAGAGTACATGCTCAGTCAATCATTCTGTGACGCGCGTGACACATGCGTTTACAGGCATCACATTAAGCCAAGTGTAATTTCCTCTACATTTTACAGAACGGTGCCTTCCTCTCTACATCGTAGACAACGTGATAAGAGTCACTCTCGGAACTTACAAGAAGAAGAATATCACGAATTCAGGAATCGAAAGCAGTGCATCTCACAGAATGTGTGACCTAAAAGGGCACTAAAAGGGCACTAAAAGGGCATATAATAAAGTGTGTCTACTATATTAATGTAACCTTCCTTAACAAATAACTTTGTCCTAATCTCCTACCGTTTCTACGGCCCGTGACCTCACAATCTCTCATAGCCTTGGCATATTTATATTAGTAAACTAGGCCAACTCGAACCGCCTTTTCTGCACAATTTCTCATTTTCCATTGGACCATGCGCGTTCATCCTGCTCTGTACCCGACAAACAATCAATCAGGTCTCATCATTCATCAGAAAGCTTGAGGATGCGGCGCTTGGTAGACACGGTTCGAGGCCGAAAGCAGCGGCGTCGCGACCAGGAAATTGAACGGCCGCCACCACCACTCCCTCTTCTTCCTAGCCAGCGGCCGCGGACTATTACGCCTGCTGCTACGGCCGCTGCTACTACTGCCGACAACCTTGTCGCCGCGCTCGGTACCTTCGCCCGTCTATCGCCGGAGCTGCGCCGACGCATACTCATAGCCGCCTTCGGCGAGCGCACTCTCCACTTGGACCTGCGGCTCGCGCCGCGCGGGCAGCGGGTGAGCACCTCGATATACCGTTCGCCCGCATATGAGCACGGCCGCGGGGCGGCGCCCCTCACCTGGTCTCGCGTTGTCGTGCCTCAGGACGTCCCGGGCGATGCGACGACGACTGCGAAGTCTGCGGGTTCCAAGACTAAGCCGGAGACGGAGGCGGACTGGGAGTGGGAGTGGCGCTGGTACGGCTGCGTATGCCACCGTGTGCTCCCCCGCGGGTCGGCTATCGAGCGCCACGCCTTCACAGCCCGCGGCAAGTCCCCGTACATCTGGCCGCACCGCGACGCCTGCCTCCAGGGCGAGGCCGAGACGTGCCGGCTGTGGCCGCCGGGGACAGACACGTGCGACTGCGCGATCGGCGCCTTGGGTTGGCTCCGCGCGTGCCGACAGGCCTACATCGAGGGCGTCGAAGTGCTGTACGCGACCAACACGTATTTTTTCGAGAGCCGGGACATGCTGGACGCCCTCTCTAGCCCTGACGGCAGCCAGCGCCTGCTCCTCCCGCAGCGTCTGGCCACGATACGGTCGCTCGAGCTGCGGTGGGAGGTCATGCTCTTTGGGGACCCTTACCTGCCGCCCATGTCTCGCCACAGCGACAAGGAGAGGATGCGGCTGGTCCCAGACTTTGCCGGCCTGATGGTGCTGTTCCCGAACCTGCGCTCCCTCGTCATCTCCTTCTCGGAGCATCTCTACAACGACGCGTCTGCGCGCCCGGCCGCTCGCCTGCCCGAAATCGACCGCCTGCTGCTGCGGCCGCTCGCTCTCGCGCTGGCGCCCATCGCGCCGCGTCAGGAAAAGCACGTCGTGGTGGAGCTGCCGTCGAACGTGTTCCGCGACCTTAAAGGTCTCGGCCTCGAGGAAGAGCAGCGAGGGGACGCATGGGGCCACGGCAAGGGCAGCTGGCTGCGGTACGCCATCGGCGAGTCGTCCTACTACTACATTAAGCAAGGTCAGGAGAGTAGCCTGCATTGGGACCACGACGGCAACGCGCGGCGCGCGTCCGACTACCTGAGTCGTTCGGGTCCGGGTTATGCCAATGCTATGTGATGGGGGATAATAAAGAAGGAAAAGAAAAGAGGTAGAGAGGCGAGACGATTTGCACGAGTTCCCTCTGTCTCTCTAATAGCTTTGCAAAATGCAATTATCTAGATTTGCCTAAATTCTAACTAATAACAAACATCTCATTACGCCCGCTCACCATGCCGTCCTGGATTGGCGTGGGCGTCGCCACGGCCCCGCTGGTTGTGGTGGTGCTCGGCACGGTGGCCGATGACGACTTGCCGGTGTTGGTGCCGGCCCCCCACCCAACGCAGACGTAAAAGTCGGGCTCGAGACAGTCGCACGCATCCTCGGCGGCCGGGTTCCAGGCCTTGAAGTCGGCCAGGGTGATGTCGCCCTGGGAGGCGATGGAGCTGCACGTGTCGGCACTCGAGACGAGCCAGAAGCTGGTGCAGTCGGACGCCATGCTTTCCTGCTTCGGGAGGTCTTCGGCCGCGGGTTCCGTCTGCTCCGGAACGGGCGTGGTCCGCATCGTCGGGGTTAATAAGAGGTCGGTTTTACAGCAGGGAACTGCAGGTGGTGGTCGCCAGTAAGGTTGCGAAAGACACCTAGCACGAAGCAAGGCCCAGGACCACCGTCGAAGCAATGGCAAGGCTCATCGAGGTCAAACTCACGTAGACTCGGGAAAAGCTTACTCGAGCTGAGGCTGGAAGCTACTGCAATGGATAGATCAAAATTTTCCTTTCAATGTGACTTTTCCTTATGCTCCCCGTGTCTATGGACCCGGCCTGGATCCGGAACGCCAGCTCGGCCGTCTGTGTAAATGCCGCCCAAGGTATCAAAGTAATCTACATCCCTCATGGTCCCTTGAAATTCCATTATAACCCCCACATGCCTTCCTCCCTATCTTTGCGAAGGGTATAGATACCTTGCCGGTTGAGGCTGCACTTCGGTCGCCGGCATCTCCACGGCATTCAACGGAGGTTGTGACGCCTGAGGGGGCGAGGATACGGGCAAAGACGCGAGCTCAAATACCCCGCCCTGCTGTTGCGGCGGCGGCGGAGGCGCGTACGCAGCCTGTGGGTGGTGTCCCCAAGCGTGCTGTTGCTGGGCCTGCGCGTACGGCGGCTGCGGCGAGTTGGTCGCCCACGTCTGCGCGCCGGGGCTCGCGCTCTGCGTGATCTCGGACACCGGCCTCCACCCGGGCTGCTTGTTCTCGTTCTTGTACTCCTGGGCGCCGATGTAGGCGGCGCCGAACCCGCCGCCGCCGCCACCGACGCTCGCGGACGGGCTGTACTCGCTATAGGGGCCGTGCTGTGGGTCCCGGCCGCCGACGGCGCCGACTCCGCCGCCGAGCATCGGCCGGTGGGACTCGTCGTGGGCGTCGCGGCTCTTCTTGATGCGCCAGATGTAGGCGGCGAGGCAGATGAGCGCGACGGCGCCGACGCCGGCGCCGATACCGATTCCGATCTTGGCCGTGGTGCTGAGCCCCGACTGCTCGGGTTCGGTCGTCGGCGTGGAAGTCGGGGTGTTTGTGACGGTGATGGTGGCGCCGCCCGTCGTGGTGGTCATAAAGGTGGTCGGCGTCGCGGACGTCGCCGTCGTCGACAAGGTCACGGATAGGGAGGCGGTCGCGCCCGTTGCGCCGAGGTTGAGGAACTGATCTTCCGTCAAGGCAATGGGCGACTTGGAGTCGGAGCATGCGGTGCTCATGGACTGGTATACGGTGCGCAGCGTGTCTTTGGCTTCCTTGCCTATGCACGTCGCGGCGTTTGTGACGAACTTGCCCTTGGCGTCGCTGCAGAGGCACTGGTTCATCGCGGCCACGGTGTCGCCGTCGCATTGGCTGGCGTCGGAGGCGGCGTATAAACAGGGCTGGGCCGTTGCCGGGTAGAGGTCAAAGTTGTTTTGGAATTTGGCGACGATGGGGGTCGCGAAGAGCAGGAAGCTCAGGAAGCCCAGGGCTTTCCTCCTTGCTGGCGCCATTGTTGCGGTGATGTGAGATTCCTCGGAATCGATGTTGGTCTGGTGTTGTGGTTGTAGAGTACAGGCAGATCGTTGGCCTTCAAGTCGTGTCAAGTCCTCGCAGGGGCCTGGTGGGAAGGTTGTTGGCGTGCGTCATGCAATTGTCAGTTTGAAGTCGAAATCCAATTAGGTTTCTCGTAGGACAGTGTCGAGATCAATTACAGTGAGATCTCGTCGTCGTCGTCGCTGTCTTCGTCTGAAGAGCACCCTGGTGAGGATCAAAGATTCGGATGTGGGAGCAGGGATGTTGTTCAATGTCGTCCAGGGGTATCGAGTTGATCGTAGGTGGCGGGGGTCGAACTTCGAAGCAACAGACCAAATGAACGAGGCGCGACGGACGGTCTTTAGAACAAGTGCGACAATGATTACGGATGAGCTGGGCTGAACTAAAAGCAAAGGAATGGCTGGTGTCGCTAGCGTCGAATGGACGGATCGAGGCTGAGGCTGGACCAGGAGACGGGGTGAGATGGACGAGTGAGTGGTGGGGAGCGATGTGATGCAGCGACCGACACAATGCAGAGACGATGGTGAGCTTGTTACCCTCCACTACCTGTCCTTGTTCATCTTGGTCAGTTCTTTTCTTCCCTAGGGCTGAGGGCTGAGCACCTCATGCGCAGCCATGGGTGCAGCCATGAGCGCAGCATGTGGTATTTCCCCTTGCGCTTTTCCCGAATGATGCGGTGACATTGAGACTGTAAGACACGGTTGGGGGAACAAGACTGGCTGAGAGAGCGAGGCACGGAAGTAATCTTGCAAGGGGCTGTGCCTGCAAGCAAGCTGCCTGCAGCTGATGTTCCGCAAGGTAACAACAACCACAGCAGAAAGGGACTCTCTCGCTCCTCGGGTGGCACAGGCAGAAACTTGAGGCACAATGAGGACATGAGCGAAAGCGCCGTGGGATCGGCGCCCATCCCGAATTCGACGAGCCGGGGCTAAATTTAGCGGTCAACAAGCCTCCAAATCGCCTGCGTGTGGGATGACCATCCCCCGACGGCCACACACACACGCCATCAGCCACATTATTCTTGCCAGTTTATTGAGTTCCAAAGGAGAAACTGACCACGGATGAGAAAAACCAAGAAAGAAGTGAGATTGTCGAGAAAGCGGTTCAATCAATGATACAACAGGCTGTTATCACACCGTGTATTGTAAGATCAAATCATAAGAGCCATGCATCTCAGTGTGCGATGAGTGAGGTCCATAGAATGAAACCCGTGTTCAAATTGCGACAGACTGTCTCATAAGGTTTTCCCATTCCACTCCTATTCTCCAGGAAAATTACCCATCTACCATCATCGACCTCTATTCCCTTCATCCCATCTCGCGCCTATCCGTGAGGCTCAGTTCCCACCCGGTCACCCGGCTGCCGCTGGACCCGAAGCACGCCGGCAAGTGAGCGAGCGTGCTCATGCTCCCGCCCATGTGCGCAACAAAGGATTCAACGATGCGACGGCCGTGGAAGGCTGCAACAACGGCTCGAAATAAACCGTCAAGCCACACGGATCCAACTTGCCGAAATCTCGCTGCCTACACTGTATCCTAGCCGAGGGGACCAGGACGTGGTAGCGCCCAGCCACCGCTGTCAGCACCTCATCTCGCTCCCATACTCGCCCACGCAGGCGCTATGTTCTGACTAAACCGAAAGCGACCCTTCTTTCGCCGTTGCTGTGGCCCTCTCAAGCCCCTTGCATCATACCATTCTCTCGATAATGCAGTCGCTAGCTGCACAATGTGAGCCTTGAAAGCTTGTAAAGACACCGCAGAATCGCCTGCTGGAGCGCATTGACTGGATGCAGCAGGATTAGATATCCTTCTTGATTGGAGCAGGCCAGACCATAGAACCACCGACCATGTTTACTCGCGATCAGCGTCATACCACACGCAAAGTATGCCTTCGCTTGTGCTGCCCTGAAACCCAGTCTCGGCTTGTCAGGAACATCACAAAGGACCGAACGGAGACGGGTGGCTTGAAGGCATGAGTTTATGTTGACCACGACGCTTGCGGCATCAACAGCCTCCATAGTTCACATGGATTCAGCCGCGATGTGACGGCTCTAATCCAGATACCCTTCTATTCCTATCTTGCAAACCCTCGCATATGATATTCGGAACATGTTCCCCAGCACATCCTTCACTTGCCCTCTTCGCCCACAGGAACAAGCCTGCCGACAATGAGATACTTGTTCTCGAACGTCTCCTCCCAGCCCCGCAGAGCCTCCTCCTCGTCGGGTCCCAGGCCCTCCAGCGTGTCCAGCGGGCCGTCCAGGTCCTCCGTCAGCATGTCCTCGTCGAAGCTGCCGCACGCCAGACCGCGCGTGGCGTCCCGGCCGGCAAAGTTGGAGTACGGGCCGCCGGGACCGTAGAAGTTGCTGCCCGCCGTGACGTCGAAGACGCGGCCGCGCACCGCCACGTACACGGGTTTGTTGTTCTCGCCGGTGAAGGGCAGCAGGGTGCGCGGGGTGAAGGTGCGGAAGACGATCGCGGGCGGCTCTTTCGGGAGTATCGGGGGCGGGGTCGGGCGGAGGAGGACGTAGATTGTGTAGCCGATGATGAGGAGGAAGAGAATGTTCAGGGGAGTGAAGAACGCATCGCTTCTGGGGGGAAGGGTTAGCGGCTTGTCATTGATTGAAACCCAGGGATGCTTCGGACGTGGGCAGGGAGAGGGAGGGTGGTTGTCTTGCCTTTGTGCGTCTTGCTGCTTCACGACTTGCTCCTGCAGTCGCTTGTCGACGTAGTCCATTGTGACGGTGTTTCGAATGCAACCGTTGCGTTTGTTTTGTTGTGCGAGGTCAGCGATGTATCCGACAAAGACAGCCTCTGTCGAATGGCTGCAGGCTGCGCAGATATGCGAGGTCGTTGGGGAAGGCGAGGTTGCTCGGGTCCAAAAAGGAAGCAAAGCGAAAGCCGTCTCTCCGTCGGAGCTCTCCAAGTTCCCGTCGATGGTTTGGAACCAGCTCCGTGCACTGCCGTGGCTCTGCCCCGCCAAAAGTGTCCCCTCGGACCTATGTCATCTTCGCTGTGATTGGTCATAGCTCCAGCGGACTCACGGGCTGTACATCTTCCGCTGTAGGACACGTGACGGCTACCACTATTGCATGCATGCAACAGCAGCAAAACGACATGGAATCGGGGCGGAACTCGCTTCATAGTCGAAACTCGTCTATAGTTCGCATTACCAGGAGGTTTCTGATGAATTAAAGCTCACTTGTCTGTAGCGGAGTCTAGTTTGAGTTGGTTGTACTTGGCGCAAGAGATCCATTGTGAAGCTCCTCGTTGGTGACAAGGACAGCCACTATGAGTCTCTCTAGCAGTCTTTTTCTAGTTCTCTTTTTTCCAAAACTTTTAGCCAAGTTCGCTGTGTCTCCGTCTTATCGAAGAAGTTCGCAAGCCTACACAGTTAATCCTTGCCATGGTATGTTCATGACGACACCGGGTCCATGTTTTTCGGGGTTTCTATGGAAGTGAATTCGCCGTGATCAAATAGTGGCCCCTCTCCCATTCCATCGAATCTTTGTCATGTTTCGCATTTTGTTAAGCTTGCGATGTACATGAGCTTTCCAAGCATGAGCCTCGCAAAAGCTGCGATATGAAAATCAGGCTGGTGTCTTCGGATTGACATGAGAAAACTGAAGATGTAAAGTCTTGAAATGCCCTTGGAAAACTAGGTGATTCTCCGAACTTAAGCGTACTTGAATCGAAATCGATCAATTTCGGACGAACTCTTCGATTAAATAAGCCTGCTTGGCCTCATGTCGTGCTTCTGGCAGGCTCACTGAACAACAAAGGCTCTTTGTCAACCATAGCTGTGGAATTTCCCGTTCATGCTGATTACAATGTCTTTGTGCCGTGACAACAACAGAGAACAACAACCTTTCAGACCAGCCGCCATCCGGCAAGTCTTTCTAAACAAGTCTTGAACATGACTACAGATTGGCGAACGGATTTGCGTCTTACACAAAGTCATTATCGATGTCTCGTAGCAGCAGCGCTGCCCGATGGCAGCTTCGTTAGAGAATATCCAATCACCATGTTGAAAACAAGGTCTTGAACAGAATGACTGAACACATTGATATCTGAAGAGACTCTTTGGTATTAAGCTGTCCAGTTATCAACCCAATGACGCTCCTCTCATCAGTACAACTCACAACAGACAGTTTCATTTCAGCTTTTCCTTCACTCGATTTCGCAACAGGTTACTCTTCCCTTCGTAAACGTACAAAGCCACGAGCGTCAGTCAAGATGTCCACTACTCGCAACAATGATAACCCTGGCCAAAGCGCCAGCCCAGTGCACCCTAGTACCCCGAATGCCACTCTGCCCTGTGACTATGCTGATCTCCAGAGCCAAATCCCGCCCACTCCGGACCATCTGATTGCCACAGTCGCCCAAAACCTTGGCGATAGCCCTCGTGGTCAACCAATGCGCGTCTACCTGCCAGACGGTATTGCTGCCCCCTCTTTACCTCCGGTGCCTGCCCCGTCCCGCTTCCGTGACGTTGACCCGCACCCGCTCCGATCTCCTTGGCCCGCGGAACCCAACACTAACTTCGGCCCGCTGAACAACTCCCCGCGCTGTCCTCACCAGGATGTCTTCCCTTGCTTTTGTCGCCGCAACACGGATCGCCGTGGTTTGGCCTGCCAGCGCTGCCGCTTTGATCACTGCTCCGTGTATTGCTTACTCCAGCGCGGATCCGTAGAGGAGCTCGAGTGCGTACTTGTGGCCGAGCTAGCTCGCGAGCGTGGTGCCCAACAATTCGAGCAGGAGCTTCGGTTTGCACTGGCCGCTGCTCGCCTGCGCGAGGCTGCTCCTGCTGACCCTGCTGAGCTGCAGCGTATTGCCGAGGCCGGGCTGATTGAGCTTGAGCGCCTTGACTTTGCTGCGGCGGATAGACATGGCACCGATTCGGCTTGAATGCTGATGAGCATAATTCAAAAAGACATGCGTCACAACTTTTGGGCAGTCGCTGTCAATGCCTTGCTTAAACAGGGAATGATTTCAGCAGGTAGGTGGTGGTATTTCGCATCAGTTCATGCTCATGCTAATAAACTCATCAATACACCCATATTACTGTATGTTTCCCCCATAAATGACATGTCCTAATTCGCCTTTCCGATGACCGGATGGTTCATCTCCCTCATTACATATGTGTGTCATGCATCATTTAAACAGCAGCGGCGACCTTGAGCTCCTTCTCGACAACCTTGACATCCGACTTGCCCTCCTCGGCGCCGTAAGAGTCACGGCCATCGGCGAAGACGGCCTCGAAGTCATACTCGGACCACCGGATCTCGGGGGCGAGGCCGGCGAACTTCCAGACGCCGTCGACCTTCTTGTACCAGTGCTTGTTGTAGCTGTGGGCGTGGCCCTTGACGGCGACCTCCTTGCGGGAGGCGTCGGTGTACTTCTGGTGGGGCACGCGGAGCTGGTGGTGGCCGATGACCTCGGTGTCCGAGACCTTCTCGTAGCGGGTGCCGCCGATGAAGTGCTGGGTCTTGAGGAGGGGGTTGCCGAGGACGGACTTGTCCGAGATCATGGCGATGAACTCCTCCGCGGGCATGGCCTCCCAGATCTTGTCGAGGAAGGAGCGGTAGTCAATCTGCCGTGGGGTCAGTACAGAGGTCCGTGTTCTCAAGGAAGGTTTGCCAGGCATGGGTCAAAGTCCCCTGGAGGAGTAGGGATCGCTGTTCGTTGCCGGCTAGGCCCGTTGCGGTTCACTCACGCGGAGCTCAGGGGCAATGCATTTCCTGAGACGGTCCCAGTCCTTGGAGTCGTAGCTGTCAGCCCACTCAAATACGGCTGTAGAGAGGCCGAGGTAGTCTGCGATCCGCGGTCAGCATTCCGTCAGCAGCGGTTCGTCGAGATTAGTACCCACCCTCGAAGGAGATGTTGCCAGCGGGGCTTGCCATGGTGTCTGATTGGTGAAAGAGAGTAAGATTGAAAATAGGAATTAGCTGGGATGCCAGGTGCAAGAGAGCAAATCGAAAGGTAAGCAGGGAATGGGATATCGGGAAGTTTATAGTTGGAACATCAAGCCATTGGGCTCCTGTTCTATCATCGAAGGATCAACGACCGTCCCATGTTAGCGCCAGGCAACCGGACTGCCGCCAAACGCCCGGGCCCAGGTACGGAGGCCCGGTCGTCGTGTTAGCGGCCCCCGCACCCCTTTTTCCAGGAGGGGAACGTGTGTGGGACCCCTAGGTGCTCTGCATCGTCATCCACCTTCGTTCGGACTCAGGTGGGGAGATGCCGGTGACCGTCCTGGCCTCTGCCCCGACGGCGCGAGAATGCTTGCCGCCATGCGTCAGCCTTGGGATGGCCATCCAATGACGGCGAGATCCCTGCGGGGATTAAGTTAGCACGATCTCAGGTGAAGGCACGAGTTGAGACGGCGGTCGAGACGTGTTCTTCGAGCGGGATTGCGCTCATTGGACGGAAGGATTCTACGGAAGGGTGGCGTTCCCGCGTTACTGAGGACCTGTGGCGCAATGAGCGCGATGAAGCGAATGCACTATGGCGGGCCGACATACGGATGAGCTGACAACCTGTTCTCCTAGTTCTTGTCTTTCGGTGTCGCGGTTTGGGTGGTGCAGCGCGTGTCCGCGTGTCCGCTCGCCCTTCGCTGTTTGCCTTTCGAGACGAGAGCCGCGAAGATGCATCAGTCGTCCGCCGTGTGGTGACTTGAGCTTTCCAGAAACTGTTAGCGTCTGATTCCATCCCGTCTTCGAAGTGCCAATCTGATTGAGACAGGAATTGCCTTTGTCCTAAGTTTGAGTTCCTCCAAACTCAACATGCATTGGCCAGAGGCCTTCCTTTGGCATGCACCCGAAATACCTTACCCCGCAGAACGCCTTGTCGATATGGCGATCTCGGTCTTGTCGCTGCCAGATACAGTGGTCTTAATATTGACAACACTATTGTCACATAACCGTCCTGTTTATTGGACATGACGCAAGCCGTCTGGCAGTAATTGAGTCACTCCGTATGTATCTTAAAGTTTGCTATCCAGATTATAATGAAAGGTCACCCTTTCGTACCTGAGAAGTCGAGATGAATCCAATGTGCTTTGTTTGAATACCGCCTGGTTTATTCTTGTCCCGTACAAAGTGATGTCTACATGCAAACGTCTCGCATGGTTAGAGCCCAGTCTCCAGCGACAGTGACCTCAGCGGCGACGCCACTGAGAGTCGTACTTCGCCTGGGTTGGGAAACCGCAGTAACTAATTACCTTGTCGCCTCGTCAGCCACGCCGTTGGAACCAACCAAAGGAGTTGTCGGACCAATTCCGAACACCAAATTCTGATGCTGCTAGCTAGCGCAAAGTTGCCCGCCGCACTAGACATGCTGGGCGTTTTCTTCAGCTCATGCTTCAGCCTCCTCAAGTCAACTTCACCATCAACCAGGCGGCAAGCATTGCGGCATCTGCGCGACCCCGCAACATACAAAAAACACTATCCAAAAACACGCGCGCATCATGCCAAGTCGAACAAGTAGAAGTGTGTAAAGAAGACCAGCTGACGGACCCTCTGTGATCAATTTTGTATGTTCGACTAATCAATATATATACGAGGACGAAAGAGAAGTATGTGCTAATGTCCAAATATCCGAAATGCAACAGCCAGAAAGAAGTCTTAGCAATCAATGCGACAATCCTTCACTCATTGTCCTCCAAACGCGCCTGCAAACAGCTGAAATACGCTTTGCTGTTGAAACGGAGTGGAGGCATGGCTTGACCACTCTATTTCGACAGGGTAAGAACACCAGGCTTGTAGGGCAACTTGTTGTAGTCACCGCTGGAGCTGGGCGAGCGGCCCTGGTAGAGGAGCTGCAGGTTGCACGGGTCGACGGTCATGGTCTGGTCAGGGTCGCTGCGAACCAGGTCGCCGTGGCTGATGTCGTTGGTCCAGGTGGCGCCGCTGTTCTTCTTGCCGGCGAACGGGCTGTTCTCGGTCGCGGCGTTGGCGGTCCAAGTACCGCTGAGGCTGGTGGCCGTGAAGGAGCGGAAGTAACGGCCGCCAGAGCCGACAGCCTCGACAATCATGAGGTACTTGTTCTGGCCCTTGACGGTGTAGACCTGGACAGCCTCGAAAAGGTTGTTGGTGGTGTCGCTCATGACGACCTGCGACGCCGTGCCGAAGCTGCCGGGGAAGTTGCCAATAGCCATGCTGGAGCGGTAAATCTTGCCGTTGTCTCCACAGAAGAACAGGTACATGTTCTTGCTGTCACCGATGACGGTCTGGTCGATGGGGCCGGTGCTGGTACCGGAGATGGTTCCGCTGAAGAGCGGCTTGACCGCCGACCATGCGTTGACATTGGTGGGGTCGGTCGATGTGCGGTAAGAGAAAGCAGTCGGGCCCCACTGGTAGGCGAGGATCCAGAGGTTCTTCGGGCGGAAGAAGAAGAGCGTGGGCGCGACGGCAGAGAAGGGCATCTTGGTCTGGCTCACAGAGCCCAGTTGAGACCAGTCGGAGACGAGGCCAAAAGCCATCGAGCCCCAAGAGGACCCGGTGTCGTGGGTCGTCGCATACACGAGGTGCTTGCCGTTGTAGGGGGCGGAGGTGAAGTCCTTAAGAGCAACCCAGGGGGACTTGGGGTTCGCCAGAGCGTTGGTCGAAGTCCACTTGTATGTGGTTGGGAGGCTGCACTGCGCTGCAACGTCCGCGATGGACGCGAGCAGCAGAAGACCGGCTGAAAGAAGGGATGTGGTAGACTTCATGATGTTGTCTTGTTGTGAAAAGGAGTGAAGATGAAGTTGGTAGTAGTGAAGCTTCCAGAAGGTTCACAGACTTTAAGTAGGGAACGATTGGATTTATATATCTTGACTCGCCAGCGGGAAATTGTTCAGTGTTGCAGATATGGACTTCTTTTCAGAGTGCGAAGATTATACGAGACGTTCGCAAACTAGTACGAGTGGAAACAACTTCACATTCGTGGATTAACATACGTGAAACAGATCGATAATTTCTGCTAGCGGCCGATTTTCCGTGCGGCGAAGCCTCTCCACTTCACCTATCCGAAATGCCTAAATGACTCCTGAGGACTATCGTCTTACTAGCGAACAATCCTGAGGAGACAGTACACCATGGTGGTTGTTGTCTGCGAAGTCGATCTGGCACATCTTCCGAGCAGTCGCATTGACCAGCTGCAGTACACAGCACGCGCACCAATTAACTTGAGCAGCTACAAGCGCTCTACTCTTGACAGACATGGGGTCCAAATGCCAAGCGCTTTGATCTGAGGATAATCTTGGTATCCCCGTGCCGTATAAGCTGAATGGCAGTTGGAAAAGAGAAGCGAAGCCCATTCCGGCGCCGGTGCCAAGGTGCTGATGAACCCTATCGTCAACTGTAACTACGGGGCTAAGATGTTGCGCGAAGCTCAAAACACATGCTTATAGCGTAGTAAGTTCAGCACTGAACCTCCGCTATTCCATCATCGGAAAGAAGACGGGACAAATCCAGTGAATGGGACGAACCGCCCCAACGCCAATGCGCCCAAGACTGTGCAAAAAGCTTAGCATGGCATGGGTGGCGATGCCAAATCCGCAATCATGCCGGTACTCTGTATTTCGCTCCACACAGGAACCATCGTGAGTCGAAAGGGGCGATGCCACGAGCCGGTACGACCAAACAGAGGTGTGCCTTAATTAATTTACTCGAGACCACTATGTCATTTTTCTGGTTCTAGCCCCGTGTCCCTGTAAGCCCGGGGGTCCACCAATAGGTAGCGTTACTACGCGCGAATCATCCGAGCGCGCCGTACTCGGGTGAGGTTGAATCTGGTATATCTTGAATGCCAAGACTCTCTAAGCTTGGCATATACTATCAACCCCAGATTTTTCATTCCAGTTGCCGTTCATTGGAACCTCTTGGCACGACCCTCTTTTGCCCATTTCTTTCTTTTTATTCCCGGGCCAATCAAAATGGTTGTCTTTGGCGCGCTTGCTACGGTTGTAGGCCTGGCCGCCTCAACTTATGCCCAAATCACAGTGGACACTAGTTCGAAGTTGCAAAACATCGACGGTTTTGGCTTCTCCCAAGCCTTTGGACGAGCCAAAGAGTTCGAAAATGCCCCCAAGGCTCTTCAGCAGGAGGCTCTTGACTTGCTTTTCAGCACCACCAAGGGCGCTGGCTTCAGCATCATCCGCAACCGCATTGGTTCTGGCGGTAGGGGCGACAGCATTCTCCCAACGAGCCCTGGCTCTCCTTCGGGCAAGCCCACCTATGTCTGGGACAACGACGACAGCGGACAAGTCTGGTTCACCAAGCAGGCTGTGAGCTATGGTGTCAAGCAAATCTATGCCGATGCCTGGAGTGCTCCTGGCTTCATGAAGACTAGCGGAAATGAGGCCAAGGCTGGGTAAGCATACACCTCACACAGGGCAAAACCGCACTGTTAAATGTTTCTTGACTTCGAAGAATGAGGCTTACAGCATCAAAACTAGGTATCTGTGTGGTACTACCGGCCACACCTGCTCCTCTGGCGATTGGAGACAGGCTTATGCCAACTTCCTCACGCAGTACATCAAGTACTACCAGCAGTCTGGGCTCAATGTGACACACGTTGGCTTCCTTAACGAGCCCGACTACTCGTATGTCAACTATATCTAGATGACTCCTCTACCATCGATGAAGCTAATAACCCGAGTCGGAGCAGACCAGGCTACTCTCAGATGCAGATCAGCTTCAACGCCCAGGAGGCTATCTCTTTCATTCCCACTTTGCACAAGACACTCCAGTCTGCTGGTCTGACGACCAAGATCACCTGCTGCGACGCCGTCGGCTGGGGTTCTACTGTGAAGTACACCAACGCCCTCGTTCCTGCGGGCATGGAGCAGTACCTGGGTCTCATCACCTCTCACACTTACTCTGGCGACGCCGACACCGCCCTCAACACCAAGCTTTCCTCCTGGGTCACCGAGTCCGGCATCACCAAGGCTTACGACACCACTTGGTACAAGAACGGCGGTCCAACCGAGGGAATGACATGGGCCAACAAAATCGCCGTCGGCATCATCAACGCCCGGCTGTCTGCCTACCTGTACTGGGAGGGCTTTGAATTGAAGCAGCTTAGCTCCGACAGCCACCTGATCGACACACTCGACGGCAAGACCGCCACTCCCTCTGCCAACTTCTACGCCTTTGCCATGTGGTCCAGATACATCCGCCCTGGAGCCCAGCGTCTTGCGACCTCCGGAACCATTGCAAACGTACTCACCGCCGCTGTTCGCAACACCGATGGCTCCATGGTCCTTGTCCTCACCAACAACGGCCTTACGGCTCAGTCTGCTAAGGTGTCCATCAAGGGGTTCACCCCCAAGACCTCGGCCGCCTATGTCACCGACAACACCCACAAGTTCGCTTCCACACAGTCCACCATCTCTGGAACTGCTATCTCTGTTTCTGTTCCTAGCAAGGGTGTCGTCACTGTGAAGCTCACGTAAATACTCAGAGCTCCTCACCGTCGCCAATGCGCAAGTACATATCACCCTGAGCACTTAGTGGCTCGGACATCTATCTTCTCTTCTTCATTTTGTATAATTTTCCGGGACATATTTCTTCTTGCTATCGTGGCTTGAAGCCCGTTTATAGCAATCTTGGGTACAAACATACCCAGTCTTGAATTCAATTTGAGGCTGCAGAAATCTTTCGTTTTTATTGCCCCGCCGTGTGATTAAAGCGTAGACAATAATGGACCAAAATAAGACGGTTCGCCGTGCGAAGCAAGGATATGCATTTCGTGGGTCATGTCGGTTGCCAGTTTGGATTGCAAGACGTCCTCTCGTTGTATCTGTGAATATTCCGTTCCATTCGTTGTCGAGTCAATTGTCCCGGAAACGCATGCTTCTGCTTTCGGCCTTTTTTCTACTGTCATTGCTAACTTGCCGTCGGACCCGACCCTCTTGATGTTCGCTGTTGATTCATTGACCTTTGCTTGTGCCATTGTCAACTGCTTGTCTTGAGATCGAAGATAGTGCATACAGCAGACGGCAGCGGTGCAATAAAGAACGCGGCATTACCATCAATGGGTTCTAACGGTTGACTGTGGCGTTTCTGCCATTATTGATGCACCTGGTTAAACGACTCTTACATAGGCAACTATCGAGCTGAGGAACCCAGAAATCTCTACTTCCTGTATCAAAGATACCAGTGACTTGCTGGGGCGGTAACTTGATTGATATTCGCATTGAAGCTGCGAAATTCCCATCCGGAGAGGGCATGCGGATGAAATGTAATTCCAGCGTCTTTAGGCATTGTTTCAAGCCGAACACACAAGCCTGCAGGGTTACCAGCCGCAACGATGCCGGTGGCATGGATTGCATGTCGAGCATGATTGGAGGTAAAAAATTCAGAGAATCAGCACGTGAGGTGATTGATCGACCAGTAAAATTCGAGATTGTCAAAGCCTGCTTAGACATCTTACATTACACTCAAGATTGACACATTGAGCGGCTGGCCATGATAATATAGCCTCTGATATTAGTCCAGCGCAATAGCTTATATGTGCCAAACTAAATATTGTTTACACCTTAAGTCGTTTGGTTTCATCAAGTACGTTGAACTTACCTCTCCACATGACTCGTCATGATACGCTGATATGTTTTATATGAGGACTCAACTGAAGTCCACAGACACTACCATAATTTCTTTGACACAATCACAATAAGAAGTTTATTCCTTATGGATTCTCCGGATCCGCACCCACTTCCATGGGTGTCAAGCCCAATCTTCTTTATTGGAGAGCCTTGATAATCTGCCAGACTGAGTACTGCTTCCGAGAGCTGATATCTTGGGCTAGCCCAGAAAACTTCTCTGAGTCCCGATGCTCTCCGCTCTGCTCCTGCAAATCACTGATTCTACTGACTAAGTCAAGTTCCACGATACCAGAAGGCTTCGGGAGCGGATGTGGTTGGGATACTATCCACCGGAATCCGACTCCAAATAATGACACCACTAATGTACCAGCGGTGATAAACACCCAAACAGTCCAAGGCTGGCTCACAAACCTCTTTATCGATTTTCCTCCCGTTGCTGTCGTCAGAAGCTCAGGTGGAAAGGTGCGCTTCTCCTCTGGCAGAGCGAGAGTGTAATTCGCATACTGCATCGCCGTGACAGCGAACTGCAAGGGTACAGAGAGAAAGTTCTGGAGCAGATCCACGTGCATCTGGTTGTCAGGGAAGGATTCGGTGTATGTCATATACTTCCATGCCCTTCTAGATATCGTCACGTCGATAGCCTTAAGATCAATTGGCGTCGGAAACTGTCTGGAGCGGAAGATACGATCGCAAATCAGTTCCATGTCTGACTCAAGCATTGGGACCCGGAATGGTTTTGAGACTGGTTGAACATGCTGTATAGAAAGGTCCTTTTGACTGTACATGGTGGTAGCGTTTTGTCGGTAAGCGGTAAACAATGTCTTCGAGACTATAGGGATTCTCATCCATGCTAGTTGCATCGCGCAACCCCGAGTGATTTGTGTTATGCTGGGACAAGCCCGCCAACCTAGGATAACAAAGTCAAGTCTCAGGTTTTGGGGTAAGAGGGATGTTACCAACCTGCTACAACGGAATCGCCCATTTGTCTCTTGCACATCTGCAACGCATTGCCCAACCGTGTTTGATAAACGTTGCAATCTTCCTCCAAATCAAATTCGAATGCTTCGGGGACTGGATCAAATGTTGTTACTAACCCAGGCGCGCTATGGATCATAATGGACTATGTCCGATTGAACAGTCCTACCTGTAGAATGGTGCTGTTCAACAAAAGGCCGACTTTCCGCGCTATCTCCATTCCTCCTGGAAGGGAGGAAACCGAGAAATCTCCATCACGACCCTCAATCTTCCACCGTGTGGCATATCGAGGATAGTACAACCCCAGCTACTTGCCTGATCAAGTGTATCAAAAACCAGGGGCTGCAGACGGAGCTTAAAACATGGGTTTGGGATTTCTTGCAAGTCGGCATTCATAAAAGCTGACTTTGGGGTCAAACTGACGTTCGGATTCCTTGCAACACATCTCAACAAATCAGTTTGATCCATGGCTGAGACTGCATTATCTATCATGGGAGGTGTCAAGCAAACACGGTCGACAAAACGAGTCAGCCATCCTGGGACTTGCTAGAAGCGGTTTCCAACCGCCACAGCCATTACCATCAGGCCTAGCGCACTTAGTGGCGAACACAATCGTGGTTCGGGTTACGTACCCGCTGGGGGTCTACGGAAGGAGCCAGGCGGGAAGTTCGAGTATTTTACGAGTGGTGTTGATCAGGTTTGGAGTCGTGAGCAATCACGCCATGCTGGGATTTCCTGGTCTATCCACCGCGTCGAAATGTGACAGGCCGAGAAATGGTGAAGGTTGACAGCACTGCCAGTCGGTGCCCCTGGTATCTTGGTGCATTGCTCAATAAAAAGGCGATACTGTGAGTCTATCCTTGCTTGGGATCCAATGCGGACTCCTACGTCGGGGTCAATTTGCAACAGGGCATATGCGGCGGAAAAGACAACTTGGCCTGACCATAGCCGCGATTGCAGAGGAAAAGAATCTTTCTCTTGGGTACAGCCATGGCTGACTAGAACTCGTGAATGAAGGGAGCTGCGATGGATAAACACACAGTACTAGAGCCTGGATATGCAAAAAGTCACTGTAGAAGAGAAGGGCACTCTTATCAACTTTGAAAATTTTGCTGGTATATTACATGTGCCCTCGGGATAATACATAGTTGTCAGCTTGGCCCGAAAAAGTTGTCAGCTTGGCCCGAAAAATTGGCTTGGCGTCGCGCGAGAAATCCGCTGTAATGATCTTAGCACAGCTGTTTGAGACTGCTGGAAAAGTCTATAATAGACTCAATTTCAATTATTAAAAGGGCAACAGGCATGCTATTGACCGCTGAAAAGCTCGAATTTAACCGGGATGAGGCCGCTGAGGTGAGGTTCACCATGTCGGTGTGTCCTGGTTTTAAGAGAGAGCATGAAACAGAGTAAGAGCGTATGGCAGATGGAGTGAAAGATCCGCTGCTGCAGGACTCCTGCATACTGTCCCAATCTCCAACAACTTTCCACTCGATTTGCAAGCGACGTATGGGCATTATGCTATGGTAGCGTTGGATGCTATCTAAGTAGTAAGGACTACCGCTCATTGCTGATAGACAAAAACAGGTAGTGTATGCAACTTTTCGGTCTAGGCTCACACGTTTCTCAAAATGGCATTGACTCAATTGCAAAGAACAAAACTTTCCTGCGCGAGTAATACCACTCCAGCTAATTAAGGAAAAAAGAGCTTGTGTGGGTAGGAAGGGATAGCGGATTCCAAGAGATTAGTCAGTAATGTAGACATCGGTTTCTAAGTTCATTGATGCAACACTTGTACAGAGAACGCTGTTTACCACACGGCGTGTGACGTGGGTTGTCTATAGTTTCTTGAAAATCATGATCTCGTTCCAATATCTAATTATTATAACTGTTACCTGTATTTGTGCTGGTCTTCATCTCCGCTCCCTAACAAGCCCTGCTGAGCGTCTAGCTCTGTCACCGTGTAGTGATGACCACCGGTGTCCGGTATATCAGGTTTTGGAACAGGAGCCCAGAGCTCCTGTCTAGGTATCGTTCCACCAGACAGCTCGGGCTGTGGTGTAGGCGCATGCAGCTCACTTAGCGGAAGAGGCTCGTAATAGGTCTGGGATGTGGTCCCGGTGTCGTCTTTGGCGTAGGCTGGTGCTATTTCAACTATGGCCCCCTTCTTCTGGGAGCGGCGACGGATGAACCAGAAAAGAGCGAGACCGATGATGACACCGACGACAGCGCCGACAACGGCTCCAACAATGGCGGCTATCGGGACTGAGGATTCAGAACTCTTCCCGTCCCCATTAACGTCATCCTTCGGATTTTTCGACACTTTGGAGTCATTGTGGTTGAACAATGCCTTCACCTTGTCAGAAGACCAATGGACGGAGTTGATGCCACTGTGCAGATGTTAATAACGCTAGCCATACCCTCATTCCATGGGCTCATCTTACTTGGTTTTGTACCAGTCCTGAATGGTACTGGAAGTTTCGTAGTTCTTTGCATCTGCATCGTAGTTGGTCTTCCAGGTCCAATTCGTCATGTCGAATAATCCCAGCCCCTGGGGCCAGGGGTCGGCCCCAGACCATCCGGTACGGCCATCCGTTCCTCCTACGGACAGCATCTGACGGCGACCGACGACAGCACAGGAGTGGTACCGCCTAGGGTTTGTTGCATCGTATATGACCTGGGTCCACACAAAGCCTGGCAGGCTGAGAACGAACACATCGTCATAGGTTTTGCTCTTTTCAGTGTTGGTCCCGCCAAACACAAAGCTGTTCCCCATCATTAGAACCACATCCCCTTGATTATGCCGTCTTTGAAGACTTCGAAACTTACATTTCGTAGGTCCCCCTCGTGCCGTTCACGCCCACACTGCAGAAGTTTCGCCGCGCTGTAGGGGCATTTCCAGTCGTCTGTTGCCAATACCAATCTCTTGTTATCGGATCAAAGAAAGTGAGGTTGTTGAAGTCCAGCCAGCCTGTGGGTGATTTCTGATCAGGATCCAGGGCCGAAGTAGATCCGCCCATGACCGTGATCAAACCATTCGGTCCAAAGGTCGGTATATATATGGCGCTGCCGCCATTCAGAGTACCGTTTTCTGAGAAAGCGCTGGTCGTCTCATTCGCCCACGACTTTGTTGTCATGTTGTACGTCACGATACCGGGAACAAACTGCGGAACCGGGTTCGGATTCGTCCAGCCAGAGGCTCCTCCCCCAAACCAGAAGCCCGCATCTGGCGTGCTCACAAAGGCGCCCTCCTCGCTTCGTTTCAAATCGGCGAAGAATGTCGGGTTTGTCGGGGTTTCCTTCGACCACTCGCCGCCTCCCTTCCCATCGGCTTCGAACTTCCACGACACAGGGTTCTCTCTCGGTGCGCCGTTGGGGGAGTGCCCTCCCCAAATCCATAGTGTATTGGTGGCTTCGTTCTTCCAGAGCGCTTGTCCGCTTCTGGCCTGAGACTCTTTAGAGAGTTCCTTGATCGTCACTTTGGATGCGGACCATGATTTCGATAAGCTGATCGATAGCGTGGAATTGACTGGGAAAAGAGTTGAGTAAGATACGGCAACCTCGACAGCAGGGTTCATTCAAGTGACTCACCACCGTTGGACGCATACGATTTGATTGGGCTCCCATCCGCGTCGAGCTGGGACACCTCGCCGCCATCGATGTAGGCGTAGTCACCGAGAACCGCAACTGCAACAGGATCATGTCAGGTCCAAGATGCTGAGACTGAGCGCATGGACACCGTACCTCTTGCGAAAGCGCGGCGAAGGAAAAGAGATGGCGAGGGGGCGGCAGCCAACTCCCAGTCACGCTTAAAGTGAGCGTTGACGACTGCAGGCAGCTGAAGCACAATGTAGAGCGGAGTCACCTCGAAAGGTGAATACAGCAGCATGGTGTTGATGAATAACGACGCGCCAAATAAAGAGCACAAAGGACAGAGCCGAAACGACTGGAATACCGACGGGAAGGAAGACCAGAATCAAGTCTCAGCCTTCGGTGACATGGCTCTGGGAGGACATGAATACTGGATGAACATTGAGGGATTGCCCGGAATCAAATCCGGTTTTGAGGGATGGGATGCATGCCTTAGAGAAGGAAATTACACATGCGCTAACTGCCTGCACGTCCACGCCGCTAGATTGCGCGGCCGCTTCCTCGATGAACCATCTCTCCCTGGCGTTGGACCAGAGGGCGCCATAATGGCACACGAAGGATCGTTAGCCCCCTTGGCAGGCTGACGGGATCCCGAGTCTCTGTCGAGCCCAAATCCTTTGTCCACTGGGAGTCGCCAAATTCTTCGCCGTGTTATCAGCTGCTGCACGTCACGCTCAACAAGGTACCTACTGAGCCTGGTTCGGTGAGGGTTGAAAGAAAGACGTCCTTTCCAATTTCATCATTCCCAACGCTACCAGATGAGTTCCTGTTGTCTGAATGCATGTCACTCGGACAGCGGATTGCTTCCCGTAAGTCATGTCACGCCCGCCCCCCTGTTCACTGAAGGGCATCCACGTAGGGTTCAGTGGAGAAACGTCTCTCAGGCACCAGCTTGATCAAATTAAGGTACGATCAGCAGCTTAGCTGGAGATCGGGTGCGAGATATGACAGGCAGAACTGTGACACGGGAGCAGCCTAGCCAGTCAACCACAGCACAACTGCCAGTGCATTTGGGAGCTGGCCCAGGGGCTGGGCGCCTAGCGGCGCACGCCTCCTCAACCAGAAAGGGCGTGAAGCACACATGTGGTGGTCGCTAGTGAGATCGAATGTCACCAACACCCCACCAGCGGAAGCCATCAACCTTAATTAATGTTCCTTGTCGCCATGTGATACATATGCAGCCGTCTATATAATTTTGTTCCCGCTCCTTGCTCACCAAAGATCTCTGTTTTATAATTTCCGATGCTTTGGTATCTTACCAACTGGTCATCGATCAAAATTTTGCAAATGTGCGTTGGCCGCCTGAACTTGGTCTGTGACACATACAGTGAAGTCTTCGAAAGCGCAAAGATCAATGTTTTCCCCAGCTGTCTCGCTGATAAACACGCTTCATCTTACATAGATATTGAAGGTTCTTAATTTGACATCAACCACATTCCTCGAGGGCAATCTTTTACACAAGCCTGACTTTCGTCGACTCTGTTACCACCGCTTGCGTACCGACTCGCCTCCACCGGATGCTTCATGCAGTAGGATTAACGTAAACATCTAGAAGGTGGGTTTCAATTGTAATCGTACCACATGGTTTCGTACCAAAGTGGCCCCTTTGAGGATATATTGAGTGCACGAGTTCACCTGGGCCGAGGATTGCTAATGAGCCGCGATCTCATTCTCAAGCAACCTACTAGCCGGTGAGTAGGCAGAGCCTGTATTTGGACCCAGCTCCGTGTAGCCAGAAGCTATTTCTTTCAATTCAGTTATGAGTCCGACCAGGATGAGCAAGTAGCATATATTAGTGCTGAAAGGCCGTTGTTACGACTCAAGATGAGCAAAACCCAACCAGCCCAAAGGGGCCTATTGTGTCATGAAACAGGACATGCATCAGTGCATGTTCTTGAGCTAATAGGTCACTTTCAACCACAGCCCACTCAGCGGCCAATGATCGATTTCCGCGCGACAAGCAAGGCGGAAACTTCGGTCAGGTAAACTCGTGGATCTGGGATTCCAGAAGTTAATCCAAATAGTACGACGAGGCATTAGAGAGCCTTGCGGCACTTACTACTTCGCCAAGTTTCGCACATCTCACAGCCTGCGTCTTAAGTCATTTGCGGTGAGACCAACATTTAGAGCCAAGGCGTTTGACAGATGGGTTTCGCGCGTTCAAGCCACAGGCTCCATGCATATGCCGTTCCCCTTGTTCAGTATCCTCCGGTGTTTGCCTCATTTGCGTATCAATCCTTGCCTTGCTGAAGGCATCAATTATGGTCTGCTCAGCGGTGTACAGCCTGGTGCCGGCAGACCACCATATTCCACGACATACGAGCAGCAGATAGGCTGCGGCACTTCTCGCACACCGACATTTGATACGGCACTCGGGTCATTTTCCTCTTATCTTGCTGCGTATATATAGACTGTCTCTAAAGACACCTCAAGTGACAGAAAGGGCAACTTTCAGTGAGCTCAATCTACGATACCTACGTACGCCCTAGCTACTAGAGACATATCTCTTGTTTCCAACCCGCCGTTAAAAGATACTGCTTTACTGGGAAGTCACGTAAACCCCCGGTTTACTTCTAAATATATTCCCGATTGGAAATCGACGCTGTAACCTACGGCATGGCGAATTTTGGTAATTTTTAAAACTCTCTCGTGTCGAACAGGAATGAAATCTCGCCTGCCCTGATCAACATCAACCTAAACGTCTCACTGTTTCGTTGCAACCCCGCAGCCGAATTTCTGCGCGTCAGCTCAGTGCTAACAGCTTGGAGGAAGAAAGAAGCAGAAGACGGACGTTGGCATAAAACTGCCTATTGCCTTGGGTTTCTCTTCAATGAAATCCTGCCGGACACTCCTGAGTTACTCAAAGCCTTTGGAACTCGGGCCTCGGAAATTTTGGATAGCCCAAATAGCAACCCCAAAGGCACGGCTGACGATGGACCTTTTCGAGACTTCATCGGCGCCGACGGAACGTGCATTTGGGCTGCCGCAACCTGAACGTCGGCGTCTATTGCGGCCTACCTCTTATCGTGCATCCTGGCACGAGTTTGGGACGCCAAAACAGCAACTTCCATCTGGGTTGAGTTGATCCGTGATCGCAAAGCTGAATTCCAAGCACTGCTGGATAATGGCAAAATCGTCAACCCTCACACTGTAATCGCCATACAACAAGATATCACCCGGGACGATCTTGCCAGATGGGATGCGAGTGCAAGAGCTTGGTTACGGAGGGCTGATCGTTCCATGGTCCGCAATCGCAACCAATTCGCCCTTATCATGGACAATGTAAGGACTCCATTCATTGACACTGGAACCACATACGAGAAGGTTATAACAGCCTGGAAACGCGCAATGGAGACGATGGAGAGGCTTTTCAATAACAAGCCCCAACAAGCTGACGACAGAATCATTCTGTTCGCAATATCATCTTGGCATTTGTATCCCAACCTGGTGGTCTTCCAGGAACGAGCTACCAATATCGTTTTCAGAGACTCGCTCTTCAAATGCTCAGCGGTTCTAAGTCTCGGGCTGGAGTATCGTATAGACCAGAGAGGCGACTTCAACAGATGGTCTTTTGCCTTATCACATCTCCGATATTATGGAGATCCTGTCAAGATCAGAAGCGAAGAGGCTCTTCAACGTGTTACTGGAGAACAAATATGGCTCGTTGCCCTCGTAGCTACTCTTCGTCAATGACAGGTCCAGTTGTCAAATTTAGAAAACTCAGTCGTTTAGTTTGAGAGGATAGGAAAGGTGATACAAAACACATCGCAACGAAATTTCGTTGAGATCTCTTAGCTTCGCAGAATGTGCGAGACCGTCTCGAAATTCTCGACTACATCCATACCGGAGCAACAGACAATCATGTCACTAGTTCAATTCGGGTACAGACGCGCACTTGACTTTCTCGGAAGCAAAGGAGGTGTACCGCTGCCGTACTTTAGACTCTGCGACCTCCAGATGTTTGAGGGCAACGGCAAACACAAGGCAATTGAGATTGGTTTCAAGTGCCTCCGGATGTTAGCAGCTCGAATTAAGCTATCACCAGAACAGGCCATTCCGAGCTACATCGATCGAATACCGGAAGGAGTCTATATGGAATGGGCAACCTTGTCGCCACAAGATTCATCAATGACAGAGGTTTCTTATAGTACTCATGGCAGTGCTCCTGTAAAACGCAACGTTAGGTGGATTTCCTTCCGTCAAAGGGTTGGCAAAGAGTACGCGAGAGATCAACGAATAGACCGACGAGTACGAGAGATTTCTCTTGCTGGAGAGGCATGCAAAGTTATCATGAGGCCAGGAGACGCTCCTTGTTACCCTACCAACAGCAGTCACCGTTCGGGTGTCGCCAAATTTCCGCGAAATTAGACATGGGACAGCCCACCGCCGCTTTTCAACAAGTCCGGAACTCCCACAGAATTCAGCTCTTTCAGAGAATTCATAGACATGCTCGGGCTCAAGTTCGCCATTTTAGTTCCGAGAGGAGAATGCACGGATCAAAACTGGGGGTGGCAGATGTGTATCTGCAAGCTTGTCTTCTTTGTCTTAACCACGATCCAGATCCTGATGCCGTTGTGCGCAAGATCCTGGTGAACAATGCAAAGGTATGTTTTTAGAAAGCGAGGATTTGGAATTATGGTGCTAACAAATTTCGTTAGGCAAAAGGACAAACTGCGCTCGGCCAGCAATCAAATTCCTTCGGGCGCCCAGCAAGTACAAGGAATCAGATCAACTCCGACAAGCATGCTACACCAGTAGGGCATCAAGAAGCGTGGATTCTCTCCCAATCAGATGCCTCGAAACCCTCTGAGAACTCGCTTCACAGTGCCCCCATAGAGTGGCTCGTATCGTTGCGCGCGCTGGAACTCGCCTCCACTCTTTACGCTAACATGCCAAAGGCCACCATATCGTTACGGATCGTAGAACAAGAGCTTCACAAAGCACGTTGGCTTCCGGAGTCCCTAAAGGGACTGAAAGGCGACAATGTTGGAGGCTTCAACCTTGCTCTGGCAACCTCTGTTGAGGAGCACAGTAAAGGGATGTCCCGCGACAATTCGCTTGGGTGCGTCGCCATGTTTGAGTCCGGCATTTTCAACATCGACCCTGAGTACATGAGAAATGTCATCGCCATCTGCTGCAAAGACTCCATTTTCGTCGCCGGGATTCTGCTCTCCGACCCAAGGTTGACATCATTGGGTAACTTGGGGATGAACGTTCGAAACCTTGTGGGGAACGTTGACCAAGGCAGCATGCTCCTAATGATTGCACCGGTAGAACCTAAGATACGCCCAAAAAGCTACGACGCGAGGACAATTCAACATCAAAGTTACGATGGGCAGAGAAGAGACAGCTTCCAAGGGACTTCACTACAACTATCGTTTACAGAGCGGAAAATGCCTCTTGGGTCGGTCATTGATTGTGGACAGACAGGTGAGATCGACCACGAAGTCGTTCAGGTAGAATCTGTTATCGCTGTGCAAGACAACGGTCGATGGGTTGCCGATATTCATGTTCTAGGAATCGAGAGGGAAGGCCTAACTTCAGTCGACTTCACATGCATCTGTGATCGCAGCGAGCTGCCTGAAGTTGAAGTTGTTGCGTTAGACACTTGGGAAGAACTCCTTGACCCGCCGGTATCACCTGCAATACTAAGGGCAAACAAAAACTGAGCCGCAAGACTGGCCGCTGCTTCTATCTTGACTCAACAAGGTCACAATCATTGTCTTGCCATCCTCGGGGACGATGCTGTCTGCTGGAGGTGCCTAAACGAAGCTTACACAGACCCCGAGCCTGATTTTCCAAGCTGTATTATTCACTAACATTTCATTCTCAACTTACTCTAACCCAATCGTAACATCTGCCTATACAATTGGCGCTAGGTAGAACGTTCGAGATTTATATCTGTTCATCAGAAACCCCATGTTAATTCCGTAGCGTCTGTCCAACATTGCCTTAACAACAAGGCTTTCATATTACTGAACCAAATCAATGATGTCGATGTACATATCATCTAAGTAAGCCTCGAACATTGGGACCAGCATGCGGAAAATTTGAACCTCTTCAGACAGTCACTGTTGGCTAAGCCTGGGAGGCTGGAGCAGCTAAGCCATCTCATCATTTCAGCTGCTGTCATACGTAATGCTCATTGCCGCAGACGCCGCCGGGTTCCACAGCAAAGGCCCGCTATATTCAAGGACATCCCGGTCGAGAAGCGGATTGTGGGATGATGGCTTCCGGCCTTGGGTGAGAAAGAGATGCCCGTGTGTCTATTAGTCCGGGAGGCCTAAGAATCTCTCAATAATTGCAGGCTCATATTTGAATACACCTACACTTAGGTATTCCTCCAGCTTCGTCCTGGCTTTTTAAGCATAGATTTGAACTGGTTAGGCGCATTGTTTGTTGAGCAATGAGCATCGAAAGTGATTTGACGATATCATTCATTATCCATTTGCTTCGCATCTCCCCCACTTGCCGTCTTCCTGGATATATCAATGGGACCGCATCCATGCCGATTCCAAGCTGGTCCACCCAGCCTTGAGGGAATATCTTGTTAAGCCTGGGAAAACAATGAGAAGCTCCATGACAAGCCCGCCTCTGTCAGATAGGCCCTCACTCGGAAGTTAACGGACGGCTTCCGGATGGCTAATCAGGTTGTACATAGAATGATGCCGAAAACGTTGCCTGCTTCCCCTACAAGACATCAGCGAGGCGAACTAAACCCGGTACCATGTCAATCCTTGGCGGCATGTAGCCGACAAAGTACGAACCTGACGATAGGCCAAATCCCGAGATCACAGCGTTCACCAGATTAACAACTGCATATAATAGTATACAATTAGGAAACTGGCTATTAGTAACACGTCTCTTTACCACCTTCTTTCGCAACGTTTGGCCGAATCCATCTCATGCCCATTATGGGAGAACAATCATCTAAAGATAACTTCAGGGCTTTCTCAGCAAGCTGACAGATTCAAACAGCTTGATATCAAAGTCACATTGTGCAGCCCTAACTTCCAAGGCAGGTGCATAATTCTAGGAGCTGTCGTCATACAAAATGAAACCCTGTCAGTTTATGGTAGCGACGATAATAATAAGGAAAGAAGGTTCCTCCTAGGTCATGGCCCCTCTGCTTCTAAATCTACTCACTGTGCATGAATCCTTGCTATCTGGGGCCCTCCATATGTACCAGCAGCCCTGCAGTGTTGTAATGGTCATTTCCACGGGTACATGACGTAGACGTTTGAATGAGCCCACAACCACGCTAACGCACCAAAGTTTGAGGCATGGGAGACATCGGCGCATCTAGGTTCCTCTATCACAAATACCCAGGCTTCCTAAAATGCGAAATCTGCTCGGTCTTTACTGCTATCCATGCACAAACCACTGCAAGAAGTTGGCCCAAAACGTTACGAATATAAGTGAGTACCTCATATTCACAAAGTCCGCTTAGTAGAGAGATTAACAAAAGGGTTTCGCTAAGATTAGACATCCTCCTACAGAGCGGGTACGCTAGGGGCGGTTGACCCCGTCGTTAGCATATTACGAATGATAAGCTAGTGGAATCGATCCGTGGGTCTGCAGGGTGAGGCTGGGCCCGCCATGAAGCCGGCTACACATTGGCTTCAACTTTGACCTTGCACTGAGGTAGCCCGGAAACCTATCCGAGTGGGCATAGGTGGGCTCTAGATTCGGATTGCAGATGCACCTCATCTTCGTTTTTTTGTTTCTTTTTTTTTTCGTTGGATAAAGAAGGATTCAAAAGTCTTTGGTTTGTTCCGAAAAGCTCCGGAGATAACAGTGCATTCCACCTTAAGAATATCTAAGGCGTGATATCTGGTAAACAACCTTGACGATCGTAGAACAAGTAACGGCGCCATCTGCGTATTTTCTCTCGTTACTGCGTCATTTACTATCAGTCAGCGATAGGGCTCAGCGTGCGGCTCCTCGGGGGTCCAAGTGATCCCGCTTGCAGAATTTGCAAGCGGACTGCAAGAGAGACACGCAAGAGCACGACGGGGGGTGAGTGTGGTATCGTTGATTATAAATAAAGCCGGGCAGCATTTGTGAGTCACCCATTTTCTGTGAGACACCTTGCATTTATTTGAATATACGCTCAATCCTTTCTACCACTATCACAATGCGTGCAGTCACTCTCCTGGCCTCGGGCTTCGTCCACATCGTCCTCGCCGCACGGCCTTTCCTCAACGAGCCTGATACAGGTATTGAAGACGCCCTTCCGGATCTCAAGCCAGGAGAACTTCCTGACTTGAGTACTATGGTCGGGCTGCCAGACTTTGACTACGCTGCCAGAAACTATTTACCTGTTCGCAACTACACGTATTACCGAAATGGAGCGGCTGGCGAGTGGTCGTATCGAAACAATCTCGAGGTGTTCCAGCGCTATCGCTTCAATCCGCGCGTGATGGTGGACGTCACCAACGTGGAGGAAACACTTTCGTATGTGCTCAATACCTCCTCTTCGTCTTGTCTATGACCACTGTTGCTCGGGACAGCCTCGCATACATTGAATGAGGCCCATAATCGACATTTACCTGAAGAAATACTGAAGAAACTAATTGGTGAAAACTTTTCATAGGACCTCTATTTTGGGATATAACTTCTCCGCCCCTTTCTTCATTGGCCCAGCTGCACGCGGTGACCTAGGCCACCCCTTGGCTGAGTTTAATCTTATGCGGGCCGCAGCGGCAGAAGACATCCTCTATATTGTAAGCCGTTAAAAATAAACCGAGAAATTTTGAGAAAACTGATAAACAATTTCATAGCCTTCCCTTTCTGCATCGAAGTCTATTGAAGAGATTGCAAGCTCCAAGTCAGATGGCCAGGTCCACTTTCAACAGGTCGGCTTCTCATGCAGTTCTCTCGGACAATATAACTCAGTGTTGGCTAATGAATGGAGACAGCTTTATCTGCCAGAGAACGAGACTGAAACCCAGAAATTGATTCGCAGAATTGAGGCAGCTGGCGCAAAGGCCATTGGCTTTACTGTTGACTCTGCCGCTGATGGCAACCGACAACGTGCTGCCCGGTTTGGTGTTCAGTCCGCGTGAGTTTGTATATGCCCCCAACAAACCGTTACATGGTTGTCAATAAGCAAAGTGTACTGATGTTCTTTCAGCGACTCCGGATGGACTCTCATTACTGTACAGTAATTCTGTTTGGTTTTCATATTGGGGATATACTGACAAACCTAGTGGGATGTTTATCACAAACTAACAAATATGACATCCCTCCCTATCGTCTTAAAGGGAATCATGAGCGTCGAGGATGCCCGGGCTGCAATTGAGCACGGTGTACCTGCAATCTGGCTCTCAAATCATGGCGGTCGACAGCTTGACGGTAGCCCGTCCTCTCTCGAAGTTGCCCTGGATATCCATGAAACCGCACCTGAGATCTTCACCCAAATTGAGGTTTATGCTGATGGTGGTGTACGATATGGAGCTGATGTTCTCAAGTTATTGGCCCTTGGTGTAAAGGCTGTTGGACTATCACGTTCGTTCATGTTTTCGAACGTGTTTGGACAAGAGGGCGTTGAGCGGGCAATCCAACTTCTCAAGCAAGAAATTGTGAATGATGCCGGTAATCTGGGCGTTCCTGATCTGAAGCAGATTGATGCTAGCTACGTCAGACAACCCGCAACTTAACCATACGTATCGGCTCAAGGCTAGCAATGATTTACAGGTCAAATGGACTACGAGCAACTGGATGGGTTAAACATGGATGAGAGTTGCGTTTAGTGGAGATAGCGTTACTAGTCTCTGCAGATACTATGTCGTCCTACACATTGTACAAGAGAATTGGGCTTATAAAGTAGTCATTTGAATAGCTCAACTTCAAAAATACGGGTTCGAATATTATGGAATGAACCTCGACCTCAATCTTCTATGACCAACGATAAGCAGTCCAACAAGGGCGAATCGACATTGGCAAGGGCGGTGTTACGAGCAGGTCAGGGCAACCAACTGCACCACAAAGCAAAAGCTTCGGTAATGATGCACCTGCATCATTCTCTCCTGTTCTGCACTATATGGCTACGCCGGCCAGCACCCCAACTGGTTGGGTCGTAACAGGCGGTCCCAGTGACAGCAGCGACCTCAGGACGTCGGTCCCAGACAAGCAATAGCATTACCTATGGGTATAAGACTGAATATAGGAGATTCTTGAACACCTCCATTACTCCTCAACAAGAAAAATCATGATTTACAATTTCATGAGTGCTTGCGTTAATCCTCTGTTGTAAAGCCGAGCGAAGTCCTGAATTATGCGACTAATCATCGTACACTCATTAAGGCCAATGAAAAGATTAACAAGACCTACTATCAATGTTATAAAAAGGTCCAACTCAGCTAAGTGTTAGTAAAGAATATCACTATTAGAAATTCAGTCGTGGCGTAATACTGAAAAAAGATTGCTGTACAAAGGCCGTGTTAGCAAGACGCAAGTAGTAATTGAAAAATCTTAGTAATCAGCAGCAGGAACAGTAAGTCAAGCAACTCTATTTCCGATTCGGACTATGTTTTGACAGAAAGACCAACTTCATAGTCAAATCAACGAAACTCGAATCTTACCGGAGCTGTCGATATCTTTTCCAGACTTAAATTCGGCATCAAGTAAAAAGGAATATAGACACGTTGGCATACGGACAAGCTCCCCTTACTAACAGTCCGGTCAAAGGGAAGTAACACAAATTGTAATATCACTACACATTTACTCATATAGATCGTTTTATCTACTCTGCGAAAATCAAGTGAAAGCAACTTGCGTCTGTTGCCCCAAACTGCATGAGTTTAGGATGAGGCTCGTTTGCTAGGGTCAATCACTAACCCATTCAGCTTTTCGGCACATTGTTCTACACTAACTGTAAAACACGACACGTCAGGTAATATCAGATGTAGCTCCCCAAAAGTAACAGAAAAGGACATGTGGTGGTGGCGTAGTTCGAGCTAGGTGCCCCTTCTTTAGCAGCATGATAAGCTTCAACGAAGGCTGACAGCAAATCCTTCCTTTTGCAGCTTCTTAGACGGCACAGTGCCGTTCAATCTCGGGTTAGACTTTACGTCATGTCGTCGCATGACCGAACAAGATAGAGAGCCTGAGTAATTTTGGTCATATCTTGAGATAATGAATCATTAATGTAACTTCGCTTACTTGCTTGGAGGACTTTCTGGCTGTGTAAAAGCATGCGTCAGGAGGAAGCTAAGCTTGAAACTTCGGAAACGTGCCCAATCAGAGCATCAGCTTTAGACTCCGCTACGTTGCTGTTATTGGCTAGACCACGAAAAGAGTTTTGCTTATTGGTGAATATACTGCAACAAAAGCCGGAACTTTATCTGCACGGGAAAAGGGTTTCCGTTAGCAACGGGGGTAAAGATTTACCCCTTTGCATCGCAAGATCTCTAATGAAAAGCTATGGAGACCAGTCCACAATTTGTTTTATGTAATTAAAATATTGGTTGCGTCTCGTTTTCACTCGCACGGCTCCTCACGAGAGAATGCTGAGGAAAGTTGGAGTTGAGCCTCCGTATTTCTCATTGATGTGTCGTTATCCGTATCGGATACATTCTCCAATTGTCTGCTGTTTTGAGTTGTCGGCTACAATTGCTAGACTTGCGGTGATATTTTATTTGAGAAGCTTGTGGTTTCGAGAGACCAACACCAGTCAGTCACTGTACCAGGGTGACGATTAGCGAAGGCCAAGCTTTCCGGGGAGTTAAGCAGCAAACAGAGTGGAAGTCTTGTAACCAAATTGTGCTCACATTCTCCTTGCTCTGCGCACTCAAACTATCCGTGCCTCACGGGAGCAGCTCGTGGCAATGTTGCCGGCTTGCCGAGCCAGCTACAGAGCCCCCTGTATGTCATAGTATTCTACACTTTAGCCCTAAAGTCTGTTCTTCATATGAACTAAGTGTAGCCCTAAACCTTCTGGTTTTGAGAGTCATGTTTCTTGGGCAAAGTACAATCGTAAGTCGAGAGCGAGCATGACTTAGCCAATGAGAACTGTTAGTTCGGTTCATTTTTGTGAAAGGCCCTCGAATGCGCGAAGACAGCTTAGGGATAGCGGAGGCTTCAATGATATAGTACGGATTGTAAAGCCCTTTCTATAAATGACCCATTTTTTTCCCTTGTTTGAACCCTGTTCTAGCATGAATGGGCGAATGGACGAGATCCTTTATCAGCACTGTTCTCTTCATCGTAGAGTTGCCGGCTCATATATGACTGGTCAAGAACTCAAGTGCGCCCAGTCAGTACCCGTCGGAAAAGTCCTAATCTTGAGCATGCAGATAACATTGTCCAGGCGGTTCCGTTCGAACACTCGGACTAGCTGCAGCAGATGCAAGGCGAGAAGGATCAAGGTAGGTTCACGCGGGCTTTCAGCCCACATCAATCTTGGATTTTTTGAATTCCACAAATGTGTGACCACTGCACGGTGTTGAGTTCCCATGGAGGCCACCATGCGCTATGGGACTCAATGTTGGCTATACCGATGGGGCGAGCTTGTCAGCCTCATCCTCTAAATTTCATCATCACTAACTCAATGCATCTAGTGCGACGAGAAAAGACCGGATTGCAAAAACTGCATCAAGCATGGCGTTGCTTGCACCTTCCCGACGCTCCTCTCGAAGTTATCCTTATCCCAGCATACTGGTGATCTGAATCTACTTGACCTCGAGCTTTTACATCACTATTGCATTTTCACTGCTCAGACGTTATCAGAAAATCCAGAGTTAGGCGTTTTCTGGCGTATGAACGTTGTCAGATTAGGTCTAGGGTGCGACTATGTCATGCGAAGCATTCTTTCTCTAGCGGCACTTCATCTTTCACTCGTGGACCCAGAAAGAAGAGATGGCCTACTTGAAAAGTCGACGGCCTGTCACAAGGCATGTTTTGTGACAGCTGCCGGCCTGATGAAGGAGACGCGGGAGGAGAACAAGGCACAATTGTATATCTTCTCAGTCTTAACCCTTTACATTGGTGAGTGAGTCTTCCAACGATGGTATCCTTGCTAATACTTTGCGACTAGTACTTGCTAATCTTCAAGATCTGCACAACATGCCTATATTAAGCGCAGACCAATCTGCAGACTGGATCGAGTTGTTTTGCAGGACTCAAAGCTTTTGTGTGGTTCTGAGTGATAACCTTTTGGCCTCGCCACTCATAACTCACGTAAAGACGCATGTAAAATTTCGTATGAGATCGCATCGTCACAAGCACCTTGCTAGACTGGAAGCGAATGTCAATGCGTCAGAGATTGATGAAGGTCTCTTGGCTATCTACAACCATGCCATTAACGAACTTCACAAATCGTATAGCATGTGCCAAGAGGCTTCGGAAAACCAAGAAGCACCAGAAGTTACCGACGTTTTCATTTGGGTTACAATGGTTTCTGATGACTTCCTGCCCCTGTTAAGGGAATATAGGCAAAATGCTTTGGTCATATTCTTGTATTTCTGCATGCTTTTTAGGCGGATGCGTAGCCAGTGGTGGCTGGACGCTTGGGCAAGCAGTCTCTATGTGAAAACATATTGGCTCCTAGACGATGAGCATAAGTCCTGGGTTGTAGATCTGGCAGAATAACATTGAAGACTTTTTACTTGAGATTATCTACTGCGGTGAAGAAGATAGGTCAGACTTACGGCCACGGTTTTGTGAAAGTGAGACTGTCAAGAGGGACAATATGTGGGCCTTATCTCGGCCTCGAAACGATAACTCATCAAAGAGGGGTCTCATTAATTCATGTAATTTCCGCCCTTCAACCTAAATGAATAGCATACACACAAAAGCGGCATTTGGCCCTTCATGTGTGAGAAGGCATTAGATAACATGGAAAGAAGGCAAACGGATTCCGAGATTTTTGATGTTCCCGTAGAACACGGATGCGTAATTAAGTGTCCTTTCCACATGATGGTTCAATCTGATGCTGAGGCACTCACTTAAGACCCTTGAAATTTCCTACGAGGGACAACCCAAGCAGCGTATTGAGCTGATGTTTGGAATTCTCGAACCAAAACATCTAAAAACTAATAAATGATCTAGCTGTAAGTGACAAGAGCTCATTGTGCTCGCTACACTCTTGTCGATCTAATCATATGTATCAGTCATATAGCGAATGTTTCTTAGAGAGTCGAACCACTCTTGGATGCTTTCCGCCTCTGTCTCTACCCCTTTTTCCTTCTCCATCGCGATCTTGATCTTGATAATTGTCTCCTTGGTTGACTCGGCCACGTCACGGGATCCGCAAACATATATCTTAGCGCCCTGCTCCCATAAATGGATAAGCTCCTTGCGATCGTGCCACACACGATCTTGAGCGTGCTTGCAGCCGTTACTTTTGTCTGACTCCCAGCTAAACGCGCGGCGCACTGAGACAGCACCTAAGGCCTCCCAATCGTCTAACTCTTCACGGTACAGGTCATCATTGTCAGGTGAGCGGCAGCCAAAGAAGAGCAACGCAGGTGCAAGAGTTCGACCAGCAATAAGCATAGCAGCGCGCTCTTGGATAAATCCGCGGAAAGGGGCAATTCCGGTTCCGGCAGCAACGAAGATGATAGGCGTTCTTTCAGCGTCAGATGGAAGTCTGAAGGCGGCATGCGATGGTCGAACTGCGACGTGAAGTGAGTCGCCTTTAGTGAGTGAGTCAAGATAAGATGAGGCGACGCCGATGAAGTAGCCTGAGCCTGAGAGTGAAGGCTTGTTGAGGACAGAAAATGTAAGTGATGCAGAGTCAGGATGTACCATTGGCGACGAGGAGATTGAGCTCAGTTGTGTTAGTAAAGCTTGGCATGGGATATGGGATAATTAACAACTTACTATTGTCTGATACGCATTGATGGCATCATTGACAGAAAAGCCCCAATCGGTAACTTGATACGAGAGTGGCGCTCAAGCAGATCAATGACAGATACGCGCCTGCTGCTAATCTCATCGGTGTAGGCCTCTCCTGATAAACGATCCAGTTCAGCCTTAGTTTCCATATCCTCCGTGTATTCTGAAATTGTCCTAAGGTCCTAAGATTTTGTCAGTAATGATAGAGCATTAATGTACAAAGTTTCTGCTTACTCTTCGCGTAGCAGGCTGGGAAAGCTCAACGTAAGAGCTTAAAATGTCATTAACAGGGACTGAGGTATTAACCGGGAGGGAGGTAGGTCCGTTCGTCTTGATGCTAAGGTAAGCATCACGAGTAAGGTGGAAATATCGCATTACGCGGTAAACGGTCTCTTTAGGGTTGATGGGGAGGATTGAAAGGTAGTCTCCAGCAGTATAGGTCATGCCCTGTGGAAGCTTGACCTCGATATGCTTCTTTCTGCTCTCAGGAGCAGTAGGTTTAGTAAGCATTACCGCTTCAGTAACAGTGGCTTCCTCAAGATGCTGCCGTAGGGTTGAGACTCTAGGGTTACTGATGACAACCTCTATGCTCTTTGCGTTGGTGGTGTTAACGCTAGCAAGCTTATACTTGCTTTTGAGTGCTGGCCAGAGAAGATTATCTTCCCAGAACTCGAAGTTTGTGAAGACCTCGTCTGTTGAGACATCCGTAAGGCCGACATCAGCGAGACGCGTAGCACCAAGTTGCTCAAGGGAGTTATCAATCAGCTTAGGAATTCGGTGGAAAGTGTGTACCCAATCCGAATGACCGCAGCCGAAGACGGCGTAGGATGTACCTTTTAGCGGTAGAAGGGACTTGTCCTGACTTTCGACCCAAGCCACGAAGTGTCCAGCATTTTCGGCAGGTTGACCCTCGTACGAGGCCGTAATGATTACGACGGGTCGGTCGGTAGGTAAGCTGCCATTTGCGCTGTCAAGGCAGTCAATCGTGGTAGGGCGAAAGCCATGAATAGCAGCATCTGTAGCGACGCGTTGTGCTAACGACTCACAAGTACCGCTGTTGGAACCGTACAGAATCGCTAACGGCATCCCGCTCTCCGCCTGTAGAGTATCTTTATTGGCCTTAGTGTAATCCGTAGTCTTCTCGAGCTGCGTTTGACCGCTTAAGCGGCGCTCCAGGGTCGTCGGTGTTAGACCGTCCCGAAGAATGGCACGCATTCGCAAGTCTTTTGGCTTTATAGTGAGAGTTTGTTTGAACGAGAAGCTGTAATTGGGGTCCAACACAAAGTTGAAATTTTGAAGCAGCATCGCCATGACCAGCAGAGACTCTTGCCAGGCGAAGGGACGGCCAATACATGCCCTAACGCCATTGCCAAACGGCTTCCAACAATTAGGGAATTTCCGTGTAATATTTGTGAAGTTGTCGTCCATCATGCGCTCCGGTTTGAATTCGTGGGCATCATTGCCAAAGACCGCAGGGTCAAGCTGAGCCGCACCAAGCAGGTTGATGATCGGCTCGCCTGCTTTAACAGGGTATTTTTCTGCAAGCAAGGTGTCCTCAAAGGCCTCAACAGTAAATATTGGAAGTGTCGGAGTAAGTCGCAATGTCTCGCGTAGTACGCCGTTAATGTATGGTAACTTTGAGAGGTGGTTAACGTTGATTGGGCCTTTTCCAACAACTTCATCAACCTCTTGCTGGGCCTTCTGATATGCTTCAGGGTTGACCAAAAGTCTCCATAATGCAAACGACAGTAATCCCGATGTCGTCTCATGGCCAGCCACCAAGAAGGTGATCAAATTATCCATGATACTTTCGTCTGTCATTTTTTTCCCGGTCTTTGGGTCGACTCCATCGAGCATTGCGGATAGTAAATCGCGGCGGTTGCTTTCTCCTGCCTTTCTTGTCTCTAAAACCTGCCTGGCTGTGTTTCTCAATTCCTTAATATCTTGGATGAACTTCTCATCCCTAGTATTAAAGAATACTGACGGTAGCGGTAGGCGACGCGATCTGTTGCCAGCCTCAGTCAGGAAGCTTCCCATAGCCTCAATGAAAGGATGAAGGTTTGGCGAATAGTAGCTATTAAATCGATAGCCCATTGAGCATAGAGCTACCGTGTCGAGTGTCAATCGAGTGAAATCGTCCGTCACCATGATATGCGTTTCTGGACCGTGCCGCGCCCACTTCAAAGCCAGCTGTGATGCGATATCGTGCATCTCGTCGAACATGTTGCGAATCGAGAGGGGACCAAAGGCTGGCATAAGCACACGGTGAGCAATGCCCCAATTCTCCTCTCCCATCACTGCCTATTTTCGTAATTAGGATTGAGATGTGCTTATTACAATTTGCCTACTCAATTCCGGGATTACTCACTGTAAAGAGACCATCATGTACGCCTTCTCGAACTTGCTACTTAGCAGTCAGGATACGAATACATGACAATAGCCTGACTGGACCAAACCTACTCTCAACGCCATACTGACTGATTTCTTGAATCGTTTTTCATCGCAGGTCTCGTTCACCAATGCGTGGGTGGAGACCAGTACCATTGACCGACCAGGGAATCGCAATCGATAGATTTCGCCTGAGTGCAGATGTCAGCTGTGCAAACATGACACAAGGGAGTTGCCTCTTCTCACCGTACTGGTCAGCAAGGGATAACATAGACCCCAATGGGAACTCGGGGTCGATTTCCTTGACGTTTCCGAGAAAAGGCAACCCGTATGGCTCCGGAATCTGCGCATTGTTTGACATGTTGGTTGGCGGATTGATGTGCATCTGTGTTAAAATCTCAAGCTACGTCAAGTAACATATGGTCTCAAAGTGTGCAGACTAAGAGAACACAAGCAGGTGATACGAACCTTTAAAAGACTTATAAACATATCTTAAGCCACACATGGTTCCACGACTGATCTCTTGGTATCATTTAGCGCTATGCCTCGGTCCATTATCATGATTAAAAATTAGGACGGCAGACCGGCAGAAAACTTTCCGTCATCCTGCCGAGAAGCGACAGCAACCACCACTGCAAACCAATCGTCGGTAAGAGAGACCTGAACGAGGTCGCCTCATCACTGACCTCTGCCACACCGTCATCCAGCGCTCGAATTCCGCTCCAAATGCTCCTGTGCACTTCTGACATGGCTTCTGGCCTATTACCACATTCTAGACTTCCCAATAAAATTAAGTTTGAACTCTAAAACGCTGTCAATGCTGCGTGTAGTTGTTGAATGTGGGTCGGAAATCTGCCGTATTTCCGGGTAAGCGGCCTATGTTATCCTTTTGGCTCTGTCGTCTCAATTTTTGTGATCAGAAAAGGGAACATCCGAGCCGAGGTCAGCGATTATTATAGGTGTCTCCATAATAGGTCTGTACAACAATGTGGCCGTTCCAGCTCTCAAACGTCACATTCATATTAAGGCCGATGGGATTGAAAAAGCGAGATACATAATTAATAGACGGAAACCGGCCTTGAGTAAGGATTACGCCGTTGTCACTAATCATGCTATGCACGTGATGTCTTGCGGGCGAAGACCTTAGACTCTCAATAGGACTACGTCTGTAATTTCCATAGACGGGAAAATATGCTGCCGTATCCATATGCGGATTTGTACCAACTTATGACGGGTTCTTTCCGCGATTCAAGTCACTATGACATACTCACTCTTGCCGAGTCGCGCTCCACTCGTCCCTCGGCACGTAGACTGATTACTCTTCGTGTTCAAGCCTGACTATGTATGCTTGGATCAGCTCGAGATTCGGGCAAGCCGATAGGTAGTCCAAAGTATGTGGGTTTACAGACCTGGGTGGAACAGAGGGCAAGAAATGAAGGGGTCTCATGCGGTGTTTCCTTTTCCTTTTTTCTTCTTTGTTTCCTTTTTTGAGATTACAGACTTGAGTGAAGTTGCCCCTTTCGTATTTAGTCGTCTTTCCACCCGGGTGTTGTTCTCACCATTTCCTACCTGTCTTTGGCATATAACCGAACCTCACTCTTCTCTTGACTTGTCGATTATAACTCATCTACGAAAATATCAGAGAATTACGCTCTAACGACAATACGTTTAGCAACATGAAGCTCAGTCACATATTCACGGCGGCTGTCTATTTTGCCGCATCTTCCGGTGCTGCATGCACCACATCCTGGACCGACTATTCCTGCAGCAATACCGAGCTCTATTGTTGCATGGACATAGCCTACCTCACTGTGCCGGCCTCACAATCTCAATCTCCGTACTACGAGCAATGGGTCAACGATTACATCGCTTCCAACTGCAACAGTTGCAAACCATGATGTAATATTCCGACGACTAGCAAGTCTCTGAAAGATTTCAGACATGGGTTTGCCATTGGACGCGAAGAAGATAGTAACAAGATTTGCATCGGATTTCGGTTAGGGTTATATGGTCGTCGACTGAATCAGTGGTTTCGAGATCCATGATTTACCGGCGTTCGCCTACGGGGCATAGACCCAGAGGGACTGGTTGGCTTCAGAATACTTGTAGACAGGTCACCATGCAAACAATTAAACCATGCATCATATTCTATATCATCCCATCAGTGCATATAAAAATCGCACCTGCTTAATTCTCACAAAAGGGCAGAGTGTCTCAACAGCAAACACATTGATCTAACTTGATCTGAAGAGCGTTTGCCAATGCTTCGATATCAACCAAGATTTGACAACGTAGCAGCTTTTCTTCTTTAGACAGAAACGGGAAACGCTGAATAAGTCAACACATGAGCCCATATTACCACCAGTTTGTGTGTGCCGTAGTTTTTTGCAGAGGTTTGGCTCTGGTTGCCCTCAATACGGCTCCACGACCCATAGGAAATACAAAAACCCTTAGACAATGATCCTTAGGTTTGTTACCCAGTAAATGTTTGTGAGAAGCAAGGAATGACGAACTTCTCGAAGCATCTGTGCCTCGTTTCTGGAAATAGGAAATTTATGAGCTACCTTTGCTAATCAACTTCAATCCCTTATCTTTTTAAGCAACCTAGCTCCGCTATATAGCAATAGTCCCTCATGCAACGCTCTCATTGAAGCAGTTGTTGAACCCCTTACTATATATAAATGCTTGAAAGGTGAGACAAGCGGCCTAGTTATCTGATGTTTGAGAACACTAGACATATCCTAATCGCTATATCGCTGCAGGTATCATGATTTTAAGGTTAAGTGGACTAATGACAGATTCATTTGTTCTCGAGAGAGACGATTGGTAAAACAAAATGAATTCAGGTTCCTGTAGTAGCTAGGCACTAGATGGGTACGTTTCCTTCTCAGCTTATTACCATGCGCCTTTCCGCGACCAATGAATATATGCCGTACCATTTAATATATCGACTCTGTAAAGCTGATTAATGCCGTATAGAATGACCTCGGATCCGTGATTAAAAAACAACGATCTTGAAAGACGGCAAGACCTGTGCTTACTGTCTAGATACTGTAAATAGGGTGATTAATTCGGCAATGGAACCCTTGCTTTGACGCTCACTCGCAACCATCGAAAGTTAGTCTTGTATTGAGGTGGAGTGGATATAAATGAGCTATCCTTGGGCCCAAAATCACCTTCCTAATACTTCTGACTCGTCAGTTTCAGAACCAGTTATATTAATGTCGCATTTTTCTGTCAAACGCTAAATCATTGACAACACATCGATCTAGTAAGAATCTGGACTAGACTTCGAAGCTTCTGGACTGAATAGGAAGTAAAACTGACCTTCGTTGCTACTAGGGGCTTCGTTAACAATGACCCCAATAACAGGCCTAGACCTATTAGGAAGAAGTATCCTCAAAGTTCTTTAGGTATGACGTTCGTCTTAAATATCCTTAGCTGCCCACCAATGTGTTCACTACTTCCTAGGTCTTCCACAACAAACTTGCTCATCATGAAGAACACTTCTAAGACATTGACCTGCCTCCTAGCTCTTGCTACGGTAGGGACTTATGCTGTTGGCTTACCAGGTGGAAGTAAGTGAGAAAAATCATCCGAAACAAACTTTTACTAATACTTTCTTAGGCAACTGCAATGTTCCGAACGACTGCCACAGTGGCGTGTGTTGTGAGCTATAAAAACAGTAATCATCTTTACTATGAGCTAACTACAACTTGAACAAAGTTCCCTTCTATGACGTTGATGGTTACCTCCTTTATCGTCATTGCTCTGGAAATGGGAATATTGGCGATGATTGTGGAGTGAAAGGTATAAATCACTTCACATGTTTGAATGGCGCCATTTGTCAAAACGATCGTATGTCTCAAAACCTGATAGTGGTGTTATGACCAGAGTGTTAACAGTAATAAGCGACTCGAACAGATAATATTGGAAAATGTGCAAGGGGATGAAGCGTAGACGTAGGAATTCATTAGGCACTATGTTTTAGACAAATAAAGTTCGCTGGACTTTCTCGTCCATTACACCTCAATTTCAAGTCGTTTCGTAGCACTGCAAGATCTGTTGAGGACTCTTTGAGACCCTGGCATTCTGACTGACCTAGCCGATATCGTTCGAGGATCTCGTGTTATTTGTGCCTGTCGGTTTGACAACGTTTCATCATAGAGATTAAGTTACCGCGCACAGGCTGTAACAAAGCAGCACCGGCAAGTCGGCACCGGTGAGTCAGCACTGGTTACTTGTCACCAGTACATCTACATCGGCAAATCGGCATCGGTAAGTCGGTGCTACATATCTTTTATCATCATCATCATTTGGAGAAATTATGATTCCGTGTCTTGTCAGCATGATTCAGACACTTTTATGCGCCATTTTAGATGGATAGTACATTGAGGATAGCCTGGAAGGCGCAAGCGTTCGTCATAATGCCGCATTTTCGACTGGTTTTACTTGTACGTACATAATCT